GATTGTGCCTGCTACTCCGAACTTGGCTTTGTTCTTGTCCAGGATCGCCAAGCTGCAGATGAGGGAGCAAGCTAGCCTGGTGGATTCTGGAGAGGTAGTTGTGTGGAGGATTAAGGAGTTGAGGTGGTGAATCGTTTCCATCTCTGTCATAAGCGGCTTTAAATCGGGATTCAGGGAGAGGTTGAAGAGGATGGATAATGAGAGAGGTTGGATCAAGGGAGCTGGGGATTTCGAGAGGGTGAGAAGGGTGGAAATGGCACCGTCTGTTTGTGCGATTAAGTTCCTGTTCTGGGGACTAACCTTGGTGATTGAAGCTAAGGTTTGGAGGGATTTCAGCTGGGAGTCAACGGAGTCTGATTGAAGATCGGAGAGACATTCTGCAATTGTCTCGCGGCGCCGTGCTGAAGAAGACATCTTTTAGATTTTTGCAGCTTAACCTGCAATGGGTTCGAGCAGTTTTCACAAATGCTAGTCAGCTTACAAGGTTAAACTATTAGCATCGAGAGAACAGAGGTAATGAAATATGAAGCTGAGCTCACCTTTCTTCTGGTTGCTGAATACTCAGCCGTCCGAAGAAGTGACGATAATCCCATAGTACACAGCACATTAGACTAATATAAGAGTGACAATCATGTTTTGTCCTCTCTTTCTGGACAAATATGGAGACCATGAGTCCAATTGGACGGCCACATTTTCAGTAGCCAGCCAGAATAACGTTACATACAAAAAACCAAAGAGCTACTTAGTTTCTTCCTGTAATATTCTGATGCCATTGTTGTTTCGATAATCCCATGGTACATTGGTACAACTACAAGTCTACAACCCCATTTTTCAAACATTGAAGCATTGACATACAGACACAAATATGACCAAAGATGCCGATTTTGCAGTCAAACAACAGGTTGAGGAATGCTGGAAATTGAGAAGCCAGAACATCAGTTCGTAGGAGAGACAACAAATGAAAACACAATGCAGATAAAAGGCACATTTGACAACAAAATTGTTTCCAGTAACTATTTTTCCATTTGAGCAGTCTCGTTGTAGGAAAAGTGCATACAAGAAAGCAAGGGATATCGAGTAGTATCGCCAACTAAACCTTGTTTTATTAACTACATAACAAAACTGGAGGAGAATTTGCCTCCCCTACTGTCTCTTCATTGAATTTATTCCACTATGGAAACTGCACGACGGTGCATTAGTGATCATCTCCATGACCATCGGGCGAGCCTCCCTCGCCAATCACTTCCAACTGCAGTACAGTTTTGTATCAAAAGCTTCGCGAATAAAATAGACGGGCGAGATTGAGATTCGATATTGCACAGTTTCGGGGAAGGAGCTTACCTTGAAATGCTGGGAGCAGACAGGGCAGTTGTAAGGCTTGCCTTTCTCCAGCCAGAACCACACCACATCGTGCTCATCTTCTGCAAATATTCACAACCCGATGAAATGCAAACCAACAATTGGAACGCAGAAGAACAGATTCAGACACTTCCCAGCAGCAAAAGCTAAGACAATGAGAGAGGATTAAGGATCAACCTGCTTCGCCACCGGGGCATCCAACTATTCGTTTGTCATAAACAGACCTCACAATAGCAGGAGCTTCCTATACAGCAGCCATTACATCAATCAAAGCCGTATCAACAAGAAAAACTAATTCCCGTATCCTCGTTCACGGATCATTACACAGATTTCCTAAGGCTATGGGATCTTATCGATACCAACCTTTGTACCAAAAGGACCGACGGGATAGTTGATCTCTAAAATGTTCCTTCCCTACGATGGAATGAACAGTATCAGAATGCGAGCAATGAACGGAATCCCTAAACGTAGAAAACAGCAAGAAAATAGATGTAACGAGCAGAAAGATTACCTCAAGATCGGCCTGGAGTTCCTCTCGCTCGTGTCCGGTAGCGATCGGCATCACATTTTCAACCTTGGCCTTCGGAATTTTACCTGACGCAAGCTCAATCTCGTTGATGAAGGGGGGGAAAACAAAGCTAACGAACCAGCTAGCAGTCGATAAATGCTGGAGGACTCGAATTGGAATACCTGAGGAGAAGAGAGTGGTGGTCCTCGGAGAAGAGGAAACGGGAAAGGGCGTTGTCGAGGGCGGCGTCTGCGAAGAGGCGAAGGAGAAGAATCTCGCGGCGATGCCTGGAGTGGCGGATCGGCCGGAGAATGAAGACGGTGACGGCAGCACTCGTCTCCACATCTTTCGGGGCTTTTTGTTCTCGCCTTTACCTCCGGTGTCCTGAAATTTTGGGGGAGTAACGCAAGTAGAATGTCGAAGAAGAAAAGCTTCACTATCACGTAGGATCGTTTGATTTTTTCTACTTTTACTTCCTTAAATTTAGGTTTACACTTTACACGAAAATAAACATATATACATTTTTCAGAAATAAAAAAACATATATACATTTTATTTAAATTTAACTCAAAACCAAGGTTGTCAACCCGCAGGTCGACTCGTTTTGACACTGACCCAGTGAGAGAAACGAGCTACACACACTTGTCGGGTCGAACCACTGTAAGGTTACCAAATTGGAACTCGTACGGTGTCATTTTTTCATTTGATTTGCGAAATGCGTCTATTTTCTGGTTTTACTCTACGTCTAACCCTACATTTGGAATTTTAAGTTAAATATTTGAATATTGATGTGATATAAGTGTATGTGAAATTTCACTATATGTTACATCAAAGTATGACATGTTATTTTGGTGTAATGTTATATGTTATTACTCATATATTAGATAAAATTTTATATAATTTATAAATGTGTAAATAATATAATGATTTTTTTATATATTCGGGCTAAAGCGAATTAAATCGGTCAGATCATTAACCCTAAACTCGCTTACTCAATCGGGCCAAAGGAATAAATCGGGTAGACAAGTTTGCTCAAAACCACTCCTTTTGTGAGTGCCTTACTCTTACCTCATGGCTCATGCAATGGTTTGGATACTGCTAAATAAGTTATATTTTTAACTAAATTCTGCCTGGCTTCAGAAATTCCAAAATATAGAGTTAGTTGCTCTATTCTTTCTTCAGTGTTGTCTCAAGAAAAAACCCTACTAGAAAGAGTATAGCAGGTAGTTATTACAAGCTATGATGTTCGACGTACCCCCGGGTTCCTATAAAAAAAATGGTGTTCGACATACTAAATAGAGGCTGAGATTCATTTAGTCGCCGCTCACAGGTTAGTCACGATGTGATTGGATGTTGATCTACAACTTGAAAGCATTCTATCAATTTTTCCTTTTCAAATGACTATACAACCACAGTTTATTATTAAAAAAATACATTTAAATAGAAAATATTTTTTAAAATTATAATCTTAAAAATTATTTACTACTTTATTATTAAACACAATTCGATTATCCTACGATAAAATGTTATTACCCCAATTCTTTCATTACCATTTACCAACCCTAAAGGTCACCACATGATGAGAAATACGTGTTAATGCTACTCGCTGAACCACCGGTCCAGCAGAACGGGAAAACCCACCCAACCCACATGTAACCGCTGCATCGGGAAATCAGCTTCCCCTTAGTTCCGGAAAACAGGGAACTTCACCAACGAAATCGCCGCTCTAAACGCAGCGTGAAGCAGGCAGAGATTGCCGTCTTGCCGAGACGGCAGTTAGCGGCCGCCGGCAGCCACGCCATGGAATGGATGCCTGCCCATAACACAGGGAAGCTCCTCTTCTTCTCCAACGTGTTCCCTCGTTGCCCACAATCCAAAAGCCGAACAGAGGAGTGAGAATGACATTTTCAATTATCGGCTCAACAAACAACAAAATGGCATAAGTGCGTCATTCAAGAAGACAATTTTTTTTCCTTGAACAGTATCTAACCAAAAGAATGCCAATCAACGAAGCCAAGCAATCGTACCCAGAAAGAGAATGACGATGGAACAAGACGAAGAAAAGGAGAAAGAAATAAGGAAGAACAAAACAGAGTCCATCGGCTAACTAACAACTGCAAGTCGTCATCAGGAGCTCCTCAATCTCGGCTCCTTCCCGCCGCCGCGGTCCCTATTGACCCACCCGCAGGCGGTTTTCGCGATTCTGTCCCTCTCCTCCGTGCTCAAGATCTCGTCCTTGAGAATCCCCACCTTGACGACCATCGCGAACCCTCCTCCTACCGCGCTCCCGGTCTTCCCCTTCGATATCGTCTCCGCGGAGTCGGCGATCTTGCGCTGCAGCACGGCGCGTAGCCCGGACTCGATCAGGTTCGATTTCTTGAGCGCGTCGGCGAGGTAGAGCTCTTGCCAGAGCGAGATAGGGGATGCGATCGGGACCCGGAGGGTGGTCGCGAGCTCCGGCGTGACCACGTCTTCGAGCACCACCAGTTTCCCTTCGTTGGAAGCGAACCTGAGTTGGTACCTGTAGCGAACCACCAGCCGGATGATGCAGGTCGGGAAGGCTGAGGAGGATTGGCTGGCGACTGCTTCGTCGGTGTCCTCCTTGACGTCGACGGCGTACCCGACTTTGACCGTCATCGGCCGGAATTCAATTCAGTGCAGACTCTCTCGGTGGCGGGCGGAATTGGGGATTTTCTTGCGCCGCAAAATCAAGTTCGGCCAGAGGGTTTCCCGGATCTACTTGCTTTGTACACTTTTTTAACTGGGTGCAGGCATGGGCTTCCTTTCCTGTAAAGTCGGTAATTTTTGCGTCGCCGTCGGTTATAGGAGATTAGGAATTCCGTTTCAGGAAGAAATAAACAATAGACTTCCCTAACAATTGCCACTCAATTTTCGAAACCTAAAGAGTTGATTTAGAACTTTGAAAATGGAAGTGTCAGTTCGGTACACTCCCAATTCATCAAGCCTTGTGGACTCGTGGTTTATGAAGACATCTAGGTAGTCGAAACTCGAAAGGCTTTTTCGGCCAAGGAAGACGCTACACACTAGACATTCGAGAAGCCATAGGAAACTATCAAGATAACAGCAGAGAACTAACTCAACAAAAGAGATCGTTCGTAGAAAACATAGTAAAGGAGCACAACAGTTAACAAGCACATAAAGTACGAACTAGAAGTGGAGATCCAAATATCAACAACTGAAGTTAAAAAGCAAACCAGCAGGAACCTAAAATCCCAGAGTGCCTAATTGGGGTCAAGGCAACAGTAAATACTCCTCCCAATAACACAGCAAATGACACAGCCAGCGGCCTAAAACATGGATATAAATGAAAACTCCCAAGGCAGATGGACAACACTAAAAGGCTCTGAAACTGAAAAGTCTGAAATCCTCAAAAACCCCTCTGCCGAACGGGTTACCAAAGCTATCTAAGGGTGGTTGAATCTCTACACCACCTACTCTTGCAGTACTCTTCTCATAATCAAGTTCTTGCTTCGCCTGAAAGCATACACATTCACCTTGTCGATCCAATTGAGATAGGAGCATGTGAAACTCGGCCTCCACAGCCTCAAACTGGAACAGCATGCAACAGCAACTATTTGTCCACCAGGGACGAAGTCCATGGCAACTTCAGTACAATCAAATGATCGGTTGACGTTTGCTGAGAAGAGAATGTCTAAAGCCCTGTACTCACTGAACTGCCACTGACAAACTACTTCACCTGGGGCTAGAATCGGGGGAACCATCATCATACGAGACCAGCCCCTTCTTGCCACTGGGTGGGCTACCAGATGACGACCTTGATCTGTCTTCGCTTACTTGTCGCCTTGGGGAAGGTGAAGCCAACGAAGACCTAGAATCTGCAGGGCTCGGGCTGCGACTGCGACTGCTGCTAGGGCTTCGGCTACTTGAAGGCGACCTTGACGGCTTGGTAGTAACATGGGGAGAAGTTCGAGACCTTGAAACCACCGGAGAACGACTTCGGCTGCGAATCGGGCTACGGCTTCTGCTGTACCTGCGACGGTTCCTGTATCGAGGGCTGCGTGACACTGAAGGGCTCCTAGTTCTCCCTCTCCTCGCTCTATATCTGTGTTCATAAACTCAAAGGTCAACAGTACAGTACACTAAAGCATGCTTTGCTGTAAACTATACAGTCATGTTCAGTGAGGATAAACATAACAAATAAGACCTTGGAGGAGTTCTGCCTCTTGGAGGGCTTCTGAAACGCCTTGGTGAGTACCTTCTATAACTGGAATACCTGGATACCAAAAAAGCAAACACACTATCAGGCAGAGGGAATTATTTGAAGTACCTTCAACTTTGAATGATTAGCAACCCAACTCTATTTTCCACAAGCCAACTAAACACAATCTTTCCCTACTTATGATTAACCTACAAAAAATAAGTAACTTATTTTCTTGCACATCAGCAAAATCTGGGACAGAACAAACATACCTCTCACGATCAATTCTCCCACTGTAACGATATGATCTCACAGGAGAACGATCTGGCGACGGGGTTCTATATCTCCGGGCATACGAGTACCTATTACTGAATCCCCGCCCTCTTCTAATGCGCTTGGGGGACCCACCTGGAGATACACTTCTGGAAGAAACTCCGCGATCAGGAGATCTAACCCTCCTTACAGGGCTACGGCTCCTTGAATAACTTCGACGACTCCTAATTGGTGCCCTCCTTGGACTTCTGCTGCTGCTTCTTCTCCTTGAAGGAGGTCCTCCAGAGCTCCTACTGATGCTTCTCCTAGAAGAAATAATAGGACTTCTACTAATGCCCCTCCTAGAAATTCTAGCAGGACTTCTACTAATAGACTTTCGAATCGTTCCTCGAGGGGGACTCCTGCCGCTCACACTTCTTCGACCTGGGCCTCTCACAGGGCTTAGGCTGTTGCTCCTTCTGGACCGAGATCTTCCAGGACTTCTGCTGATACCTCTTCGTGACCTGGGCCTAACTGGGCTCCGGCTGATGCTTCTTCGGGACCGAGGTCTCACGGGACTCTTGCTTATGCTTCTACCTCTTCTGCTCCTGACTGGGCTCCTGCTGATGCTTCTAGCTGGGCTCTTGCTAATGCTTCTAGCAGCTTTTCCTAACGGACTCCTACTCGTGCTTCTAGCTGGGCTCTTGCTAGTGCTTCCAGCAGCTCTTCCTGACGGACTCCTACTCACACTTCTAGCCGGGCTCTTGCTTATGCTCCTGCAAACACTTTTCACTGGACTTCTGCTACCACTCCCACTTCTAGCAGGACTTCTGCTGGCACTCCTTGGAGGGGGGCTTCTGCTAGCACTGCAGCTCCTGCTCATAATCCTCTTGTTAGGACTAATGCTTGGGCTCCTGCTGCTAATAGTTCGCCTTGGACTAATACTCATACTCTTACTCATGGCCCTCTTGGGACTCATGCTTCGGCTCCTGCTCATCAACTTTGGTATAAAATACCAGATCTAGAAGAATCTCAAGGTATAAACAACAATAACTGAGGTCTGAGAAGAATGGAAAGTAGACCTAGATTTTCCAGGGTGATCATCTACCACATCAGGTTGACCGTCCTCGCTTCTGCCAGATCTTGCGTCCACAACAACAGCTCTGCCCTGCCTGTCTCCATTTTGCTTGGGAGATTCACCATTTTCCTTGCTAAGCATACCATGATCTCTTTTACGTGAAAGGGAAGCAGCATCAGCATCTCCCTCTAATACATCAGAAGACTGACCTGCAGTTGCAGTACAACAAAACAGAAGAACAAAAGGGCATGTGACAATCTCTTAAGAGATAATCAAAGAAAACCAAAGTCCATAGCGTGATTTGAACCCAAAAAAAATCTACTCCTAGAGTATTCTAAGTTACTCAAAAGAAGAAACCACATCATTGTTCCCCACCTTCTGCAACTCAAGACTCACAGGCTCTATACACACACAGATATGCTGTTAGTGTTACTACTGCAACTTTACTAAGTTCCTAGAGATGAAAAGAAAAACAAATCACCACTGCTAAGCCGTTCAAGATTTCTACGATTATTAAGTACACCTGATTATGGAAAAGCATCATGGACATGAGGCTAACCATAATGCAAACTAACAACAAGCGAAGAATAAAACATCACGGAAATGTGAATGAAGAAACATCATAAAGCAGGGTACAGCTGAAGCAAGGATAAGCAAATTAAGAAGTGAGTTAATCCAGTACCAGTTTTGTGCCCCCGTTCTTTACGCTTTCGTTCTTTTCCTTGCATATCAAAGCTTTCATCACCAGTGCTACTATCGCTCCCGCTTCCACCTTTATCTTCTGACAAGCTATTTGAATCCCTGGAAAGAAAAGGAGCGCCAAAAATATCATAACAATGGTTCATACTTACCGTACTATTTTCAGTTTCAAAATGAATTTTTTTCCCCATCTTGGATAAGTGAGACATCATTGCGCTTAGAGTAAAAATCACGGCACATTCCCTTCTAACATAAGACAAGAAGCCCATGGCACATTACTAGGGGGGCTAATAAGGCAAGCAAGTGCAAATCTCCATATACAAGTTAAAGTAGAGTCTAATGGTCATATATCACAGGCACCTATTAGGTCAGCTTTGACGGAATCATAAAAGCCCACAGAATCAAGTACCTTCTTGATCTACGTTTAGACTTCTTTTCATGTCTCTTCCGTCTTCTCTCACGTTGTTTATCTCTTTTCTTCCCACGTCTATGTCTATCTTTTTTGGAAGATCTCTTCCTCTTCTTGCGTCTATCATCACTGGATGAACTAAGCTCAGATGAGGACATAGATGAGTCAGAATCACTGTCAGACTCGGACGACTCCATCTCGGAATCTGATGAACTCTCAGAATCCGATGAATACTGTCTTCTTCTCTTCTTCTTTCTGTTCTTTGAAGACCTTTTGTGCTTCCCCTTCTTCTTTGTTTCCATACTATTAGCATCAGGAGAGGCATGCCTGCCTGATTTCTGTTTATCAGATTTCTTCTTATCTGCATAAAAGGTGGGAAATCCATTGGATATAAAATCAGTAAAACTAGACTATCTTAACCTTGGCAAAAAGACAGGAGAATATTATAGAAGGGGCAACAAAATGTTTGTCCATATATGCAGTTACGCCCTAAGAATGTCAAGTATCAGAGCATCAATAATCACCATCTAGTTCACCACAATTGATAACTTTGACCGTCACTGTGGGTTTCCCTTCTTGGTCGCCTACACTTTCAATTTTCTTGAGAACGTCAAATCCTTGCACGAGTTTCCCAAACACCAAGTATTTCCTGCCGTTCAGGAGACAACCATACAGAATGAACAAACTTTTTTGCTGCAACAATCTAAGAACTCCCCTGGTTCAATATAGAAAAAATATGACCAGTTGAAAAATTTAACCTGTCCAGGCTATGATTAGCCCTGAATGTGATAATGAACTGAGAACCTAAGGTATCACGATCAGCTATTGGCATGGATAGAAGGCCTGGCTCGTCATGCTTCAGCTTTGGAGACTCATCTGAAATGATGGCAAACATGCAAATTTTCATTATTAGAGGCACAGAAACAAATAGTGCAAATTGTTTAAAATATGTAGAAATGTAATAAATCTAACTATTTGGTTGCGAAACAATGTTCAAGGCGGAAATCCACAAACAAAAAATTTAAACTAGAAGAAAGATGAAATGCACTCAAAGAGGAAACTAGACCAAAATGGAGTGGAGCCACCTTCTGAACATAAAAGCAACAAAGTCTCGTAACAGATCCCTGGTGAAGTCACCAAACAACTAACCAAAATGATAGCATGTGCCGGAAACAAATGGAAGGCCCATCATTTCATAAATTATAAATATGATGTATATAACACATTGGTTCAGTTTTCCCTATTAACAAGTCTCAAATGTTGGGCTGATTATCCTTACCAGGGAATTTTCCACCATAAATGCTTTCTCCATCAGAGCCTGCAATCAGAAAGGAAAGTAAGAGGCTTAATAATTAGCTAAGAGTTCTCTCATGACCAGACATAACGAACATCTTAGGCTAACTCGACCTGTAAAAACAGCCAAATACTCTCATGAAACTGCTTGATAGATAACTCAGTCTAGATAGCTAATCTCCATAACTAGTCTAAACAGAAAATTATGTGTAATTCCGGAGATGGCCACTGTCTTCAAACCAAGCCACTAAAATATACAAAGCTACCAGGAGCAAAAGAACAGGTAAATTAACTAGAAGCTACCTTTTAAAAATCAAAGACAATTACTTGGCTTTCTTTTTAATGACAATCCCAGCCCAACATTTCAGGCAAATCAGATATTATCAACCATGTCTACAACTTGTTCCCGTTAGGCTTAAATCTTGAAGTTAGTGAATGGAACAAATTCCAAATGTCCCAAAGGCCTTCATGTTTGCAAGAATGCATCACAATATCATGTAAGACATACTTCTGCTACATGGAATTATGACATAGAATGAAGAAACTTATCAAAATTTATGGCACAATGAAAAAGCATCGGTATAAGGACACATACCATCTCTTTTTGAGAAGTCGCCTCCCTGCAAGAAATGCTTAGCCTATTAGTCCACTAACATAATTATTTGCATCATCATATAGGGTTTTTTCACGATGAAGCGTAGTGAATTTTAAGGATGGACAACTCAGTAAGTACAACCTTAAAACAATATCAAAAGCAGGCGTGACCATCAGCCCTGTACAATACAGCATAAACAAGGGTAACCAGCTAAATATGGAAACTGACTAAAAGACACCACCTCCAAGCCACATCAACAAGAAACTGAGCGCAAACCCAAGCTTGAAAGTAATGTGTGTGCATAGTTTAGTGACCAAAATGCATCAGAACAAAAACAAACCTGAGCCATGGATCCTTTTATAACACTATGGAAGAAAGAACCCTTGTAGTGTAAAGCTTTCCCAGTTTTAGGCCCAACTCCTTTTTCTCCTGCCAATATATGAGATAATCAGGTCAGAAGAACACAGTTGAGTTTGTTCTAGCTGCTTAGAAGATGTACCTACTACCTAGCATCTTAGAAACCCAGGAAACCACGCACCCCTCCCCCTAAAAAGGGTGGATTCCAATACCTGTGCAAAGAGCGCGGAAATTTTCCGCCGTCTTTGGAGCAATATCGAAGAAAAGCTGCAGCATAAAGACAGCAATGATTAGGAAAAATGTGTACTAGTGACACTAAAATGAGTGAACTCAACCTGACAAAAATGTACTCAAGCAAAAGTAATACATTGAAACCTAAAACCTAATTCATTCCAATCTACAAAAACCCAAGTACCTCAAATACCATTCTTTCAAATGGGTCTCCATCAATAGATACATCCATAAAGACCAATGGATTCTTCATCTTTGCCTCTTTTTCTTTCCGCAGAAGCAAAAGCTAACCCAGCAAGAACTGCAACGTAAAAAAAGAAGTGAGCTACTATGCACAATACAGCTACTATGCATACAGATTCCAACTACATAACTAAGCTCAGCACCTTACAGACAGATCCCAGCTACTTAAATGGACTAACACATGGCAAAAACACCTCTACACTAGACTTTAAAGCTCCCCTCGCAAACCCACACTTGAATTTGACTACTGGTACACTTGCAGGGGTCATAAGAAAACTAGGGAGTGTGTACACTATCCAAGACTCTTGAGTTTTGAATTACGAAAAGACCAGCTTCTTTCAAAGCCCTAACGTCCATAGATGACGGTAGACCTGGTAAGTTAAGCTCGGCAAGAGCCCAAGGATGAATGAAGTTACCAACCAGGCCATACCAAAAACCGATAATTCATACTAGACTTGATTGACAGTTGATCATTCGCAAGTCCAGTAGTCACACCATGAAAGATCTCGGTAGAAAGATCCTTAATAACCCATAGGAATTGCATTAAAATAACGCCAGGCATCTGCAGATAATCAATGCACCAAGAACTACACACTATCTCCTCTAGCAAGGGAGCACCTGGGAAGACTGCCCTAGGAAGCTCAATGGGAAAAATTCTCTGCTACTTGATTCAATCAACGCAAACTCATAACGCAGAAGCCAACACACTTCACCGAACACCATAAACCCCTACAAAAGAGGCCCGCGAAACCCTACACCAGATCCAACATTCCGGAATCCGATGCCCTTGGAACCGCTAAGGAGAGGAACTAGCATAAGGTTGCACGCAACGAGACGGAAACCCCGTTATTCGTCCCCCCAATTTGAGCTATCATGCACAAATTTTAACATCCCGCAACTGAAAAGTAGACAAACCGATGAGCGCCTTACGGTGTGTAGAGTGCGCGGAAGCGGAGGAAGGAGGAAGAATAGTACCTCTAGGGTTGAGCTGAGCCACACAGAGAAGTGTTGAGCTACTGTGTGACGGGGACGAGGTAGGGAGAGAGATTGATCGGTGGAAATGCAAAACCTAAGAGGCGTTTATTTATTGCGGCAGTCAGTCTTTGGCTTTGCCGAGCCAAATTCTCCGCTTCTCGCAAAAATCCCACTTCGGCCGCGCTGCTCTCTCTCAAATCTGGATTGTTCGGGAGGCCGGAATAGACAAACCCATTTAAGGGCTACATAGCCGTATAGCCCACAATAGGGGGAAGGTCATTGTTGAATAGGAGGCCCATTTATCACTCGGTCGAACCAACATGGGTGGGTAGCAGGCTAGCAGCTACTTGGAAGCATAGTAAAGGCCCCGTGTATTATATGTACATATACGTATTTTATCCATTTAAAACTTCCATATCTGTATTATTGTCAAGTCGTTTTATTTTCTGAATCGCTATTCGTCGCCCTAGAATTCAAATTTTATCGCCCTAAAACGTATTGAATTGACATATTTAGCCCTAAACAAAATTTATATTATCCGTAGCCCAAACAAATGTCTAGAATGCGGCAGCTCATTTGCTTTATTCTTTCCACCCAAAAAAAATTGCTTCTCTTTTCTGGACTTCATCTCTACCCACCTCGAAGAAACGCTTCTTCTTCCTTACTCCTACCGTCAAACCCCGGCGAAGAAAACGATCATACCGTCGCTCCTACCTTCATCTCTCCCCCAACGCTTCTTTTTCCTCGTCTCTAGATGACCGATTCGCACCGCCGGCGAAGAGACCCGACGGTCCGTCGTCTCCTCACCGCGTCGGTGGTCGGTGGTCGTTGACGTCGCTGAGCTCCTGATCGCCCGAGCCCAGCATCGCGTGGATAATTGTTGGATAATTGTTGGGTTAATTACTTATGAAACGAATTAGAAATCAAATTAGGGATTTTGATCAGGTCAGAAGCAGTAGAAGGGAAAGGGGAAATGATGAGAAAGAAGACTTCCTCTGCTGCTCGACTAAGTAAGACCTAGAGCAATAATAATAATAATTGGCCTGGAGAAAGACAAAGCCCAATCAAACTATACGTAAACAAGAATTAGAAACAAATTGTTTTTTTTTTTTTTTTTGATAAAGGTGAAATATATTAATTGAAAGAAAAGCCCATGAATTAGAAACAAATTGTTTGCTGATGTATCTCCATCAAATGAGACAGGCGGGTCAGAAATCCTTTAGATCGAACAGGTTTTATTAGGCAGAGTACTTCAATTTGCTAATACGTAGTAAACAATATCTTCTACATAGATAAGTACCGAAATGATGAACCATGTAGCTAAACAATCTATACTACATAGATAAGTACCGATAAGATTAAATAATGTAGCTAAACAATCTCTACTGCATAAATAAGTACCGAAAAGATGAACCATGTAGCTAACACAATCTCTAATTCATAGATAAGTACCGAAAAGCTAAACAATGTAACTACTCAAGTTCTACATGCTCCGGCTCACCCTTGTCCTGTCTGCTCTGCTGATGTCCACCAAGAGTGAAAAACAACCTTCTTTCCTCCTGGTACAACAATGACCAAGAACCAACAGTTTCCATATGGCGAATATGAGACCACTGAAAACTAAATGGAGGCATCGGTGTAACACCTCCGACATCTGCAAGTTGAAGTCGGACCCAATGTACTCCAGTATGAACGAGGGCATAAACATTAACTGGAGATGTTGTCCCTGGTGGCGCTGTCATGGGTAATGCACTATAGCCATATGTCCCATCAATTACTCTCCCGAAGACTGAAAAGGCACAATTGAACATTGTCGCGAATGCTAGTATATCCACCTCCTCAAACCAGTACTCGTTGCCACACCATCCTGACTTCTTTTGATCCAACCTTCGAATTACTTCCTCTAGTGTCCCATCGTAATGTCTGCTATATATAGAATCCCATCGGCTAGTAATCTCTCCAATAACAGCTTGCCTCATCTCTAAGTAGTAACCCTCGTCCCCATGAATCATGTGTGAGATTGCTCGAAACCCACAATGACCATCCCCATCGGGGTCAAACCAAGCTCTAACAAGATGGTGTATGCTAGATGGGATGTACTGGAGGTATGGACACATATTCCTCTCACTATGGAATTGCCACAATTGACTCTTTCGTGCATTACCTATGAAATCAACCAAGTGGAACAATATTTTGTAAAAAAAAAAAAAACAAACCAAGTGGAACAATATGGAAACTCTTATAAAAAAAAAAAACAAACACACAAACAAACAAACAAAAAAATAATACAATCAAAATCATCTTAGTGACTAACCTGTATGTTTGGACCTCGTCGGGGGAGTGGGATCCGACATCGGGGGAGTGGGATCCCTCATCGGGGGGCTTGTCCTCGTGGTATTACTTCTGCGTGCCTCTCGTGATCTCTCGTGCTCAACCCAAGAACGTTTTCGAGCGTTCTCCCTCCTAGGTGGTCGACCCCTCGGAATCTCTGCATCCCTAGGCTCAAGAAGACCCATGTCCTCGGGGAGAACATGAGCTCGAAGTGATGGAATAGCTGCGCGAATAAAATTTGGCCCTCTACAACGTACCTTTTCCACCATCTGGTCGAAAATATCGCTCTCAATGGCATCATGGTCCTCCCACTGTGCACGATCAGGTGGATCATGGTAGTTTAAAGAATACCAGAAACGATGTAAGTGGTGCGGATACAATTCTAAACCGTTGTTACTGAATCTCTGCATTGTGCATAAACATGGAAGTCCATATGTCTCTGGTAGCACGCAACCGCACCTCTCAACATTCTTCCTACTTCCTTCTCCCCTCAATAACTCAATCGCCCATGAACTGACCTTGTTGTTCAAGTGCACGAAAGGCGGTCCATATGCCCATGTAAATACCTATTGGAATGAACACACAATCTAAATAAGAGAAATCATATGCAAATTAAAATCACAATTCAATTAAAGTGAATTTACCTTCAATCGCGATTCCTCTAGGTCCTTTCGCAATTCAATCACTCTACCTTCGACACAAGCATGGAATCTCATGAAGAGTGAATCAATCTTGTGCCTAGAAGTGTTAAGCCATGACTTCAAAGAGGAGTGAGATGATTCCACCCTATTTGTGCTCGTGTTGCCAATATGAAACACACGGTTGGTGTAGCAATGAGCCCACTTTCTCGCACAAGATAACCACTCGCCTCTCAAGTAGTCCATCAACCGTCCATTGTCCCCCCAACGACTGTTTTGTAAGTCCACCCAAGCACTATCAAATCCTTCTTGGGTATTGACATACAACAATGTTCCCCAAGGACCTTCAACAAAACCCTCTGCGACTTCTCTACTCATTCGAAAGCTCATAAGTTTGGCTTCAATGTTGTTCTTCATATGCCATACACATAATAAGTGAGTAGATTCCGGAAAGATCTCGCGCACAGCAACACCCAATCCTCCTTCCTTATCTGTGACAATAGCATTTGGGATCCTACCACCAAGCACACTCTTTAGCCTCGACAAAACCCAAGTATACGTCTCCTTTTTTTCATCTTCCACAAATGCAAACCCAATGTTAAAGTTCTTCTGCACCGGAGTAACACCAACCAACTGAACCAATGGCTTCTTATGCTTGTTGGTTTTGTATGTCGAGTCTATCAGAACAACGAAATACCAAGCTCTCAACATTTGAATAGACTTCGGGTGGCAAAGGAAGAGATTAGTGACATGATGATCAATATCAAATTCACACTCAACGAAATACCCGAGCTTTTGAGCTTCCTTCAATGTCCACTGCTTGGGTTTCATGCCACCAAATCTCTGTAGCCGAACCTTGCTGGTTTCATTGTAAATTTGTTTCATGTTGTGGTGAGCAGCATACTTGTCATTAAGAGACTTCCTCATTCGTTTTGGTTGAGTCATCGCTGCCTCCATTTCCTTGATGTCTTCCTTCTTCTCCTTCGTGAGAGTATTTCTTTGGCTGCTCCCTTCAGAATAAAGCTCAAGTTTGTGATTATGAAAACCCCTCACACCAGCAATTCTCCATTTCAAAGAACCATCCCCAACTATTGCACGTACTGCAACTCTGAATCGGCAACCCAACTTGCCCGTCTTTGTATTATTCCGCCTTGGCTTATTAGGATCTGGGATATATGTTATGCTCCTGCAACCATGGTTGCAATCCATATATATCCGTGGATATTTTTCTCCTCTATTTTTCTTGATTGTCGACACTATCAAGAAAAAACCGAGAGATTTTGCTATCTCCTTTGCTGCTTCCCGAGCTTTGTCCTCAGTATCATAAAAACCTGCACTTATGAAGAATTGGGTGTAATCAACTTTGTCCCCTTCGTCATCTCGAGAACCTCCCTACAAAAAAACATACGAAAATATTCAAACCAATCCACCAGAAGTCAATACAATTTTATTTATTTATTATAAAATTTATTTAAATAAGTACTTACCGTATTACTCATACCAAACTTCTTATTATATCAACGATGTTGTCAATTGTGTAGCAAACTTCAACAAAGTTGTCTCCCTAATATACAATAATATTAGTACAAATTAGAGAAAATTTAATCCAACAATTAAATAAATTATGTCCGGGACATGTGATGCGATAAAATGTATATGTCGATTATCGACTGAGTAAGAAAAGTAAGTAATATTATCGTTGCACAAGGATTGGTACAACTTCATATTTGACGATTATATCAAGGAAGTGAAAGAACAAAAGTGTTTTTTAGTAAACGAAAGACAATATAATAACTAAACTAGAAAACAAGTAGAAAAATCAACAAAGAGAAGCTCTCGGGAAAAAAGGCATGAAATTCACTACCTAATTACCTTATTCAATTCGTTTACATGAGAAGGACAAATAATTCGAATCAAATCCTAGAAATTCGATAGCTACATCCTACTGTCTTCCCCAAAAACTAAGGTTTAGTTCATAATCATGGAAAACAAAGTAACGAATAATTCTAGGTTCAACATCTTAGAATTCAAACAAAAGAAGAAAATTTACGAATAAAGTAACGCGTTTCTCTGACCTTAATTCCTGATGATTGTCTGGAAATTAATCCCAAAATCGCAGTCGAAGAAAGAACAGTTGTCGCCCAAAACTCTCTCCTTCTCCAACTCCTCTCGTGTCCTACTCCTATTGCTTGTCCAATTAAATCCCCAGTTATGTCATAGTCTCCCAGATGAAAAGAGACTTTAGAAATTAAGGTCCAAATAAGTACAGAGCTGCTTCCGTGTACCTAGCTGAAAAGGACAGTAGCCCGGCCGAATGTTACGTTGCAATTATTATTGGTTTTTATTATTTCCGGTAATAGTTTGTTTTGGGTTTAAATATTTAAAGTATAAATAAATGATTAAGGACATTAAAGTAAAATTAACTTAATTAGGGCGACGATTAAGGATTTTTAGGGCGACGAATAGCAACCCCCTTTATTTTTTTCATTCATTTGATGGCTTCCGTACTAAACATGTATAAAACACGTTTAATATTTGTATTTAATAAATTAAATTGTTAATTTTACTATTATTTATATATTTATTTATTTTTAAAATAATTAATTTTATATATTTATGACAATTAACGTACTATTAAATGGGGTAAATGACACATTTGGTCACTGAGATTATTAAATTGTGTCATGTTTAGTCACTAGAAAAAATTAATATCAATTTTGGTCACTCGAATTATCGAAACTGGTCAAATTTAGTCACTCTCCCGTCAGTTTCCGTCCAACTCCATTAATGTAGTTGGACGGAAACTTTTGGGAGAGTGACTAAATGTGACATGTTTCAGTAATACGAGTGACTAAATGTGACATTTTTCAATAATTCGAGTGACCAGAGTTGGACAGAGGCTACAGAAGAGTGACCAAATGTGACCTGTGTCAGTAATTCGAGTGACCAAAATTTATATTAAATTTTTCTAGTGACTAAATATGACACGATTTAGTAATCTCAGTGACCAAATGTAACATTAGCTTAGAGATGAAATAAAATACTCGTACATATTTATACGTAACTTTCTCGTACCATATTTTACTATGATTGGAACTATGCAACATAAGCGAATAGTAACAAAATTCGAGAGGAGTATAAGACTATAAGTTGAGGGGTGAAACTTTCCATATCAAACTCCGAGAAGTAGTATAGACGTATCATTTGGTATCAGTCACCAGTCTCATCGCATATACATGCAAAAAAAAAAACCTCAACAATCGCTTTGATCGATAAGTTGACCTTACCGACCTCAAGGGCTCACCACCATGGAGGGAATTATCTCGTTCTTGTGAGTCGTGGCCCGATCGTCTTAAGACGATTGCTTTATTTTTCAAGATACATCACTAAACTTAGGCATTATGAGGAGAGAATATTATGTAAGGGGATTCGGTCGTGTCCCTTTATCACTATCCACGAGAGCAGTGACGGACCCAGTAACTTTATTAAGGGTATTCAATGATAGACCAAAATCACTAAGGGTTGTCAAATAATGTAGTGTTTGAATACTATCATCGCTAAAACAAAATTTTATAAAGGTTTTTTGTCCCGAATTTGCATCCAAGGGTTGTCAAGTGACAACCCTTGCACTAACTTGGGTCTGCCCCTACACGAGAGGGTCGACCTTGTTACCTTGTCTAGATTTAGGGAAGAGGGTTGACCAAGCGTTTGGCATGTGATAATCTTGTTTATGAATTGCATTTACTTAAATAAGTACAAGAGCAGTCATATAGCTTGAATTCAATATTTTATACAGGTTATTTTCGCTCTTTTAACTCTGGTTTTAATTTTTTTTACGTAGACTAATCCACTAGACATCACCCTAGTTGGCATAAGTGATATTTAACTTAGTTATGTAACACATAAGTCGTTGTATACTCGATCGAATGTGTTGGATGTCTTGGGGATGGATTCTATTGATGATGTCCATAAGTATAGGTTATTCCTTTTAACCTTTAAAAAACTTAAAAAAACGCCTCTTATTCAACTAGAAAGATGTGATATCATATTAATTTTTAGCTGTAAACAACGCTTGTTACCCAAACATAAAGTACAATGGTTAATTGGCAGACATGTAAATTGAGGCTAACTAACCCCCACCCATCCTTCTTCAAGTATTCCTCGAATTAACTTTGCATGCATTTAGGTTGGAACACGAGAGAAACTATGTGAAACTCCATTTTACCTCGTTGGGTCGTCAAAATTGGTTCCTCGCTAAAATCACAGGCAACACATGCATCAAATGGGCTCATCATCAATTCCTCTGGCAAGTTAGACCCTAATTCAGAGAATTTATGTACAATTAAAGTAGCACAAAATATTTACACTCAAGAGTTGTTTGTAGAATTGAAAGATTTCTCGGTCTAATGAGCCAATCAATTATTACCTATTAGTATCGCAAATCGATTTATCAATATCGAAAACCACTTTATGTGTACAAGAAACTTGTCAGAAGATAGTGTTACGGTCTACGTGGCCGATTCTCAATTTTCAAATATGGTTATTGTAGTGTGACGTAGGAACTTTTTTCTTCCTAAAATAGCCTTGTTTATTTTCCATCAATATAATTTTTGGCAAACAATAACTTGGAATTTTAAAAAAGAACCATGAACCTAACTTATCATAGAAGTTGGTGGATTGTTTTGGAAGTGGAGTTAGTGTTGGTGGCTTCACCTTTCTGAAATTTTCCGTATAAGAAACAAACTTGGATTTCACGTAAATCACCTGATAACATCTAATAACAGCTTTGACAAATGACAAGAAAAAACATTTAATAACAACTCCAATTTGTTGTGATTCATCTAGTTGAATTAGATTTTAATTTTTTGTCGCAATTTTATGAATTCGTTGTCTATTATAAAAGTTTTGTGAAAAAAATATGAATTACCATCTTCCTTTTGGCTGCTGTTTGGTAAGGGTAATATAAAACAGAAAATCCAGAAGAACATTGAAGATATAAAATCATATTTGCGCTCAAATTGAGTGGCAAGAAAAAAAGGTCATATTGAAAGAAGAAAACCCACTAAGGGGTCGGTACTGTGCACCCACATACACATTACTGTACATACAGACTCAGATGTACTGTTTCAATTCGGAAGTGGATCCAGTGTGGGTGGGTGCAGGGAGACTCTGGTTGGTTTCGGATTATATTTGGTGGTTTCGTTGTGTTTGGACCAGAGTTTGCCTTATGGTTGGGGGTTCCTTTCCGTCTCCTCACACGCATTGATCACTCGGCGAACTATGAAACCTTGGGGTTAATGAAACCAGGGACTCTGTTTTGCCCTTTCAGGAATGGGAGAGGCACGTTTGGGTTTGGATGGTGCTTTGACGCAACTGCAGGAAGCTGACAGTGACAGTCAAGAGAGAAAAACTGGAGAGTGGACTGTCCTGGGGTGGCTTAAGAAAGTGGCAAAACTCTGCCCTTTTGGTTTCTCGGTAGTACTTGAGTGGAAAACAATGATATTTTTGTGGTATAGTTGATGGATTCGAGGCAGCTCCAATTGTGGCCACTCATTTTACCTAACCTGTGTAGTTTTCCATGCTTGCTTTTTTTAATCGGTTTCCATCAACTCTCAGTCACTCACCAAAGAAGAACTATCTTAATAGGAGAGACAAGGTAAAAGGTTTTAAGTCGCTTCTTCTTTCTTTGCTATCACACCACCCCTCTTTAAATCCTTTCTCCTTCTCTCGCATCTTTTTTCTATATACTGCTGTCTGCCTGTCTCTTATCTTTGCTGATTCTACTCTTCTGTTTTTCTTTTGGCAGCTGAAGCGGAGATCAAAGTGATCGTTGGCGGAGTCTTTTAGGTCTGGGAGGTTTCGGAGAGCTAATTTCACATGCTTGCTTGAATCGATATCAGGTTATTGCGCTACCCCTTCTCTTCTCTCACAACTTCCACGCTCTTTTCATTAATGGTTTGTTCGATCTCTTCTAGGAGGAGCTACATGGTTTTGGAGTTGCCAGATCAAGACCGGGAGAACCTGGGGGGGTGACTGGATGGCTAACCCGCTCAGAAGAGTGGAACTCTTGGTTGCTTAACGGATTTGAGAAACATAGAGCATTTGCCAGAAGAGACATCTTCACTGAATGGCTTCTTGGTACGAGTTAATAGTTCTTTCTGGTCATTTTTGTTTTCTCAATGGTCTTCCTCTTTTTAATTTGATTGATTAGTTGAACTTCTGTTTGTGAGAACAGTGGGAAATTTATCATTGAAAACAATTCCAATCTAAGGTTCAAATCATGTTTGATGCATAGCAATCCCTGGAAGTCGTGACTGAGAATCGTTAATTGGATATGTGAGAGAAAGTAGAATATGTGGTTTTGAAAAATAGTTTCTTCCGAGTTCCCCTTTGTATCTGATCTTCAATTTGCTATGGGGTTACTTTAATGGGTTTATCTTGCGTACATGAAGTTGAGCTTTTGCTAGCTTTTGGAGGTCATTGAATTGACATAATAATTTCTTTGCTTTTCTCCAGTACGGTACAATGGAGGATTAATGGCTTCTGGGTTTTGGAAGCAAGCACGAAACTTTATGTCATGGCGATGTTGCTTCATTTCCCCCCCTGCTATATTGCATTTCACCTTTGTATTCATGTCTATCCCCCCCCCCCCCCCCCCCCCCCAATTGCAATCCATCTTTTGTATTGTCATCTGGACCTTGCAATTGCAGTAGTATTGCACCCGGGTTCCTACTATGGAGTTCTTCTTAACTCTATGATTTTTTGCCACTTTGATTTAAAAACCTGTGTATGATAAAGGAAATGAAATACTTATATTAGTTGATAGCACTCATGAACAAGACCAACTACAATTTAATCAAACCAGTACCAGTCCATCAATAAACAACCCTCTACAATTTGCTTCAATCATAGAATGTGTTTCAAGCTTGAGGTGTTCCCGCAGAGTTTCTTTTCAGAATCACCGGACAAGAAGGAACAGATGGTACATGTAATGGCTAGCAGTTCATTTCTACATTGAAGCACATTTGTATTATAGCTATAGCTTTGCCTGTAAAATATATGTATTTATTGACATTCCAGTCCAGTGTATTGGTATTAGTTAATTAATTTTTATTAATGTATTGGCACGCAAACAACGAATGTAAACTTTCTTTTTTCACAATGATGCTCAAATCCCGCTGCGGAGCGCGGGCAATGAAACTAGTATATCATATATGACATCCATATTTTGTAATTAATTCAAGTGTTTTTAAGAATAATGGAGGCATTAAACAATCCCTCCCAATAGTACTTAATGGTAGAATTTTACAGTCTTTTTAGTTTTCATCATTAAAAACTTGTTGACATAAACAATCTTCGGATTTCTAAGACATTTTGTATTTGATGGTGTAATTCATTTTAGCGATTTGAGCAATGCAATGGTTTCAAACTATTTTTTACTCTTCTAATATCAGCTACACAATATATCACACATTTATAATATTTAACATCGTGACCTAAACTAACTCTAAAATTTACTTAATTGGCAAAACCCTAGTGTTGATAGTTATACTGGACGGTCCAGACAGTTGGCGAACGATCAACCCTCCATGTCAGCATATTTTGATTTAAAATATTCGTATTTTCCAAAAATTATCAATTTTCCTATTTAGTTTGATTAAAATGACAAAATAAAATAAAATGGTAGGGTTAGGGAAAGGGATGCAAACGAGCCAAATCGAGTTTTTGCTTAGCATGAGCTCGGCTCGTTTATAAATTCTTCAGCTCGAGCTCGGCTGAAACTCGAATTTTGATAATCTAGCTCGAGCTCAGCTCGATTAAAAATAATTCAACTCGAACTCGACTCGGTAGAGCGTGATAAATGCTCATTAACACAACTTGTCAAACTGAGTACAAGTTCGGCTCAAAATAAACTCGATTTAAAATCATTCTTGCAGAAAATTGTGTACACATAAGATTTAAATGATAAAAAGAACAATAGAAACTATAAATAACAACTAACTTTCATACACATCCGTATTAACAAGATAATGTACATGTTCATAAGAGTAATTAACCATTTCACTAGCTCTAAACAAGCTAGCTCGCGAGCTTAGCTCAACAAGCCACCAAGTTAAACTAGCTCACGAGCTTATCAAGCTGAGCATGGAACTCAAGCTTGGCTCGTTTACTAACGAGTTGGCTTGCGAGCCGGCTTGTTAAATAACAAACCGAGTGTCGAACGAGTTTTTTCCAATTTGAATGCCGAGTTGCTCGCGAACCAATCGCGAGCCGCTTGGCTCATTTGTAGCCCTACCGATAAGCAACACTAAAATGTGTTTGGAGTTTGGACTTGGAGGTAACCATTTGATAATCAAATTTCTCCACTTATAGGGTTAAAATGAAAATTTAAGTGTGTTTCAATATCACCAAGGACCTTACAAGTATATCATCTTCTTCTAAATATATATCGTTGGGAAATGAATATTATCTTTTTATATGAAAAATAAATTACTAATTAGTTGAAAAAGTACAACGACGGAACACAACCCTATCATTTCCATGCTAAGAAAAATTACAATTTCCAGTATTGTTATTATTGTTTAACAGTTGAAGTTTGAACTACTAAATTTATAAAAGTTACAAGTAGTTATCCTACTTTTAAAACGTTGTTATTATTATTTTCATATTTATATGATACGAATTTAACAAATTTCACTAAGGCAAATTATTACAACACTACCATTTATCGTGTTTTTTCTCGATTCTAAATTTCTCTTAATCTCGTTTGTTATGTTTCTTCTCTGTCACTCTTAATAAGTCTTAACCCTAACCAATCCAAATCTCCCTCGATACAAAAAGAAAAAAAAAAGCTTTTTCATTTTCCCCCTTTGTACGAAAATCCAAAGGAAAGCAAAATAAGCCAAACAAACAGAGCAAAGAGGGAGAGAATCGCTTCTGCAGATCAACAAAAGCTGGAGAGCGAAACCCCCGAATTCATTATCTGCTTTTCTTCTCCGATAACCCTAACAAGCTCTCTCTCGACGTTTCAACGAAAGGTTAGTGAGGTTCTCTCTCTTTCTCTCTCAATCGGTACCTTATTTTCCTTCGATTATCAGTTAATCGCTCTCCGTTTAATCGTGTTTATCGTAGAAATCTGGTGCTCTTACTGTAATCTGCTTGACGTTGAAGTCGCTATTTTTCGAATGATTTTTTGCTGAATTCGGTGCGTCCTTTGAGCGGATGTGCTGTTAATCCTTTTGTTCTCTTCTTCCTGTGGGTGAAGTTTGGTGGGTGGGTTTGTGTTCAATCAGTTCATGGATTAATACGATGTCAGTTCAAAATTAACGCTAGTTTCTGCTGGTTTTCCCCTTGGTTTGGAATTACCGTTTGATTGCGTTTCTTGTATTGGGCTGATTTCGATGATTATGTTGTTTGATGATGAACAGTTCCTTTTCCCCCATGCTGCCCCAAACTTCGTTCTTAGGATACCCCGACCCCTTTTTTGGAAGAGAGAAGGTTAAATATCTTCAGTGATCTTAAGACCGAAAAAAGGTTTTTGTTGCTTGTATTTTATTCTTTCCGATGTTTAGATATATGTGTTCTTTCTGGTTGCCATGTTTTTTCTGTTCCCTCGGATAGTTGGAGTGGCGAGACACGTCATGGGATTGATTGTTTAAATTTGGTTTCTTTGTTTGTTTCAGGTTGAACCCCCTCCTATTTTTAGATCATCCCTAATATAGGCATCATGAGATTTAAGAAAGGGAGCAAGGTGGAGGTGCTGGGAAAAGAAGAGGGAGTGTGGCGGCTGGGTGAAATTACATCTGGCAATGGACACACATACAGCGTCAAGTATGATGTTTCGATGTTTGCAAGTGGTGAAGATGTTGAGGAAATGGTCCCGAGAAAGGCCATTAGGCCCTACCCTCCATATGTTGATTACCTCGATTCATGGTCTGTTGGTGATGTTGTCGAGGTCTATGTCAACCTGTCCTGGAGGACTGCAGTGGTTATGGAGGTCATGGATGGAAATTACTATTTGATTCAGCTAACTGGGAGTGCAAGAGAACTTCAAGCCAATAAAATCAACATTCGAGTGCCCCAATTATGGCAAGATGGCCAGTGGTTTGTCATTGGAAAAGTAAGATCCGTTCGTTTTTCTTCCCTTAAATTGCTCTCATATACATTTTCCCCCTTCTTATTATGCATTCAACTTTTGGGGATTACAATTCCAATGGCTCCGTTCATTGCATGTTGAACATCTTTGACAAAATCGTAATCTTTCTATATACAGACTGTTGGATTCCTAACTTTGTTGTATTGGATAATACTCAGGGAAATAGTAGCTGCGAGGATGTGAACTCCACGAATGCATCAACCTTGAGTTGTTATCAGAAACCAAGCCAGAGGATGAAGCAAGTTGGTGCCAGTAGAAAATTGCAAGAAGGGAGTAACTATCTATACACCGAAAACAACACTGGTTTTCAGGAGTCTTGTGTTGTGTCAGCTAGAACATTGAAGAGAGCTTCTCCTTTCTGGTCATCTGACTTTGAAGCATACGATGCAAGCCTTCACAAAAGGAGAGCCTTTAGGAAAGAGGAGCAACTCCAAGGAGCGGTGAAGGGGTACCAAACATCTTCACTGAAAAAGGTAGACACTGTTGCTTACCCAGAACAGTGTATGGGTGAAATAGACATGCATGTTTCCCCTAATAATCAATCTGGATGTGCCAGAAGAGTGGAATATAGTGATTCTGCTGATGATGCATGCTCTGTTGGTAGTTGTAGTGTCATTAGCATGAATCCTAGTAAATTGTTAAGCTGTGCAATGGCTGGTAACAGTGCTGGTAATGATTCCTTGAGTAGTGATGCTGAGTCACATTATTATCATGGAGATGAGGAAGAAGATAATTTTCCCCATCCCCTAGAAGATGTAACTGCAAGAATCCATAGGTTAGAGTTGCATGCTTATCGTTCCACTCTAGAGGCACTCTATGCTTCTGGTCCCTTAAGTTGGGAACAAGAAGAACTTTTGACTGATCTTCGTATGTCTCTTAACATCTCTCATGATGAACATTCAGTGGAGATAAGGAATTTGATCTCCACTAGTTCAGGTGGTCATAGTAGGTGGTAGTTAAGTAGGTTTTCCTTTTATATATTTTCATGTTTCAGTAGGGTCTTCGTGGTTGTCATGTGATCATATTATTGTAAGAAGCAGGATGTAATTGTTACAATTTGTAGATTTCTTGACAATTCTTCATTGTGGCAATTTAGCCTTGACATTTGTAATGCAGAAACTATGTAAGAAGTTCTTCCTACAGTATTTCATTAGAGGATCACCATTGTGTTTTTGTTTTTCCCCATACCTCTTTCTTTCCGCTTTCCTTTAGTTTGTTTGAGTATGAAGCTGCTCCATAGGCGACAGAACGAAGCCATGTTTCATCTCCCTACTATTGACTTTATTGGAAACTTGGTTTGCTAGTTGGAAGATGTCGTTGAAAGTGTGTAGTCTTTTTTCGGATTCGATTATCTCTGAAAACAAGGTTCTCTTGTATGGCATGTTGTTTCTGTCATTAGAATGATATCCGGAAATGGGAAGACTGCTCTGGGTTATTTGTTCTTGTTAGTAAAATGAATATGGATTTATATTTTCGATCTATAAGGCGGTGAATCCCATGACTGAAAGGTTGGGCCAGGAATCTGGTTGACAATCTTGCTCCCACCTTTCAAATGTTGATACTTTAAGGTGTACACTACCAAATCTGGTTGACAATCTTGCTCTACCAAATCTTAAGTAGTTGAGTTTCTCCCAGGAATTCCAGTTTGTGGATGTTATTGATAAGTCCCCTGCATTTTCAGGACAGCAGTTCGACACATGCATGCTTTACTTCGAAAGATCAAAAGATGATGCTGGGACACAAAAGTTGGGCCAGCATGTGCTTCCCTTTCTTTTGCTTCACATGCATATATTTTTTCTTCTTCTTGGGCTAAGCATGTCTATTGCTATTAGCTGATTACAGTTTGTTTCAGGTTTGCTGGAACACATACAGAACTTGTGGCTGCCACGATGTGGGAAGTTCATGCTATTTTAAATATTCAATTATCCACAGGTTTATTGTGCTTGTTTCGTCTGCATAGTGGCATCTCGTCTGAACTGAGTAAACAAGTCGGTCCATGGTTAGATTTTGGAAGAAGTCACCTTGATGCTTAGCTTGGTGCGTGAATGATTTTGAAGAATTTGGGCAACGTGTATGATTTAGTTCTTGTGTCCTTTACACTCTTTTACATTACCTGGGTAGTTGATCAGTTCTGTTCTTCTTTTGCCCCCTCTAAATCGAAGGTAACATCACGGATGTCTCTCCCTTGGAACTTGTTCCTCAAAGATTCACTGCTAAAATTTCTGGTTTGGTTTTCTTCCCTAACCTGCTACATGTTGAATTCATTTGTCTTTTCGAATTTCATGTAATGTTTCGACTGTTCGTAAACATCTAGTTGCTGGTAAAGATATTAAATCTGTTTCTTGGTTTTATGATTAGAAACCTCCTGTGAGGGTGGTTGGATGGAGTTTGCATGCATGGCTGTTTAATCTGAATACCATCTGATTGCTTTGAGGTCCCTCGTCACTGACTCTTGAAATCAACTTCCTGCTATGGCGTTGCCGTATCAGTTCATCCTTAAACTAATTACTTTTACTCATCGCAATCCTGCACATAGGCATGGTGCTAGTTTTCAGTAAACAAGAAGATTGGACTCATCATAACAAGGTGAGTTTTCTCCTTCTCCATGCTTTGCTTGTGTTTTGGTTTAATGATTGTAGTTATGTTCTCCATATGAGGGAGGGGGTGGATCACTGGTTGCTAACTCTGGCATAGATGTGAATGACCGGGTCTTACAAAGTTGTCAGCCGCTCTGCTCTCTCTTGACAGTGATGGCTATATACTCGATCCAATCCAATCCGTTGGTACCAGTGTCATTTTGATGCAATTGCTCGATTCCAGGTCGTGATAGTTACCGTGTTCAAAATGGCATATATCGCAGGCATCTTTTGATCTTTTAAATGTTTTGATTGTCCTGTTGGATTGTTATGTATTCTGTCCTGGGTACCGGCACTTCTTCCTGGAAGCTTCCCCAATATCCATTTGTTCAGTGACATAGATTATCCAATTGAAGAAAAACAACTCGTCTGATAGTTCTGTGCATTGACATTATGTATCAATGTACACCATGTTCAGGAAGCAAACCGTTTCGACACCAGCACTAGGCTTGTTTGCGGCATGGTTTCTCGTTGTTGAGCAATCATAACTGCTGTTCATCATCACATCGATTGCTTGCGTCGTCGCTTAAAGTTGGATGACTTCGGTTGGGTCAATGATGCCCTGCGTGGTGTGTGATAGGATGAAATCAAATTGTAACTTATGGCAGTTCATGATTCTTGGGTCAATAGTATAAATGGTCACTTACGTTTGACACTACTAACAAAATGGTCACTAACGTTTCATTTTTAACGAAACAATAACTTATATTTGTACTAACTAACAAACTGGTCATTCCATTACTTTCCATCCATTTCTCCATCCAACGTTCACACATCACCAGCCACATCATCCTAATTAATATATAAATAATCTCTTACTAGGCTGATATGGACAAACCAATTGAACCCACCCTAAATCCAAATACAACCAAGCCACTAACCCACCGAAATTACAGAAGGACCAATTTATTTGAATTTCTAGCCAAAGAGTCTCATCTCTGATCTCTCGCCCTCTGTCCAGAACAATCCCCAATTTTTTTTCATAATGGAAAAATTAGGGATTCTGTGCCAAAAAGATCGCCGGAGGATTACAAAGGTTCACCAAATCTTCTTGTATTGAATGTATAATCCCCCTCGGCGGATTTTCATCTCCATCTAGTACCGTCGACTATAAAGCGGCGTTCGCAAGATGTGTACAAGAGTGGGGATTTCATATTCTAGACTGGGATATAGATTGGGGATGAATCGGCGTTTGCGGGTTGCCACCTACCATTAAGTCACCACCGAGCGCCGATTGAGTCAACGAGCGATTGGGGCTTTCTCGCTCTTTGACCGTTATACGAGGCTCGCCGCCGGCCTGGATCTCCCTCCGTTTTCCTAGATTGCGGAGATCAATCCCCCCAGTTCGTGATAGAATGGGGCAGCGTCGGGAAAGAACTCTTCCCCAGCTTCCAACGCCGGCTTCCTTCCTTTCACCCGGCGATTCTCCTCCCTGCTGTTGTCCCGTCTCGAAAGAGGGCGACAAAGCTCCTCCTTGGTGTCCTTTCCGTCGACGAAGATAGAGGACGGGTCTTCTTCTTTGGCATCGGACGGCGACACTGTTTAGGGGAGTTCTCCGCAGTCCGCACCTTGCCACCTTCTCAGCTCCCGTCCCTGGAAGGTGTATCGCAAAGAGAAGGAGAAGGGGAAATTGGGTGGGATGGATGGTTAGTGCCTTGGATCTGGTTGGAGGTTCGGTTAGGTTGGCTGATACAAGATTTTACGTGGCAACTTCTACATTGAAAAATGGGTGATGTGGCGGGTGATGTGGGAATGATGGATGGAAAAATGGATGGAAACTAACAGAATGACCATTTCGTTAGTTAGTGCAAACGTAAATTATTGTTTCGTTAAAAATCAAACGATTAGTGACCATTTTGTTAGTAGCACTAAACGTAAGTGACCATTTATGCTATTGACCCCATGATTCTTATGGTGTTCTTTCACGAGAAAACAAATGAATGGATGAGATCACTTTGGTGCTATTCACGGATTATTCAGGATTAAGTGGCGGTTTTAACTCATTATTAGTATGTTACAATAAGGGAGGGCTTGTATTTTCTAGAATCAACTCACTGTAGAATACATCAATTGTAATAGGTGGAAAAACAAATAGAGATGTGACCCAATTGCCGATGAGGTAGAATAGGTAATTAAGAACATGACTATGGAATCGAAATGAAATAAAATTATGCTGAATGCTATTCAATTTTTTTTATATTTGTTTTTACAAAACTAGCTTAACAGTAAAGAGATCCACTTAAATCAAACATATCTAATATCTAGACTAAGGCCGGCACAATAGTAGTAGTTAATATTAAACGTTTCATTCTTTTTTTTAGAAATATCGACGCACAAAACGTCTAATTCATGGAATAAGAAATACCCATTATATCATGGCGAAACCATTATACGAATTCTCTATCCCTAACATTGAGATTATGTGTACCAAAACTGAAATCATGGCCCAAACATTCCATTCTGAATGTAGATGAACCTTTTACGAAAACAACAGATACAATTATTCTTAAAAAAAAAACTAATGTGTAGTTTGATAGAGAGAGTAAGAGGAGTAAATGCAAACACAAATTAGGTTAAATCGTACATATAACTTATATTGAGGGGCCTAAGATGAAACTATATAGAACTTAAGAACTCAAATTGAAGTTCGACTGAAATTTAGGTATGATAATGATATTATGATTTTCACTCTAAAGTCGAAGGACGGAAAAGACTAAAGAGGCGCTTATTGATAACGCAAGCGTGTTTAGTTTGAACGTTGTTAGAACGCAACCGTAATCCTAAACTTCCTTCTATATAAACCCCACTCGCTCCCGCCCTCTCCCTCCGTAGTCCGTACCACCTTCTTCATCCAAACACGAATTCGAGAAAGAGCGCAGAGAGTCTCAATGGTAATGCGCCTTCCCTTCTGCCTGCCGATTTGTTCTTTCTTCTTGAATTTATTTTCTCCCTCGATCTTCACCGGATCAATGGTGAAGCGTCTGGATTCTGTTTTACTCTGCCCTCTCAGCGTCTCGCTTCTTTTGATTGCCTTTAGTTTGTCTGTTTTGCTTCGTAGTTCAGCTCATTAACGCTCGATTTCTCGCTGAATAAACAGGCATTGCCGAACCAGCAGACCGTTGATTACCCGAGCTTCAAGCTAGTGCTCGTCGGCGATGGCGGCACAGGTTTGTCTGTCGTGATCATATCGTCTTTCTTCCCTATAGTATCGCTTCCATCTTCTGCTTCATCTATCCTTAGGGTTTCGACTCGATTAGCTATGCTTTGACTGTTGTGGATTTGGATGCGCGATTGCCTGCAGGCAAAACGACGTTTGTGAAGAGGCATCTTACTGGCGAGTTTGAGAAGAGATATGAGCGTAAGTAGTTGTAAGGGGGGATTGATTGATTTCCATTCTTGGTGTGCTATATTTTGCTTGTTAGAGATGTTTCCATCGAATTGGTTGTGTGGGGTTTTCGTTAACTCGGTTCGATTTTGATCATTCTTCAGCAACGATTGGCGTGGAGGTTCATCCACTTGATTTCTTCACCAACTGTGGCAAAATCCGGTTCTATTGCTGGGACACTGCTGGACAGGAGAACTTCGGTGGCCTCAGAGATGGATACTAGTAAGTCTTAGAAGTTCCTTCTTGCTGCAATTGTCTGTAAAGTAATCGTCCTTATCGAATTGTGATTGGGTGTATGGTGATGAATAGATTGGTATCCTAGAAAGTTAGATGTATCTTGGAGCATTGATCTTAGATGTTCTAAGAATGCTATGATGGTTTGATAACAATTACTGAGAATGTGTTGGTTCGATGGCAGTATCAATGGCCAATGTGCAATCATAATGTTCGATGTCACTGCTCGGTTGACTTATAGGAACGTTCCCACGTGGCATCACGATCTTTCCCGGTAAGTTCTGCATCTTTCTACTTGGTGAAGGGTAGCAGCGAGCATCTGATGTTACCTTACTCACTACCCGGCTTAATGTGGTTAATTTCCAGGGTCTGTGAGGACATTCCTATTGTTCTGTGTGGGAACAAGGTGGATGTGAAGAACAGGCAGGTGAAGTCCAAGCAGGTCACATTCCACAGGAAGAAGAACTTGCAGTACTATGAGATCTCAGCAAAGAGCAACTACAACTTCGAGAAGCCTTTCCTCTATCTCGCAAAAAAACTTGCTGGGTAGCCACCATTGCCTCTGCATTTCCCTCTTAGGATTACAGCAGTACTAAAGAGTGACGATGTTCAATGTTGTTGTCTACTGATTCCAGGGATCCTAATCTGCGTTTCGTCGAGAGCCCTGCCTTGCAGCCTCCAGAGGTCCACATCGATTTGGCTGCACAGCAACGGTAAGTTCTTTTCCTCTCTTGTCCAGTTGTAGTATTGTCTGCGACCTTCATTGTTGTCCATGAACTCCTTTTGGCTTAACGTTGGTTCTTTTTTCAATTATGAACCTGCAGGATTGAAGCTGAGCTTCTTGCTGCTGCCAATCAACCAATTGCGTATGACGACGAGGATGATATCTTTGACTGAAAAGAAGGCGTCGACAGTGTAAAGCTAGCGTAGAAGATTTTGAACTTGAGGATGATTTTGTAGGATTATGTCTAACGCGGCGCTAAGTAGATAGAAATATTCGTGTGCCATGAAGGCTTATTGTAGCAAAGGTAGTTGACGTTGGTATCGTTTGAAAAGAAAATTCTATCTGATTTTGGTGGATTTCTACATTTTCTTGAGTTTCTTTTGTATTGGAAAATGAGTGAGTATTCTTATTACAAATAAAATGTTAAACTCGCTATGCTATGCATTGATATTATGTATCGATGCACTAGCACTTGACTTGTTACGTTTTTTCATCAACAATCGCTGTTATTCTTCATTATCGTATCAATTGCATGCACGGTCGCTTAGATTTGATGATGTGTCGGGTTAACGATGTCTTGCAGATATGTGATCTCTTTTGGTAATCAGTTCTAATATGATTTGCTCAAATGGAACAGCAGCGGCATGATGAGATGAAATCATGAAATCAATGTTGTTCGGATTGTCCTTTTGATTGAGATGATGGTGTGGCTTTAGGTTAATTTGGTTATTTTGTTAGTACCTCGCGACTTCTGCTTGTTGAGAAAAAAGGGGCGAGGTTGATCGGATCCTTTGCCACCCCAAGAGCTACGAATGGTTGTTTTACTTCTACCTCATGATTGAGTTGGCTCCATAGTGTGATTACAGAGTCAATTATGTTATCGACTTTGGTTTATTGATAAGTGAGAGGTTTGTTAGATTATATATCACTCTACCGAATGTTTAATATTTTAAGTACGTGAGAAAATATGTCACATTCATATATTAAAAGAGAAATTTTGTATCATAGATTACAAAAATAATAATATAATTAATAACATGATATCAACTAGATAAAATTCCGAATTAAATAATATGATACCAATAGAGTATGCAAGAGTATATAACCATGTGATCAATTAATGATGAAACATATGCTATTATTTTTTTTTTTGTCATCATGACACTAATCACAGGTATCTTACATGACATATAAATATTAATATGTTTAAATTATAATTATTTTAGAGTTTTGTAAGAAGTTAAATTGTTTTGAGTGATAAATAAGTTGAGGGATCGAGCTAATTGATGAGCAGGCATCGAGTAGAGCTAGTGAGCTCACTAATGAACCGAGTTCAAGTAAAAAAACAAATCAAAACTTTATTAAATAACCCGAGCTCGAACTAGATAAGAATTGATTCGATTTGACTTCACTCGACTCATTCTCTGCCTAGGTGAAGCCAATTGTTCAATAGTTCTTATGATGTTCTTTTAAGAAAACATTCATCTACAGCAATTTGTCCCCTCGGCCTTCCCAATAAATAGTAAACACTCTCTACTCTCTCCTGATTCTAGGAATACGAATCTGCATTTCGTGGAGAACCCTGCCTTGCAGCCTCCAGTTCCTCTCCTAATCTCGAGCGTGTGGCATCGTTGACCACTTGACCTTCATTCTATGTTTTTATCATTTTTACACAATGCGGTAGACAATTTAGTAATTTCAAAGCATTGAGTTTTAAAGTCGTGGAACACAAATATTTTTTTAAGAGCCATATATGTGTATATATATATAGATTACCATGATCGGATTACTATTGTGTCCCTTAAATTGTGGGATAAGGAATGCCGATATCGCATATCGGAGCTCGTCATTCTTGAACAGAGCGCACATGTTGGCAACCCTAAAACCTGCAAGCAATCAACTAAAGGACAAAACTCTCATATATTACTATTGATGGTAGCCACATATTTCAATCTATATATATATAATCGCAACCCCCACGATCACTATCAGCAATAAAACCATGTCTTGATCTTCATTGGGAAGATGAGCAGAACCTTCATTCAATTGGCCTGCCTCGACACCTTCAAGACTAGGAACCAATTATGACTTTGCTTTGTCACAAGAAAAAAAAAAAAAAAACTGTACTACTACTCCTACTTAGGGGGTGAACAAACACACCCGCAAACCGACCCACCCGTCCAATCCGACCCAACTCACCCGTATTTATCCCTAAAACGAAAGTTTTGGGTTGGGCGAGGGTTTTCTTTTGTACAACCCGCCTCCTTTGGGTTGGGTTTGGATTTTGGATTACACAACCCGTAGAACCCGACCCAACCCGTGTTCCAACTATTAGTATGAGTTCAAATCTAAAAATATTTATGTCGTATATAGTCATATACTTATGAGAAAATTAAGATATTTTGGCATGTTTTTCTCTCATGGTCTCCCTAATCTAATACATTCTTCGACTTAAAGTTTAGACATAAATTGAATATAGTTGTGATTCACGTAATCCTTTTCTTGTGTACAATTTTAATAGAATAACATATTATGAGTGCGTTTGTTTATAACATTTTTAGCCTATTTCCACAAATATTGTGAAAAAAACAAGACATATGTTGAAGTAGATCACATTTTATTAAAATTCAAACAACATTTGTGAATTTTGATACCTTTCACCTCGTTTCATTCGTTTGAAATTTTAATTAGTTATAAAATATTTTTATGATATAGAATAATTATATATTTTATGTTGGGTTGGATTTTTACTTAAAAATATCGCCAACCCGACCCAACCCAATTAGAAAAAAACTGTAGGGTTAAAATTTTTTTGGGTGAGTTTGGGTTTGATATTTTCCAAACCGTAGTGCATGGGTCGGGTGGTTAAAATGACTAAACCTGAACCACCCAACCCATGTACACCCCTACTCCTACTTCTCATGTCATTTGAACTCCGGCCATGCATGTTATTTTCAAAATTCAGTTAAAAAAGCTCAATAATTTAGTAGTGGCAGAGTTACATTTAGTTTAGACTCTCCATTGTAATAAGGTATTATAGTACTCTATCGTGTGTAGGTTGTAATAAATTCATACTCTATCGTGCGTAGGTTTTCAATTAACAACTCGGATTTCTAGTCATAAACGAGCTCTTTATTATTCGATTTATAACTTTTTAATCCATTTATTTTGGTAAATCACACAACTCTCAAGACTCGACAAAAACACAAACTATAACAAGACTATCCATCTAAACATTATACAATTCCCCAGTTCCCCCAATATATATACCACCAACAAATTTTTTATTCTCAAGATTACTCTCAGAAAGAGAGCAACATTCCCCACTTCTCATTCTTTAATTTCGAAAACCATACAAAGTAATATCGGAAATTACTCGTAAATCGTCCGGCTACTATATAACAAACACTCCTTTCTCTCGTTCTCTGTTCTATTTATAGCACTCGACACCCGAAACCCAGGCCGCCTTCAGCCCAACACCACCAACAAAACCACCTCCACGCCACCTCGTCTCAATAACCTATTTTTAGTAACCACCACGTGACTCACACGCGCCCGGTGCCGCGTACGCTCAGCAGCTTGACGTCGTCGATGACGGGCCCACACAGTGACGAGAAGTCGTCGCTCCGCATGTGGTAGAACGAGCTGTAGAACATGACCCGGGTCCGGGTCGAGACCGCCACGAACCGGAGCACCGCTCGCTTGAACCCGCCCTTCCCGTTCGAAGTGTAGGGCACCTTCAAGGTGTCCCTCCCCGCAAAGGCCTCGACGAGCATCGAGCCCGCGCACGCGTTGCTCGCGTCCCCCACGGCAAAGGTCAGGGTGTAGGCCTTGCCCGGGATGGTCCGGGCCACCTGGGCGATGGCGCTCTCTTTGCCCGCCACGAGCTCGACCGCCCGTTTGCCTTGGGGGACCGAGAAGTGGTCGGAATCGATATACTTGACGGCTTTCAAAGACTCCACCATCCATCCGGGGAGCGGGGAGTGGTCGTCCTCGATGTTCGGAGGGATCAGAACTCCCCACGATGTGTTGGGGAGGATGTAGGGGCCTTCTTCCCATCCTCCGTTCTTCAGTATGTTCTCTGCATCGTCACAAGGTTGGAAAAAAAAACTTGTTATCGATGTTACCGCAACATATTATACGTACCCAAATAATTCAAAACGTACTATAAACAAACGAGGGGTAAAAGTGGAATTGAAGAAGTTAGGAGGGAACAAAGCAGGCTAAGGCATTAAATGGAATGAGCTTGCATTAGATCAAATTGCACGCGACATGTAATGAACCCTACCCCATATAGTGCCCACACGATTTCTAATCCCATGCAAATGAATTTAATATTTTGTCTGATCAATAATACAAAGGAAAATGCATATAATTAAATGTGACAGTGCAAATTTTATACTTATTTCAAAGCACCTTATGTTGCCTCCATAGCATAAAAACTATGCACACGTACACTAATTAAAAAGAAAAACACTAAGCATCCTATTGTGACGATAAATAACGTGTGGTCACTACTTAACATGATTTTGAATACTAGCAATGAATCAGGTGTAGACGTGTGGTCACAACTTAACACGAATTTGAATTCTACTGTGAACAAGTTTATATTATTAATTAACAATAGATAATTAACATACAAATTATGATCGAACTAGTTACGTACTTACTAACAATATAAGATTCATTTTTATCTCCTGACAACTTTCATGCCCACAGGACAACTTTAGCATCAAATCGTACTCCTGTGACAGCTTTGCCATTTGAATTTCAAAATTTTTGAAACGACACATCGAGCCCAGCCAAACACCAGACATTTAAGAGACCGAGGAAGGTAAAAAAAAAAAAAAATGTCAGAAAAGGTTGATGGACTTACTGTTGGTGGGCCTAGGAGGGAACAGAGCCCTGATAGCAATCGAATCGATCAACGGCCCACAAGCAGGATCCTCTTCCACACCCGGGTTGTGGATCAAGATGTCCGCGTAGCCGTACTCGGCCTGGAAAGCCCAGGCGTACGAGTCCCACCCGTTGCTGCTGTACATGGTCTGCATCGGCAGCACGCCCGAGTCCGGAGCCACCGAGATGTTGAGCTTCTCCTCCTGCGCGCAGGTTCGAGCCGCGCAGAACGTGAGCGAGTAGTACATGCCCTTGATCACCTTGACTCGCTGCTTGATCGAGGCCTCGTTGCCCAGCCTCACCGCAAAGGCGCCCTCAGGGACGACCAGAAGCATGTCGCCCTGCTTCTGGCCGGACTTGATGTACTCGACGAAGCCCGATATCTCCCATTCGGGGATCGCGAATCGACCGAGGACCTCGGTGCCCTTTAGGGATGTTGCGTTCGGTCCCAGCTCGAAGTTGCCATTCCTCAGCAACCCTGTATGTAAAATCAAAATAGAATTAGTGACGGTTTATATGGTCGCTAATAGTTTTTTTTCCCGTGAGCGAAGAATTAATGACGGTAGATATTGTCACTAATTGTCTTTTGCCCGTGAACTAAAGAGAATTAATGACGGTAATATGGTGGCTAATTGACACCGGTTTACTATGCATCATTTGAAAAACGTATGGTCCTGTGAACAAAGACAGGGACAGAACGAGGACCAGATAGCTAGGCGGCCTGATTTGAAGGAGAAAAGGGGTCGAAAATATAAAGCCAAAAACAGGGACACTAAAAATAGAACAAGTCACATGACCGGTGTTACTATGTAGCCAAATTGATGTCGGTATGACATACGTAAAAGAAAAAGAAAGAAAAAAAGAAACTTTCCCTTTCACCTTTTATGGTCAATTGTATTTCACCTCCTACTTTTCGAAATTTGGACACTTTTGTCGTGGGGTGAAACAAGAAAATGACAACAGTGATAGGTTAGGTTTGGTTTGGTTAGATGTTAAAACCCCTTAAAATGGGGGGTTTAATTAAAACAGCATCATGTGCTAAATAGTAAATACAGATAAGATAAGGGTAATGGGACCCAATTTCCTTTCGTTTTCTTTCCAAAATTAACCGGCAGTTGGTCTAATCAATAATCAATCATTACACTGCGATTACAACAAGTCAAGATTTCAATAATAACGCACCTAAAAAACGTAATTAGATGCAATTATCTGCATATATAATTCATGGGTTCAAAACCCTGAACTACAGTTTCTGAGTTACAATGCTTGAGGTCTTTAAACACCTTAAATTCGTTAAGCAGTTCGTCAATAGCTATTAATCACAACTAGGAGAAAAGGTTTTAATGACCAGGAGTGGTCGCTGATAAGAGACCATAGTGGTTGCGATAGATTATTAGCGACGAGTTTGTTACTTTCTACAAGGTTTTGGTTGCAAAAAAAGAAAAAAAAATAGTGACGACAATGGGACGAGTATCAACACGTACCGTCGCGAATGGCGAAGGCGGAGTGACAGGTGGCGAGAACGAGCAGTACCAGAAGCAGAGAAATGACCTCTCCTCCTCCTCCACGGCTTCCTCCCATGCTGCTGTTTGAATATTTCTCAACAATGGTCTGTCTTTATTCTGCCTGCTGCCTTTGTTCTCTTCTAATGGATTTTTTTGGGGACAATGAGAGAAGGGTGTGGGGAAGAAGACGATGCTGTGGGATGGAAGAGAAAGGGAGGAGGAGTATATAAGGGAACCCATTTGGGAGATAGCCCTTGGGTTCTGGTGATAATTACAGAAATGACACTCCAATGGCGGTACAAATGAATTATTGTTTTTATAGGGTTTATGTATATCCAAATTCCCTTTGTGAAGTTTGTTTCGTCATGTTGCATGTGCCCCCACTGGTTTCTCTGTGCAAGCTGACCAAGTTCAACCATACATAGGCGTTGTGCAAAATTAAGAGGAGGGGCCGAAATATTGCAGACGTGTCGTGTTGCGAATTGGGGAAAGATTGGCTGCCAAAAAATATGACGAGGTCATACGTAGAAGAAATGAAGATTTAAACGACTCAAATAATGTGACGAATTAGTTATTGATACTACTATAAGAATCGATGTGTATGGTATCTGATTTTTGGAAAAAAATATTAACATGAGAGTTAAAATTATGTTTATGTAAGTGTAATAGATCTATGCAAACATCAAATTTGTGGTTGATATTTTTGTTTGGGAATTTAGAAAGCATGGCATAAAGGTTTCCAAACAAATTTGTCAAATAGTTCAACTTTTGGTAAGGTTATTAACCCCATTTGCTCAGCTACCAGATTCAAATTTTGTTCCATTTTGTTTTTCTTGCTCAGATTTGAAGATCCATTACCGATTGGGCTACACAAACTTGAAAATCATGAACTACTTTTCAATGTAAATAGACATGTAAAAGTGTATAAGATTCATGTTTAAAGTTGCAACACGTTCATGTAAGTACACTCAGGGGTTAATGAAAGGAGCAATTTAATTGGCATTGAGCTGGAGAGAGAGAGAGAGAGATGGTGATCTCCGATTGTCAGTTTGTCACATGGCGGGTTTTGCTTCTCTGTAGCAGGAGGCCACGAGAAACTGAGAATGGCCCTCCCGGCCCCGCCACCCGGCAGAGGCATATTATATGTGTGATTGAGAGCCTGCCTTTTTTTTTTTTTACAAAGAGGTTGCTTATATTTCATTCCGAAAGAAACTCGGTTACAACGAAAGGGATACACCCTGAAAATCAACTACAAGAAAGAAATCCCAAAGAACCAGTACATCGAAAATGGAGAGAAAAGGCCCAGAAGCAAACAGAAGGGCGACACAACAACAACATGAACAGAAAGACATGGGAACCCTTTTCATGAGCCGAAAACAGAGGATCCAGCAACCATTGTAATCGCATCAAACAGAGTGAGACACAGCAGAACTTCAGCTCGCCCAAACCCAGCCTTGACCATGGAAATTGGCTGGCTAACTTTGGCTGGCCAACTTCTTCATGATTTCCCGGCTATGCTAATTGCTACGTATTACCTTTCTCTTGTTTTTTTAGGCAGTCGGTCGAGGATTTTGGGGATCGGTTGTGAATTGTTAAAAAAAATGATTAAAAGAACTGGTCCCTTTGTTTATTTAACCTGATTATTGTGATTTGTCATTGTGCTACGAAGTGTGACAAAAATATATAATATCCAAGATTCTTTTGGACTGTACAAATCTTTATGGGTTGTGGAATGTAGAGAGGGTACTCAATTGTTTTTTTTTTTTTGACGAATAGAGGGTACTCAATTGTGCTGTACGTGTAGAAGGGATACGAACAGAAGAAGAATCAAAGGCTCCTACCGGCCGGCGATGTTATATATATACTTACTTAGTATCTAGCTCTATGGTTTGGTGCATTTGTGTTCATGACTTAATATTGTCAGACGATGGAACTGAGAATCCGATTCCAGGAATCGAATTGGTTTGCTAATTGAATATAGATCAAATTAAGAAGAGATCGAGTGGCGTGTGATTCGACGAAGGTGACAAAAAGAGATAAGAGCGGCCCAGTTTGGATAGACTTCTAGTGGATCGAGGTGAAGGTATATGCGGTGGAAGGGAAGGCAGAAGGTGGCCGACGATTGCAATCAGAAGGCGAGCACGTGGTTTTGTTATGCATAATGCATGCATATATGATATATGTATACAAACAAAACGCATCCCCTAGCTATGTATATATCGTAACTTTGCCTCATCATCATCATCGCCCCCAAAGATTCCTCCGCTCGCCCCCAGGAATCAAGCGACGGTTTCAAAACTTAATTGTTGGGATACTTTAACACGCAAACAAATGATAGTTATCCTGGCCGGTAACTCTCTCGTGAGTCTCGTGACTTACCATCATTCAGTTTACTCTTAATCCAGTTCAAAGAATATGATAAAAAAACTATATACATAATATAGATTACAGTATTTTCCAAATTATTATTCTCTAACACTTATAAAACTACTAAGTAATAATTAACTAAAATAATCTTATTCGCGTTAACTGGATCGGGGGCGGTCGGATACCCATGACTATGGATTTTATTGTCATCCCTAATTTTATACTATTAAACTCGCTAATTGATTTGAATTCGAATAGATTTTTCCGGTCAGACTATCTGTAGAATTTTGTAAATATTGATAGTATCTTCTCCTAACAGCTTAATTCCTTAAGCATATATAATTATGGAAAGTTGGAACTGCATGTGGGTATATTTCCCTCGAACAGCACGACAGGATCAGTGCTGAGAGCCTGAGACGATGCTTCCTTGCGTTTGGCGCTTTAGTCTATATATCAGGATCGATAATTCGATATTGTTAACTACCAAATTAACATATAATCAGGTGCCTTGATTTGTAATATGTATCGTCGTGGTGTCATCTGTTTTATTATTCGTAATCCATCAATTGCGCAGTCAATCTCATTATTTTACAATAATTAAGTCAAATTGTCTCCAAATCTAGGAACAAAATTGATAATTTGATACGTACTAATGGTATTTCCCCAATTGTTTGAGCTGTCACACTGAGGAATACAATTAATTAATGAGTTCTGTATTTTTCATTTTAATACGAACCTACAAATTTTCTTATAACACAAATTAAACTTGTATCCTTAATATTATAATACAAGTTCAATTTGTATATCAAAACACCCAAACTTTCCCGTGTAGTAAAGTGCTCTTACAAGAATACTATAAAAATTCAATATCATAATCCTATATATGCGATCTCAACTGAAGCCATATATATAAATATGATCCGTTGCAGCAATTCTAGGCTGTCGCTGACTGTGGTGAATTCATTTTGTTCTGAATTCTGATCACTTCCCACAATTGTTCTCGTTTCAGGCCTCATCAACCTCATTTCATTTAGTATTGTCGGGCTCCACTCTTTCTGAGCATCTGGATCTCGTCCACACCATATACTGCTCTCTCATTGGTTTGGTTCGGGTCGGGTCGGTTCGGTTTGTCTATAACTCGTATCGACATGCATACTACTTTCTTTTCTTTATCTGTTTATCACATGCTCTTGTCAAGAGCTAGTTGGTCGAAATAATTCGAGTTGTTGAGAGAATGTAAATTAATTATGGGGGTTACTCTTATCACATGATCTCGTCCACACCATATCTGTTTATCACATGCTCTTACACGTCATCTCAAACAAAAGCAAAATCACGGGTTTGAAATTTGCACCGGTCCACCATATTTTTCTTGTGTTTTTATCAACTGTTAATATTTGGAGTTATAGAGATTTGACAACTTACAATTACTTGATTAAATCAACTTTTATATCATGTTAATGATAAGAAAACAGAAACAGAGAAACAATGATAAGGAAACAGAAATAGGGAACACGAACACCGAGTTTATGTGGTTTCTCTGAGAATAAGAACTAGTTCGCGTGAGAGGTGAAACTTTCAAAGTCAATCGTATTCAGCTTAAATTTACAGTGTATATAGAGAGAATATATATATATATATAGATAGGTTACGACAACAATGTAACCCTAATCCTCCACCGTAATAGGAATAATTACTATAAGCTATCCAAACTAAGTACACATAATAATTTCAACCGTTAAGAACTAATTGGTGTCACTAATTCGAACGCTAACCGTCTTTTGATGTTAATGAACGGAGCTGATTCGTCGATAAAGTTGTACACACTGACAATGAAAAGACGAGTTCAGGCAGAAACAAACCCCAACAGTTGTCATCACCGATCGTCGTCGTCGTATCATGTGTTTCTTTGAACAGCAGCGGACAGGAGTTTGGGAAACTGTCCATCTCTAAGTCCATAAATGGTGTCACATGGGAATTATATTACTGTCTCCAAGATAATTATCGTCTCCGATCACTAAGTACATCACAGCTGTGGGTGATTAAGACTGGTTACTCGTGCATACGTATATACACAAATAGCCCTAATTATAGAACAATTCAAGCAATTCTGTATATGGAACCAATCATACCTTCAAAATAGAAGATATATAAAATAATATACTAACGAAAGACAGAATTTTTATCATAGGTTAGGGTTAATTACTAGGATTTTGGATTTTTTTTCCTATAAATATGTATTTGAGTCATTACGTTAAAATTAATCAGAACAGTATTATGCAAAATATCCCAAACCCTAATCCCTCTTCTCTCAATATTCGTCACCTATCCCTAGGTCGTCGGCCGTTCTTCTCCTCGATCCTTAATTTCCTCTACAATACCAAATCCCCAATTCGCAATTCTTTCTTCCAATCCCTAAATCGCAGTCTTATCAATCAAGTTCGTGAATCCCAAGTTACGTGAAGAACCATAGTTCTTACCGTTGGTTAAATCGACGTATGTATTTACTTAGACTTATGTCGGTAGCAAATCACGTAAGGACAACAAAAACACTGCAAAAACATGACGTTCCAAAACAAACTATCACCGACGACCCATAATTCTTACATTTGTACTAGTCGGGTCGACCGGTCCAACCCGGGTCTTATAACAGGGCTTATAATAAGATTTAATGGCCGAGATCTAGGAAATATTACACAAGGGCTAGCTAGATGGGATGTGGATGAATCGACATAAAAGCATCACATGGTAATGTTCCATTTGGGGATAGAATGGCACAATACAATGGCAATACAGAGCACACGAATTTATTTGGAGACTCGCCCACCTGAATACAGAGACATATGCCATTGTTTCCCGGAGATGTTAACTGATTGATTGGGACCAAACCAATTAAACCCCTTCTTCTCCTCCCCCACTTGGCAAACCTTCAACGCCAACCGCTCCCAACATATCCATATAATCCATTGATATGCTATAGAACTGAGTTAATTCGCGATAAGCCGCGGCTAAAATGAAAGGAAAATGGAGTATCAGAATTAGATCAAGAAGCATGTTTGATTCTTTTCTTTTTTTCAACACGGTCCGACCCATTTTTCTCTCATACTTGAGATATTTTTTTTTGTATGATCAAAACAAACTGAAATATATTCGATTTGATTAGATCAGTCCAAAATTGAGTACAACTAGGTCTAGTATAGATCGGATCGTTGCCGACCCCTAATCGTGGTTCCATCTAATTTCGATGCAACTGCGGGGATATATGCAATGCAATGCAGGGAATGGTTTTAAGATATCACTCTAACTTGCAAAACATAGAGGTATATGGGTATGTGCAAACTTAAAACTTGTAGTTTGAGTTTGGTCCGAGAGAGCAATCTAGAAGATGTTATTATATATTACATTTATTTGCACTCCTAGTGATTCGAGTTATTGAAACGAGTTTGTTATTATCATGACATTAAAATCTTCAAGCGGAAGCTCTCATTTTTACATACTTGCACGTCTCAATCATGAATACTAACTTCTAATTTACAATACACAAGATATGCAACTATTTAGACCGGTGTAAACTTCAACCCCATAAATTAACTTAGATTGATTCTCCTTTGGCGGCAGTACACTCTCCAACCTCTTCGAAGACTTTAGCTTTAAATTTGATAAGATACATATATCCAGTCTGTTTCTTTACTATCAAGATCTTGCGAATTACGCGAGATTCGTCGGTTCCTTTCGCTGCTGCGGTGGAGAGGAGAGAAAGGGAGGAGACCGAGTCGACCCCATGCAATGCAAGTTGTCAAATCGAGGAAAGGTTGGTGAAATGCCTTTCTCCCCTTCGTCCTTATTTTTGGGTAGACAAAGGTGAAACTTGAAAGCTAGTTTTAAGATCCAGAAAAGGACAGTTTTTTCTTCTAACTTGTGGAGGGATTCATTGGTTCAGAGTTTCAGTCGGTGATGAAGACGACACATTCGTGCCCCTAAACCCAAATAATGGACGGAAGAGCCATAACTCCACAGATCGGCCCGATTCTTGGCTGCTTCTCATACCTACCCACGTGATGCGGTCTCCAATCTAACTCCCTCCATGGCTCCATCCCCATCTCAATCGGATCACTTCCACCCAAATGGTTACTCGCATTTGTGACAAGTTCGTAAAACAGTCACTTACGTTTAATTTGTAACAAATTCGACGTATCAGAAGGCAAAAATAAGTTAAAGAGTAAATATCCAGTCACCAATCACCATCTTCATATATTGATGATCAACGAGCCTCGTTCACTTTGGCACACTTTAAGCTATATTGATCCGGGCGTCGAGATGTAAAAAGAAATCTCTTTCTAAGAGCACGATTGTTCTTCAAGCAACGTTTCGTTCATATAAACCATGCACTACACCTCCATTGTTACAACCGGTTGTGAAGGGCACCCCTCATACAGGGGAGAATGCCCCCAGACATCTCATGGTCCTATTTTCGGTATATCACAGGCAAAACACAGTCTGCCACTAACTGAGCGTAATGACTCACTACCTATATCAGAGAATTGATTGCAAGAAAATTACAGCGATCTCATTTCGAGTGAACGAGGATCAACCAATCCGGATAGGAGGACGACTAAGAATTAAAGATGACAAGTCTTAGTTTGCACAAACATCATTGCTAAATGAGAGGCAATGAAGGTTTTTATTGACTGCGGAAGAACCAGAAATTCAAAACAGTCTCATCTGCGATTATTAGAAAACTGACGGTACAGAAAATTCAATACGTAGCAACTATCCAGTTTGGAGTACGTAAAACGTTTCAAAAATATATCAACCACCATCCCCGAGATATGTATTGGACATCTACTGGATGCGGATTGGAATGAACAAGAAATCCATTTCGATAAGCACCTGAAGAACTGAGCAGCTTATGGAATTGTGCGCTGGTAGAGAGGCAGGGCTCCCAGAGCCTCACGTTCTGCATTCTCCTTCTTCACCTGTAAGCAAATTCCACATTGTACTATTTAGTTCCTGAAGACCAAATACTGAGGTTGAACGAGGCAAGCAACCAACGAACGGATACTGTTCTTAGCTAAGTGTCCTACTTCTGCTCTAAAACTGCAAGGTGCAATATGCTGAGACGCTTGCTAGAGGCATACTTATAAATGCATGTAAGTAAATTGTTACTGTTTGATAATAAACAGTCTGTTATCAGGCAGTTACAACATGTACAAACTGAAAATTGAGGTCATGTTGCACATTCAAGGAACAGGCTTTCATCACAAAAAGCCTAACCGCCACGGTAGAAAAAAAATATAGGGCAATATAAGATGCATAAATCATAAAAGTGGACCTTATACAATAACTAAGGCAATACTAAATCTGAAACACTGAGGCTCTCCTAAGGTAGCTAAGCCCAAATACAAAACCCCAAATGATGTCTCATAATACAGAGAGGGAAAGGAACAGCTAAGCAAAATGCAATCCAAGTCACCTGCAGATGTAGTCTACACTACACAGTCTATACATGCTTCCATGGCCCATCGCCTATAGCTATCCAATCAGTACCATAAACCTACTGCAACTCTAAATTCAAGGATATGGTAGATCTAGAGGATCGAACTTTCTCAGTCGATACCTAACTCCCTATTTAACAGAGGACTATAATATTAAAAGGCAAGGTCTGACATCACCAAGCAGCATTGCACAAACAAACAAAAAAACTAGAAGAAACAGGAAAGCTAAAAAATAAGAGCTAGTTTCTTGATGGCAGTACGGAGAAATTCAAAATCTGTTAATTACCGGGGGGGAAATTCAAAATCAATTCCACCTAAAGCTACATTAACCCACTAAACCACTTACAAACATGAATAAATTTGGCCAAACTACCAACGACTTGAGAGAAACAACCCAGACCAGCAGTGACAACCACTCAAATCATGCTGGAAAGACCACAGCTTAAATAAAAAAAACACAACTTACCAGAGCCAGCATGTCCTTGAGGTAGCTCCTGAATGGTGTTTGCATTGCCTGCCAGTTATGGAGAACATATGATTAGCATGTTACAAATACACTGATATCTCCTCCACGAGAAGTAGAGTCCAGGGAAACAGAAGCCAATGTGACTCTATTATGTATCAGATAACTGAAGACGGCCAAGTGAGGCACTATACGTGACCCCACCTACAGCTTTCCTAAGCCAGAAAACTACTGCAGACTACTGTTTCAGGAATTTATGCTGGTCTTATTTCACAATTCACTGTCCTTGCAAACAAGGATTGACAATCTAATGGAAGGCATTAAGACCACCAATAGAATAAGTCGGGTTGCAAATCACTATTAGCAACAAGAACAGATCAAATAACGTGATTTCGACACTGCAACATCCACAATGATATCATCGCCTTTGAGCATTTGAAAAAATCCAAATGTAGGAGTGATACAACAATTCACTAGCCTTCTCCCTTGGGAGCTCATCTCATTGATTGCAAGACAGGCAATTTAATTTCAGCACAGCCCTTTCAAGAGCAAACTTTGGCAAAACATTTACAGATCATAATTTCCACCGAGACATCACCGAGCTAGATAACCAAGAGACTGAAATCAACAAGTCATACCTGAAGGTCCGCGGGGAGGTACTCGTGCTTCATGGAGAGGTCCATGGCGCGCTTGAGGCGCTGGTTGCGAGCGTCAATGATCTCCCTAGGAAGCCGATTAAGCGCCTCCTTCACATCCAAATCGAAGTAGGGATCGTACAGATCGTCGTACCTCAGACCTAATCAATCAATTGACATAAACGGTAAGGCACTGGAATCAGGAAGAGACTGGAAATCAATAAAATTAGGGTTTCAGATGGAGAGAAAAAAAGCTTAACCGTATTTCTTTAGGCGGGTCGAGATCGCGTTCATGTGCTGCCTGGCGAACCAGTTCTTCCGTGGATCCAGAAAAGATTGCAAGAAGGTCGACATTTCTGACGTTGTCTCCTTTGCAGCTCTCGGCTGTTGCTCGCCCTTCCCACTTCTTCGACGGCTTCCCGATCTCGCTTTCTGATTTCTACCAAATCCCTTTCTGTGCGTTTTTCTGAAGAATCGTACTACGAGTTTTTGGGAGAGAAATTTTGGGTTTTGCCGAGCAGGACGGACGTGCTCAATTTTGATGGGCTAGTTTTGGGCTTTCTTCAGAAACCCAATAGTCCAGGTTACACGGCTGTCGATGCAACAACTTCGATCCTGGTGGGCCGAAGACGAGTTGGGCTTATATATATTCACAAATTTGGTTCTTTCACTTTTTGAATTATTATGTTATATGATTTAAATCTACAAAACACTATAATGTCAAAAAACAGCTTCTGCCACGTCACCCTTTTCATCAATCGATCGCACACTTCGAAGGGATTATTTTGTCAATTTAGACTCCCTTTTTTCCGGTAATTCAGACTCCATTTCTTCATCGCACCGGAAAGTGAATACTGAATACCCTCCCTCGCCATTCCTTCTCATCCGCATACCGCAATTTCAAATCAAAATTCCCAACCTCCAACCGGAATTCGAAAACTCATTCTAGCGGACTCATCCCAATCGCAATCTGAGATCAAAATCCTCCGCCGTCCTTTCTGGCACGCTCCCGGCTGCCTCTCTGCTCATCGAACCTCATCAAAGGCTCCATCTTTTTGCCACACTCAATCTTAAATCAAAATCCTCTACTATATCCCTCTCTCTACTTCTCCTACCATCGTTGTGTTTGTTGGCATCTTCTCCACACTCAATCTCAAATCAAAATCCTCCACCGCTGCGTTTCTTGCATGTGCTTTGTCTTGGAAGGCCCCCAATATAAAATACTCACTCGCTCTTGCTGTGTCTCCCATACCAACCCTGTAATTCCTCTTCGAAGCCCCCGCCACAAAGCAATGAATCATTCTCCCTCTCACTCTTTGCCTCCTAAAACCAATCCCCATAGTACCCTCTCAAACCGCCATCGAACAAACAATGCTTCTCTTGCTCTTTGTGCCCATCGCAGATGAAGAATTTTTGGTCTCTGCCAACAGTTGCCGCACAAGTGATGAAGTGAAGTTTACCAGCACTCAAAGCTACAGTAGGAGATTTATGATGATTTGAGGATTCTTATCAGGTTATTCCCAACGTCCTTCTAACAACTTGGATTCAAAATATTAAAATCTTAGGGTAGGTGAATGTTTGAGCTTTTATGAAACATAAAAATACAACAAAAAAGTTTACTCTCTCTATGTAAATTTTAATCTTTCATTTTTTTCCGTAATCTTTCATTTTTTCTTGTGATTTGTAGGAATAAGGAGGTGGTATCCTGGGCAATTAAGAAGAGGACGACCAACGAATCCACCTCACCAGGTTATTCCCAATTTCATTGAAACTTCTAGCTGCTGATTAAACAGATGGTGTGATATAATGTTAATAACTATTGTAGAGTCGTTGTTACCGGGTTTAGGAGTTAGCTGACTCAAAATTTATGCCTCCGAGAGTAGTGGTGGATTCGGCAAATGTCTTGAGAACTCCTCTACAATCACTAAATTTGGGGGATTTATCCAGTCATGTATTCTATATTCTCAATCTGATAGACAAGTTCTCATGGGTGCCTTTTCTCTCAATGGCTTGTGCAAGTTGAAGCTTCTCGGAGCTAGATTGTCATTTTGCTTCTTTGAGTAATGTCGTGCAATGATGCGATGTGCTAAATGTCCTTAATTTGATGTTTAATCAACCATAATTATCTTGCATTTAAGTTGGATTTTCTCTTTCTGTTGCGAGTTTTCCCTTTTAAACTCTTTCCTGGATGTTTTTTTGTGTGTGTTACTTCAGGGCCTCAAGAATTTGCAGCTCTATGGAGTTCTTTTGGCCATGACCCGTAAGTATTATTTGTTGATAATTTATGTTGGTGTTTGAAGGTTCAAGCCACCAATCTCCTCTGTGGAAAGTTCAAAAGAGCAATTAAACTATGACACTAGAGTTTTTTACTATGCAATTTATCTGATCTGCCATTTCATTGGCAATTGTCTATTCACCTTTGCAGCATTTTCTTCCCAAATCTGTTTCTTTTGTTCCATTTTTCGCCAAGTTTTGATAATTATCTTATTATGGTTCATGTGGCTGTATCCCCTACTTTTATGTTGACGTTGTGAATATAATTCAATTTGTATATTCAATTTGTTCTCCGAATAAAGACTGAACTCCAGTTTTCCTTTCTGTTCACTCATTGACCTTCATTCAGTTGTTGTTTGTATTGAGTTTAGTTTAATGTTTGAGTGAATTGTTGTTCGCTAGGTACTTAATTAAGGGACAATATTATCGCAACATTGTATTTTTGGAGTTTTAGGTTAACATAGAAATGGCATTCTGCTGCTTTTACATCTGCATGATAATCTCTTTGATTACTCTGCTATTGTGATTTAAATATTTCTTATTGTCATTTAGATGCTTACTTCTTTGTGTAATTGGTTTTGTAACTTTTGCAGTTTGTGATAATTAACCGGATGAAGCTCATACTCTTCATTAAGACAACCATAGTGGGCAACCAAGGCTAATCGAGTTGTCTTTGTATTCAATTTGTAGGCATGGGCGAGCTTAATAATGAAATATTAAGCATCAAGGATGCTCTTAACGATACTTAGCTTTGAGAGTCGACTTTTACCGTCAACATATCGCCTACCTCAACAGTACAATCAAGTAAGATATAACATTATATATAACTTGTTGTTGGAGGATTCATTGGTTCAGAGTTTCAGTCGGTGATGAAGACGACACATTCGTGCCCCTAAACCCAAATAATGGATGGAAGAGCCATAACTCCACAGATCGGCCCGATTCTTGGCTGCTTCTCATACCTACCCACGTGATGCGGTCTCCAATCTAACTCCCTCCATGGCTCCATCCCCATCTCAATCGGATCACTTCCACCCAAATGGTTACTCGCATTTGTGACAAGTTCGTAAAACGGTCACTTATATTTAATTTGTAACAAATTCGACGTATCAGAAGGCGAAAAAGTTAAAAGAGTAAACATCACAAGTGCAAGAAAAAGCTGATGCACTACTACGGTGAGCTCGTCAGGTTCCTTGACTGCCCGGTGGAGCATTTATTCCTTGACTGCCCGGTGGCCCGTCCCCTTTGGGATTATTCAGGGTTGGAACATTTAGGACAAGGGTTACCCCGAAATACTTTCCCACTCTTTCTTAAGAAGTTGTTGGCGATTATTCACCAACCGGACCTTTTGCTAGCTGTTGTGGCTGTCCTCTGGCGAATTTGGCGATCTCGTAACTGGGTAGTCTTTGAAGGAAAGCAGTTTGGGATCCCAGTTTTGATGAGGCAGTATCACTAGCAGCTGGATGAATGGGTACGCCTCCCCGCTGATCCGGCCATTGTCCCGGTGACCCCCGTACCGAACCACTTAAATCCAGTACGGACTAATTCGATGGTATGTATGTGGGACGGGGCGACCCGTCACGGGTCCCACGCGGCGGGTGGGGTGGTGATCATGACGTCGGCTAGGGAGATTCTGGGGGTTATGGGGGTTCAGTTCCAGTGCATTGATGATCCTTTGGTGGTGGAAGTACTTGCGCTTCGGGAGGGGATTTGGTGGTGTCTGGAGCACGGATTCTCGGCGGTGCAATTTGAGGGAGATGCCAAGGTCGTCATTGATAAAATCAATCGGGCAGAGACTGGCGATACTCGGATGGGGGCTGTGCTTAAAGAAGTAGTTTCATCTTTTGCCCTTCATTCGGGGTTTAGTGTGCGATTTGTAGGTCGGCGTCACAATAGGGTAGCTCATTTGGTGGCTAGAAAGGCCTTTTCATTGTTGCCAACTGCGTGTCGTGTTTTTTATTTTCAGGCCTGACTGAATTCCAGGATGTAACTTTCTCTCTGAATCAATATATGATTATCTTTTGACAAAAAAAAAGAGCTCGTCAGGTTCCTAAAATCAACTACTGCTGAAGTGATTACGGGGAGGCAAAGGTCCAATCACCATCTTCATATATTGATGATCAACGCACCTCGTTCACTTTGGCAAACTTCAAGCTATATTGATCCGGGCGTTGAGATGTAAAAAGAAATCTCTTTCTGAGAGCACACAGTTGTTCTTCGAGCAATGTTTAGTTCATATAGACCATGGTCCATGCACTACCCTCCATTGTTAGAACTTACAACCGATTGTGAAGGGCACCCCTCATACATCTCATGGTCCTATTTTTCGGTATATCACAGGCAAAACACAGTCTGGCACTAACTGAGCGTAATGCCTCACTACCTATATCAGAGAATTGATTGCAGGAAAATTACAGCGATCTCATTTCGAGTGAACGAGGATCAACCAATCCGGATAGGAGGACGACTAAGAATTAAAGATAACAAGTCTTAGTTTGCACAAACATCATTGCTGAATGAGAGGCAATGAAGGTTTTTATTGAATGCGGAAGAACCAGAAATTCATAACAGTCTCATCTGCGATTATTAGAAAACTGACGGTACAGAAAATTCAATACGTAGGAACTATCCAGTTTGGAGTACGTAAAACGTTTCAAAAATATATCAACCACCATCACTGAGATATGTATTGGACATCTACTGGATGCGGATTGGAATGAACAAGAAATCCACTTCGATAAGCACCTGAAGAACTGAGCAGCTTATGGAATTGTGCGCTGGTAGAGAGGCAGGGCTCCCAGAGCCTCACGTTCTGCATTCTCCTTCTTCACCTGTAAGCAAATTCCACATTGTACTATTTAGTTCCTGAAGACCAAATACTGAGGTTGAACGAGGCAAGCAACCAACGAACGGATACTGTTCTTAGCTAAGTGTCCTACTTCTGCTGTAAAACTGCAAGGTGCAAAATGCCGAGACGCTTGCTAGAGGCATACTTATAAATGCATGTAAGTAAATTGTTACTGTTTGATAATAAACAGTCTGTTATCAGGCAGTTACAACATGTACAAACTGAAAATTGAGATCATGTTACACATTCAAGGAACAGGCTTTCATCACAACAAGCCAGACAGCCACCGTAGGAAAAAAAAAAAATATAGGGCAATATAAGATGCATAAATCATAAAAGTAGACCTTATACAATAACTAAGGCAACACTAAATCTGAAACACTGAGGCTCTCCTAAGGTACCTAAGCCCAAATACAAAACCCCAATATGATGTCTCGTAATACAGAGAGGGAAAGGAACAGCTAAGCAAAATGGAATCTAAGTCACCTGCAGATGTTGTCTACACTAAACAGTCTATACATGCTTCCATGACCCATCGCCTACAGCTATCCAATCAGTGACATAAACCTACTGCAACTCTTAAATTCAAGGATATGGTAGGTCTAGAGGATCGAACTTTCTCAGCCGATACCTAACTTCCTATTTAACAGAGGACTATAATATTAAAAGGCAAGGTCTGACATCACCAAGCAGCAGCATTGCACAAACAAACAAAAACAACTATAAGACACAGGAAAGCTAAAAACTAAGAGCTAGTTTCTTGATGGCAGTACGGAGAAATTCAAAATCTGTTAATTACCAGGGGGGATTTCAAAATCCGTTCCACCAAAGGCTAGATTAACCCACTAAACCACTTACAAACATGAATAAATTTGGCCAAACTACCAACGACTTGAGAGAAACAACCCAGACCAGCAGTGACAACCACTCAAATCATGCTGGAAAGACCACAGCTTGAATAAAAAAACACAACTTACCAGAGCCAGCATGTCCTTGAGGTAGCTCCTGAATGGTGTTTGCATTGCCTGCCAGTTATGGAGAACATATGATTAGCATGTTGCAAATACACTGATATCTCCTCCACGAGAAGTAGAGTCCAGGGAAACAGAAGCCAATGTGACTCTATTATGTATCAGATAACTGAAGACGGCCAAGTGAGGCACTATACGTGACCCCACCTACAGCTTTCCTAAGCCAGAAAACTACTGCAGACTACTGTTTCAGGAATTTATGCTGGTCTTATTTCACAATTCACTGTCCTTGCAAACTAGGATTGACAATCTAATGGCATGCATTAAGACCACCAATAGAATAAGTCGGGTTGCAAATCACTATTAGCAACAAGAACAGATCAAATAACGTGATTTCGACACTGCAACATCCACAATGATATCTTCGCCTTTGAGCATTTGAAAAAATCCAAATGTAGGGGTGATACAACAATTCACTAGCCTTCTCCCTTGGGAGCTCATCTCATTGATTGCAAGACAGGCAATTTAATTTCAGCACAGCCCTTTCAAGAGCAAACTTTGGCAAAACATTTACAGATCATAATTTCCACCGAGACATCACCGAGCTAGATAACCAAGAGACTGAAATCAACAAGTCATACCTGAAGGTCCGCGGGGAGGTACTCGTGCTTCATGGAGAGGTCCATGGCGCGCTTGAGGCGCTGGTTGCGAGCGTCAATGATCTCCCTAGGAAGCCGATTAAGCGCCTCCTTCACATCCAAATCGAAGTAGGGATCGTACAGATCGTCGTACCTCAGACCTAATCAATCAATTGACATAAACGGTAAGGCACTGGAATCAGGAAGAGACTGGAAATCAATAAAATTAGGGTTTCAGATGGAGAGAAAAAAAGCTTAACCGTATTTCTTTAGGCGGGTCGAGATCGCGTTCATGTGCTGCCTGGCGAACCAGTTCTTCCGTGGATCCAGAAAAGATTGCAAGAAGGTCGACATTTCTGACGTTGTCTCCTTTGCAGCTCTCGGCTGTTGCTCGCCCTTCCCACTTCTTCGACGGTTTCCCGATCTCGCTTTCTGATTTCTACCAAATCCCTTTCTGTGCGTTTTTCTGAAGAATCGTACTACGAGTTTTTGGGAGAGAAATTTTGGGTTTTGCCGAGCAGGACGGACGTGCTCAATTTTGATGGGCTACTTTTGGGCTTTCTTCAGAAACCCAATAGTCCAGGTTACACGGCTGTCGATGCAACAACTTCGATCCTGGTGGGCCGAAGACGAGTTGGGCTTATATATATTCACAAATTTGGTTCTTTCACTTTTTGAATTATTATGTTACGTGATTTAAATCTACAAAACACTACAATATAAAAAACAGCTTCTGCCACGTCATCCTTTTCATCAATCGATCGCACACTTCGAAGGAATCATTTTGTCAATTTAGACTCTCTTTTTTCCGATAATTCAGACTCCATTTCTTCTTCGAATCGGAAAGTGAATACTGAATACCCTCCCTCGTCATTCCTTCTCATCCGCAGACCGCAATCTCAAATGAAAATTCCCAACCTCCAACCGGAATTTGAAGAACTCATTCTCGCAGACTCATCCCAACTGCAATTTGAGATCAAAATCCTCTGCCGTCCTTTTGGGCACGCTCCCGGCGGCCTCTCTGCTCATCGAACCTCATCACAGGCTCCACCTTTTTGCCGCACTCAATCTCAAATCAAAATCGTCTACTGTCTCCCTCTCTTACTTCTCCTATCGTCGTTGTGTTTGTTGGCATCTTCTCCACACTCAATCTCAAATCAAAATCATCCACCGCTGCGTTTGTTGCATGCGCTGTCTTGGAAGGCCCCGAACATAAATACTGACTCGCTTTTGCTGTGTCTCCCATATCAACCCTGTAAATTACATGGGTGGGCGGGTACCCACGGGCCGGGTTTACCTAAACCCAAACCCAACCCAACCCGTTGAATAGTGAACGGGTTTAAACCCAAACCCGGCCCAAAACCCGTCAACACGGATTTTACCCGCGTTGACCGGGTTGGGTCGGGTGGATACCCGTGGGTTCGGGTTTTGTTGCCATCCCTACCTGTAATTCCTCTTCGAAGCCCCCCCGCCGTCAAGCAATGAATCATTCGCCCTCACGCTCTTTGCCTCCTAAAACCAATCCCCATAGTACCCTCTCAAACCGCCATCGAACAAACAAAGCTTCTCTTGCTCTTTGTGCCCATCGCAGATGAAGAATTTTTGGTCTCTGCCAGCAGTTGCCGCACAAGTGGTGATTGAAGTGAGATAGTTGTGTTGATTGGAAGATAGAGGTTAACCATTCGACTGGGGATTGGTTAACATGAATGGTGGTTAGGGATGAGGGTAAAGCTGTTGTGTTGACCTTTGCAGTTTTTTTTTTTTTATTTGTTTCATCAATATTAGAATGATGAGGAATTGAAAATTTAGTTTTTAGTGTTTTTGTGAAAAAATTGGAGAAATTGACAATTAATTGGACTTTTGTTTTAGCTTTTAAGCATACTATCAGATGATTTATATTGTAATAAAAAACATGTATTTATGTAACGACAATGTCTCTAAATGTGAATCAGAACGAATATCACCTATTATTTTTTCGTTGTCCAAACGCAAACAACTACTAAGATTGATAATTTCTCTACCATTGTCTGTTTTGACACGCTTTTTTGAAGAAAAACATATTATTTATTAAAAATAAACCCATAATAACATTGCTCAATGTCTTATATTCTATTATTTTTTAATCAATTTGCAGGGAAAAAAACATTTTTGGAAACATGAAAAGAATGAGAAGAAACTACATGTTTACGGTTTAATAAATAAATCAATTTTTTTTAAAAATAAGATGATTATATTTTATTGGACAAAGAAATTTTGAAAGAGATAGAGGAAAATTCGGCAAAAACAATTGACTAACTGGGGCTTCCTAGAAGAAATATAAACATAAAAAAGACAACGGAAAAAGAGGGTCGCCAAATGACCACGCAAAGCAAGCAACGATTGACAACAGAAAACGAAACTGACACTCACTTTATCATGGTGCTCGGTACATGACCAGGAAGCTACCACAAATGGAGTCATCTTCATTTTCTCTCCTCTAAAAGAACTACAAATGCGGGAAGAAGAAGAAGAAGAAGAAGAAGAAGAAGAAGAAGAAGAAGAAGAAGAAGAAGAAGAAGAAGAAGAAGAAGAAGAAGAAAGATAGACCTAAGCTTTGACCGACCATGGGGAAGAAGAAAAGCACAACTATGTTCACTGGAAAGTATGACGAAAAAGAAATTGAGCGTTTCTCCATCGACGATGGCAGCCATTTCAGTATCACAGGAGAAATTCTCCCTTCTCTCGGCGCCACTCGCAGCTTTCACCGCAATAGTGTTGGTCGATTCGTTATCTCCCCTTTTGATCCTCACTACAGGTAAGAATTTCAATTCTCAACTCTTCCCCCACATGACTATATATAATGTGCACTAAACACAAAATTGGCATGCAGGACATGGGAGGCTTTCCTCGTGTTCTTGGTTTACTACACAGCGTGGGTGTCACCGTTCGAGTTTGGCTTCCTAGTCCGCCCGAGTGGGTTGCTCACCATCACCGACAACATCGTCAACGCCATCTTCTTCGTCGACATCGTGCTCACCTTTTTCGTCGCGTATCTTGACAAGACCTCGTACCTTATCATCGATTCAAAGAAGGAGATTGCTACGCGGTACGTCACGACTTGGTTCCTCCTCGATCTCATCTCCACGATTCCATCCGAGTTTGTTCGCGTGATCTTGCCAAACAACCTTCAGTCCTATGGCTACGTCAGTATGCTCCGCCTATGGCGTCTCCGACGAGTCAGTCGATTCTTTGCTAGGTAAATTAGGTTTGGGTTAAGGATTAGAAATCGAGATTTCACAATGCCATTACCTAGTTGGGATTCCTAAATTAAGTTATGGCATCTTGGTTGTGTCAAACAGATTGGAAAAAGATAAGAATTACAGCTATTTCTGGACTCGTTGTGCGAAGCTCGTTTCTGTAAGTTTTTATACTTCTTCTCATATTATGAACTGAAAAAGTGTCTTAATGTTTATACTAATGGTTGGTTTTGTTATTCAGGTTACACTCTTCGTAATTCATATGGCTGCATGCATCTTTTACCGTTTGGCTGCACATTATTTTAACCCCACGGAGACTTGGATTGGATCGGTTTGGGAAGATTTTAAAACAGAGTCACTGTACTCTCAATATATAAAGTCCTTGTATTGGTCTATAACAACAATGGCTACAGTTGGATATGGTGACCTGCATGCTGTGAACCCCAATGAAATGACGTTTGACGTGATGTATATGTTGTTCAATCTCGCGCTAACATCCTACATTATTGGAAATATGACCAACTTGGTGGTTCATGCGGCCACTCGGACCAGACATTTTGTGAGTGATTTTTTTTCCATGACTTTGACTAAATGCATGCAACTTTTATGTTGATATTTGTGTGTATCATATGTTGCTAACGTACGTATTTCCAATGTGATCTTAGAGAGATACAATTCACGCTGCATCAAGTTTTGCACAAAGGAATCGTTTACCTGTTCGACTGCAAGATCAGATGATTGCACACTTGACTTTAAAGTACAGAACAGATTCAGAGGGACTGCATCAACAAGAGGCCATCGATTCACTTCCCAAAGCCATTCGTTCCAGTATTGCAAACTATCTATTTTACTCACTCGTTGATAGGGTGTACTTGTTTCGTGGCGTATCAAATGACTTGCTTTTCCAATTGGTAAATCTGCTACCAAAATTTCAATCAATTGTTTTTTGTTTGTTTGAGACCCCTTTTCTCAGGAATTATAATACCCCATTACAAGATTCCTTATTTGTTTGCCTCGTCAACCTACAATATAGTTATGCGATCATTTTGATACAATCAACAGTTAAAACAAAATTTGTGCTTCCATTTGCGGATTTCACGGTTGTGCATTTTAATAGGCTAACTAATCATTTGAATTTACTTAAGGTATCAGAAATGAAGGCAGAGTACTTTCCTCCCAAAGAAGATGTAATTTTACAGAACGAAGCACCCACAGATATGTACTTTTTGGTCTCCGGTGTTGTGGTAAGTACTTGTTCTCATTTTGCAATATCTATCTATCTCCAGACTATGGTATAACATAGTTGCACTTGGAACAAAGAGAAAAACAACCGATCTTGCAAAGAATCGTCGTCATTCAGTTGCTGGAAGGTCGGAAGGAGAAGTGTTATAAGCTTTGATTAAAACTTAAATGTCTACAATTGGCTATGTTTCCCCTCCCTTTCAAAAGTTTGAGAGAGTTCAATAGAAAGAAAAGGATGGACTTTTTTTTGTTGCTAATACTAGTATGTTCAAATTATCTCTTTATTATTTTGTGAACATAAGAATTATACCCCTGATAGAATCGATGTTTGCTTACAAGAAAACATGTGTATTTGCAGGAGCATATTGTGCATAAGAATGCCATAGAGCATGTTGTTGGTGAGGCAAGGACTGGCGATGTGGTTGGTGAGATTGGAGTGCTATGCTACAGGCCACAGTTATTCACAGTTCGAACCAAAAGATTAAGTCAGCTTCTACGTTTGAATCGAACTTCCTTTTTAAATCTTATTCAAGCTAATGTTGGAGATGGGACAATAATAATGAACAATGTTCTTCAGGTAGCTAGACTGGACATTTTTTTTTTGGTTTCTTTCTGATGTGAAATCAATTTGTGTTGTATTAATGATCCCACTACTTTCTCTTATCACGTGCTTGATGCAGCATTTAAAGGAAAATAATGATCCAATCATGCAAGAAATTTTATCAGAGACAGAGCACATGTTGGCACAAGGAAGAATGGATTTGCCTCTTACTTTATGTTTTGCAGCGACGAGAGGTGACGATCTATTGTTGCACCATATATTAAAGCGTGGTTCAGACCCAAATGAGGCTGACAATGGTGCACGAACTGCAATGGTAAGCCATATGCCTTGCCGTTTTTGCATAAAACTTAATTACATTGTTTTTTTATTACATGTTAAGTGTACAACCTTTTTTCTTTTGGAAAAATGATACTCCCCAGCTCATCCTTCTGTAATACTTATATCCAACAGCATATTGCTGCTTCAAGTGGTAATGATCATTGTGTAGCCTTACTTCTGGAATATGGAGGAGATCCTAACAAAAAAGGTATGTGTAGTTGTTAGGAAAAAAAGACATACAATCAATAGTTTGTTCATTAGATCGATTGGAGGCATTAGTTGAATCAAACAAGTACTAGTCTATTTGTTATTAGATTGTACTAACTCGATTTATCTTATTTGAGCAGATTCTGAAGGAAACGTTCCATTGTGGGATGCAATGCTTGGCAAGCACGAATCTGTAATCAAGTTGCTTGTGGAAAATGGTGCTACACTTTCTTCGGGTGACACGGGTCAGTTCGCATTCACCGCGGTTGAGCAAAACGACTTGGAGTTGCTGAATAAAATCGTTAGTTACGGAGGAGATGTGACAAGACAAACAAGCAGCGGAACCACAGCTCTTCACGCAGCAATATCTGAAGGAAACATCGACATCGTTAAGTTCCTTCTAGACCAAGGAGCCGACATCGATTTGCCAGATTCCAATGGGTGGACGGCGAGGGCTTTGGCAGATCATCAAGGCCATGACGAGATCAAAACATTATTCCAAAACAGGAAAGAAGTAATCAAGAGACCAATTCCCACCATTAGTCAAGCATCCAAGCTAGGAGGTAGTAGCAGCAGCAGTACTGTTATTGGAAAGAAGCGAATTGCCAAGTACGGTAGTGAACCCATGATAGCTCCCTACGATCCATCGACAGATTACTCGCCACGAGGCGTCATGCCATCTGTACCTGAAAGGACATGGACCGATGATTCCAGCAGAAGAAGAAGAGTTAATACTTTCAGGAATTCACTTTTTGGGATAATGTCTGCAGCTAACACTGGTAAGTCAACTATTGAAACTAACACTTTCTTTTTTTTGAAACTAGTAGTGATAAGAACATGTTATGGTAAGAATGGGTTCCTCAATATTTACATAAGGTACCGGTGAGATTTGATAGTTTGGCTTGGAAAACACTTTGATTAATTAATCGGGTATAAAATGATTCAGTAAGCTAAATTATTCAGTAGATTGAGACTCTCACTTACAAGGTCAAACATTTAGGTTGAAGTACGAATTAATTAAAAAATTATTTAGTAGATTTATACTGTGGAATGAATAAATTGATGTGAGATAAAGGAGAAGAAACGATCCATGTCTCACATTAGCCTCAAATAGGGTGGGCAAGTGGGAACAGACAAGTCTAAAAAATTATGATCCTTATTATTTTTTTTTTTTTTGTAGGTGACGGCGATGTAATGCCAGCTGGAGGCAGCTTTTCTGGGTTATCAAGCTTAGCAAGTGACCCTCCAGCGCGAGTCACGATTAGTTGTCCGGAGAAAGGTGATGTTAATGGGAAGTTGGTTTTGCTACCAAAGTCGCTCGAGGAAATTTTGGAGATTGGAGGCAAGAAGTATGGTTTCAGCCCATCTAAGATCTTGAACAAAGAAGGAGCTCAAGTTGAGGATATAGAATTGATAAGAGATGGTGACCACATCATTGTCGCCAGTTAATTGATTCCGTGATTAGAAATCATTTTCTAGCTAGCTAGGATACAGAATTAAAGACTAATATTCACCTAAGCATGGAGCTTGATTGATGGCAAAGATGATTTATACTTTCTTAGTAACAATAAAAATTTGGAAGGAATGGTACGAGGGGGAGAGGCAACTAAAGCTAGCAGCCTAAGTTGTAAACAATAAGAAGGGACAGTGAGAGGATGAAACTAGTGAACTTCGGTTAGCTTGTTGATGGGCCTCCAAGAAAGCACAATTAGATTACACATGTTGCAGATTCTTAATTGTCATATGTGCGTGGAGATAGATTTTCTAAATTTGTCTTGTGCACATTCAACGGTTGATGAATGATACATGCAGAATTTATCGACGTTAGCACATGAGGATTGGGCCATGCGTCGATTCGACGACGTCAGCAACCTGATCCATTAACAAAATTCAAAGGAGAAAACTGGAAACGCCGAAAGTAAATAAGGCTTTGCGGGCGTACCATAATTTTATTTGAAATTTTTTCATTGTTTTTCAGTTTCGATTCTAATACTCTCTGTCATTGTTGTTTGGTTGCTAAGAAATCAAATAAATTTGCCAGGATATTTATCAATAAAAATTGGTGGCGAGCCTTATATCTCTCTCTCCGTGATTTCCTTTGTCTTTTGGTGTAATTTTATTTCCCAAAAAATCTCTCTTATATATTTTCAAAATAGCATATTCCAGAAAGATCGTGTATGCTAATGAATCTATCACCTTCAAATCGAGAGTATTCCAATTCGTGGCTATGGGCTGGGGCATAAGGGGGTTTTTTTTATGAATAAGCAAGTTTTATTCCATCAAAGTACGGTCGTTACAACAATCCAGCATACAACATACACCTATAAGCATCACTATCTGCCTCTACTTCAGCCTACAATTTACACACAATGAATACAAAAAAACACTACTAGACTTAGTTACATGAACCAAAGCTTCTTTCGCTCCACTTCTAAACTTAGCTGCAGATTGCACACCATCAGGGCCTCCATTGCATTCCTCAGTGTGGTTATTAAGCAGTGCTGTCAAAACCGAGCCGAGCCGGTCGGTCGGACCGGTAAAACCGGGACCCGATCACCAGCCCGGCTCGAAACAATTAAAAAAACGCTACGGTTGAATTGGCCGGCTAGTTAACGGTTTGAACAATTAACCGCCAAAACCATTCAACCCGGTCAGCCGGCTCTAAGTTATCAAATCCCATATTGAATGAATTAGTACGGTATCCGAGAAGTGCACAGGAGTTGAGACGCTGGGCTGTCTCTCCGCTTCCCGGAAAATGGGCTTTTCACCTCTTTTTTGGTGCCCCAATAATCTTTTTAGCTAGCATTAGTTTCTTCTTTTTTTATTTATTAAAACACATTCATTCTCTCAAATTATAAGGTGGAATGCTTGCATGCGTTGAACTTTTCCTTCCCAATGCCATCTGCATGTCTCGTATGGATTTCTTATTTTTTATTTTTTTTTGGTTAATTATATGGACAAACTACATTTTTTCCGCATAATTTTAACATTTTCATAATCATAATGCTAGATGGTCATGACTAGAAATCTAAATTTTGGATTTTAGAACTATAATGGAAAATTAATAATTATATAAATTTGACTATTTATTCATTGTTTTTATTTGAAAATATGTGGTTCATATGATGTTTGAACTTTTGAACTTTAATACTCATATTTTAAATTTGTTTATTAGTGATGAATTCTATTGTGAATTTATGGTCTAATATGTATAGTATTTATCATATTCTTGTTTATAAGGTATCGGTTCGTTAACGGTTTTTAGCGGTCTAACACCGGCCGAACCAATAAAGTGCGAGCCGCTCACTATATCGGTTCATACTCCGGTTCGGTTTTGACAGCATTGTTATTAAGTCTGCTGCATTTAGAGACTTCTTCCCATATATACCCTGCAACACCTCTCCCTACAAATCTCACTTACCATCAAATTCCAAAGCAATCTACCCACACAGCATCCATGCAAAGTTCCTACAACTACCTGTAATCCATCATCCCATCCTGCTCGAGAGGGATAACCCCAGTTCATTGGAAAGACGACACTAACCACCTCCTGTACATATGGACACTCAAAATAGATGTGATCCCTAGACTCTTCATGCCCCAAACATAAAGGATATTGGTTGACTACCTCTGGTTGTCATTTCTTTATTTTGTCAAAGGTAGAAATTCTGTTAAGAGTGACAAGCCAGATGATTAGGGAATTCTTAGAGATTAGAATTGGCTTCCAAACCAACTTAGACCATGCCTTCTCTTCTTGTTTAGGCCTGAACTGCTCCCATACAGGCTTAATATTGTATTTTACCATCAGTTTCCCTTCCCAGCACACCCCAACTCTTGTTTTGACCAGGCTTCCCTGAACTTGACTCCTCAATTTCAGAATTTGTTGAGAAAGATTAGAGAATTGGAGAGTGATGAAAATGAGAGATGATACTCGGGTGATTTGTGGGGTTGAGTTAACGAGTTAAGAGTGATTATAACAGGTGAGATGGAGAGGATATCTCTAAATAGTTGGTTTTAATAAGTCGAATTATTCGACGAGATTCGATTATAAGTCCCAATGAATGAGAGTCAGTCCTGTTTTCCTAGCGACACCTGCTCCTCAGAAAACTGCTTCTAATTCTAGTTATTCTACTCGGGGAATGGAATTTCGATTCCTTTAGTTTTTTAGGGACTGCTGTTTATTCGTTTGCAAATGTTCTGTTTCCGTCACCAATGCTTATTTCTCCAGAGACCTATTATTAGTGACGAGAGGAGGCAGTCTGTACGGTACTGAATACTAATAGAAGGGAAAATACCTGAAATAGGTATATGTAATGCTTTTGACACTTTTGGCATCCATCAAAACAACTGCATATATAACTTCAAACTTCTAATCAGTTCTACTAACTAGAATTCTCTATTTCTTCTTCACCAACTGCTCCTCTTCGAAGATATTAATACCAAACCATCTGAAAGTGAAACTCGCTCTCTTCCCCCAACATTCAGAACATATACCAACAGCTAGCTTGTGGTAATCTCAATTCTCTATGCAACACTTGAAATCCAAGGCAGAAAGAAACTTAACTCTCTGCTTCTCCGAGCTTTGTTGTTTTGCATCTACTGAGTAATAATGGTTGCCATCATCATCGTCGTCATCATATGATAGAATGAACAGAGCTCCCTTTATTTCAGCTATATATGCTTTCTATATATCAGGTCTCGACACCATATTATAACTCTGCTTCACACCTGTCTTGGCCCGCCGCTCCCTTCACCTGTTCCTGCTGCTGGATGGACCTGTGAAACAAACCGCCGACATTGCTATCATCACATGAAAGCTTCATTCGCCAAATTTTTACATCAAGTGAAAAACTTCGTTCAACTTGCCTGGAATACCCTCTCCTCCCTCACGCTACGAGATCGATGCTTCAACTCTCCCCTATGCGTAGTCATCTCGTCGAGTATCTCCGCGTCGAAGAAGTCCTCGTCGTGCTCGTTCCGCCTGATCTCCCCTGAATCCATTTCCTGTAGTGTACAGAGGAAAACAGAGTATGAAAACAGAGTAACTTCGGGTCTAAAAAACGGGTTAAGACTAAATTTTGGCAGGAAATTTTCGTTACCATGAGGTTTCTCTTGGGGGCGCCGGAGATCTCTTCGTACTCCGCGGCATCGAGTTCTTGGAGATGGTCTTGCTGGAATATCTTGGGGAGCATGTGTTGCCTGATGAGGATTAGGATGAAGAAAGGCAGAGGGAAGAGAATCCCAGCAATGGGAATCCAAGTGATCCCAAAGCACATGAGAAAGTAAACGAATTGCAGCAAAGTGAACTTAGCAATGGCCTTAAACGGCACTGACTCCACAAACGATGCATGAAAGCCTTCCAAGATCCTGCATACAGAGATTGGTAAAACTGATAAGTACCCATTTGGCCATCAACATTCTAATGCGAATGAAAGGTTTCAGCCAGATCGATCTTCTTACTTGTGGCGACGGCTAGGGGCAACGAAGAGCATCAACATCCTTTCCCAGAACTGGTTTCCTGGAAGACTGTCGATGGCCATGTAGGCGAAGTATCCCCACAGGACTGAAGTGGGCATCATCTTGATTAGTGGTATAGCACACATTGAGATTCCCACCAGGATTGATTGTAGCAAGTTGCTGAGCCTTTGCTCGTTGACTCTGACGGGCAAGTGTGCGTCGATGCACTTCTCTGGATCGAACTTTCCCTTCGTATCGCCTCCTTCATCGTCACTTCTCATCACTGCTTCTTTCAAGTCCTCCAGCTCTCTACTTACTGATGCAGTATGCTGACGAAAGGTTGACACTACCATAAGATTATATATCTTACCAATTGTCAAGTAAAAAAAAATCGTAGACATAAGTAACTTACTGCTGGAGATCTATCCATTTGTATGAAAACATCCTGCATTTTCCCGTAAATTTCAGAAGTGCTTCCCTTGCGGTCCATGACTTCCTTGGCCCCTTTCACCATCTTCTTTCGGATCAACTGAAAAAAAGATTACGAAAAGGTATAATTACTGCCTGAACTTCTAGGCATGAAAGTGTAAACATGGATGGAGAATTTCTCTTGCACTTCACCTGCTTCTTTAGAACTGCAAGGCTTTTGGTGTGCATAGGAGATTGAGGAAGGACACCGTTCGAAGGAGGAAGCCCCAGCAATCCACTAATCAAAGTCTTTCACAATCAGCATCAACAACAACAAGAAGACTGAAAGTTACTCATCATGACAATGTTAATGATGTTGTTCTTTCAATTTTGGGAAACGAAATTACGCACCACGATCCCCAACAACAAGATATCATAATGGTAAGCAGATGGTTTCTTGAGATTGAATTCTGGCTGCTGTGCCAGCTGCGAAGCTACGCTGTGATCAAAGAAGTACAAGCCAGCTATCATAATGGCCGGTACTATGGCAGCAAAGATGTATCCCACTGGTACCTTCACCATATCCTGCAATTCCATTCAGGCTGCCGTTAAGGTACCACTTCATCATTTGGTTTCAAGCCCACGTCATTTCTTATAGTGATGGCAGATGGATGAACACAGCATTATCCACCAATCAGTAAAAACTTCATACCGTGATCACTGTCCAGTGTTGCAACGACTGTGACTCCCAAAGAAGTGGAATAAACAGCCTCCTTGGAACGCCATGAGGAACTTTTTTGGGTATAGCATAAGATAATACCGACCATAGCACCACCATTAGAGGAACGCCATAGTCTGCAATAAAGCTTCGAAGTCCCCCTACAAGCACAATCAGAATCAAAATGTAAGAATAAACTTACAGCTCAATGTGAATACAAACAGTAGTGTGTATGACATAACAATTAGTGAAATCTATCTTTACCTGAGCCATATCTCCAAGCTCTTGCTTTTCTTGTCTTGAGGGAAGTCCAGAGAACGCCAGCGGCGAAAATGACAGCAAGCAAGCCATTTGCATATAGCCACTGGAACTGGAACTCTTCTGCTTTCGGGTTTTCGGAATTTGGGACATTGAATTCAGTAACCAACCCCTGAAGACATTTCCATCCCACAGAATTAGATGGGCATGTTCATCACAACAACACCATTGAAAGCAAAACACCACAGTAGTAGTAGCAAGCAACCTTAATGGCTTCTTGAATGAAGAGAACTGCAATCAACATCCCAAACATCTCCCCTGCAACCCTGGTGAATCTGTTGATGATGTTGCCCGCATTGAAAATCGCGAGTAGACACAGCATGATTGCCGTCCAAACACAAACCCTATAATATGAAATCACTAAATCAGCGATCCATTGAAGCACCTGAAGAAGCTAGAACGAGGAATTAAACAAACGGAAGTTTCAGTTGCTTTACCATCCAGCCCATGCTAAATATAACTTCCGGCCAATCTCTGGCCTGCCTTGGCTGAAGCTGTACAGGTAAGTGTACATTATGACCGTCGGTTCAGCTACACCTAATATCAACAGCGGCTGCCCTCCGAAAATCGAGTGGATTAGCCCAGCGAGCGCCGTCGAGGCCAGAGTCTCCACCGTGCTCAGGCTGCCGTCTACAGAACGAAGATCAATACAAACCACAATACAATCTCAACAAAAAGAATCGCACTACCACCGGAGACTACCCAAAAAAAAAACTCAAACCGAATCGAATACTAGTTTCGACATTACCGGTATCTCGATTCAATTGCTCGCCGAAGGCAATCACGGGAAGAGCCGAGGCGAAGAAGATGTAACAAGTCGGAGCCAGAATCCTGACAGACAAAACAATCGGAGAATCATTTTCCGTTTTCCTGTAAGCGGCATTCAATCGAACAGTAGGACGGCGTAATAGACGAGAGGGAAGAAAAGGGAAAACCTGACGCCGGCGCGAATGGCACTGGTCCAATCATCCTTGTAGCACTCGGCTCTGCCTCGCAGATCGTCGAGTATCCCTCTGAACGGAGTCCTGAGACTGTCCATCTCCGACTTCCGTACGTCAGATTATTCGATAGAGCGCGGAATCAGAATTGATTTTTCTTTTTTCCTTCTCAGGCTCAGCAACCAAACATTGACTTTCTCATCAACCAAACTGTGCGTAACGGGATTCTGCAGACTAGGATAATAATTATAAGAAGAGTAAAATAATCGGAAGGAAAGCGGAAAAGTACTCGACTGACTGTATCACGCGTTGAATCGATCAGTGAGAACGGCGGAAAGGTTAAAAAGAAGAAGTGTAGGGTAAAGGAGTGACGGCGGCGAAAGTGGCCGGAATTTGAAATGATGGGATCAACGGTGGCGCTTTGACTTATCAATTTCCTCTTTTTTTTTTTTTTTTGCAATTTGTTTTTTCGTCTTATTGCTGTTATTGGTCGAGATTTTCTGTATAGCGCGAAAAACGGAGCGCAGAGGAATTGGCTCCGGACAACGAGACTGAAGAGAGAGAGGGAGAGAGTAATGGAGTATTGGCGGGTGGCCTTGAATTCTGTGCTGCTGTTAGAAAGAGGGAAGACGGGGTCGGGGAGAAGAAGAAGAAGAAGAGAGCTCTCTCTCTGGTTGGGTCGCGTTCAAAAGATTGAACGGGTTTTGTGGGGCCCTTTTTGTAAACCTAATTTTTCGTTTTTTTTTTTGTTATTTTTTTTTGTTTGCTGTTTGGGTTGAAGTTTTGTTAGGTGACGTGGTCGACGTTCCTTTGCTTTGCTGCACGGTTTAGGAAGGTTGGCTGACCACTGGACAGGAATTCTGCTAAAATGCGGACGAGGTTAGCGTTAGTATTTGTTGATGTCGTTGGATTGACGAAAATATCGGCTGGAGGTGTGCTGCCAATTGCTACTTTGCATCTCTCAGTCGTGGTGTTAGGCATGAAATGGACCAATAGATTGTTGTTGTTTACTTTAGGATTGGTTACAGAATTAGTGGGTCCATTAAGTCTCAACCAAGCACGAGATTCTTGGGGAATCTTATTAGCTACAAGGAGTAGACTTGAGATTTTCTTAGAAAAATAAGTGAAAGCTACATGAACCTTTTAATTATTATTAAATTGGTCATTTTCGTTTTGTTGTTTCTTTATATTAAATTGACTTCACTAAATCTGAAAATCAGTGGTACAAGGTTATCTCCTGTACTACCAACTTGCTAACAACACAACAATTTCTATGAGAACCATCATAGTCATGTGTTTGGGGTCGGTTGGACCATACACGGATATTTTGCAGCCGTTGGATGGACACGGTGACATTTTATTTATAAAATTATAATTACATCCATTCAACAGCTCCCGAAACGCTCGAGTGGCAATCCAGTAATCCCTAGCACTTGTAAGATGGTTTTCATAAATGTGTTGTGAACATTATAATGAGGGCGAATCATATGTGACAATGAATTTTTGTCTATACTTACAATTAACAATCCATATTCTGATTTGTGACGTGTAATTCTAACAATGAAGCCAAAAAAAATCTTCTTCTACCATATAAAATGAAATGTACTGTGATATATACTATACTTTCCTTTATGTACTAGTTTTCACACACTTGGTTTATATTGTGATGATTTCTGTCCTCATACATTATACCACGCACTTATCTAAAAACACTCGAGCTATTTAGCATTAACATTTTTCTTAGATGATTATTGACGCTTAAATTCGAACTCATGTAGTGATAACTTTTATAGCCATCGTATTATCATTTATCAATAGGCTAACAACTTAAAGTATTTAGCTTTTAAATAATATTATAAGGGGTTTCTCAAAAAAGACTTTACGGATTCAAAATTCTCCTTCCCTCAAGCGTCCACGTCAACACAGCTTCTAACCAATCAAATTATTTATAAAAAAAGATAAAAGAAATCCAACCAACAAAAGGATCTGCCCTAGATGAACACTTCCTCCATTTCTGGATTTGTTTTCTTTTCCAATTTCAACGTGCTTTTACGTTTCTTCCTTTACATATATTTTTCTTAAATAAATATTAATATCTTTTAGGTACAAGTTACCATCTAAAACATTGCTACCATATATTATATATTTAAAAAATATATAAAATTTTCACCGTGTTTATAATAAGAAAAAAATATAGTTATATTTCATTTGCACTAGCAAGTTGTAGTCTATATATATTGCATAGCATAAATAATTTGAGTATGTTACGTTGGGTAAGATTCGTTCCAAATATTTAAAATATTAGCTGCATGTTAGTCTAAATTTTGGAAATTATGGAATAACATGGTTCAAACTAGTGTACACCTGGTGTATGTTGTACGTCTGTATTCACACTTATTAATTAATTACCATTAAATTATTATAAATAAAAATTATAATTATGACTACATTCATTAATTTATTATTTATACCATATAAGTCCCACAAAAGTTTTTTACATTTAAACGGAGCCAACCATCTCTCGTAGCATGATCGAACTATAAATACACCAATAGGGGCCAAATCATAGAAGGTTCAAATGGGCGGAGCATTTGTTTCCTCGTCATAACCACAAACCCAGTTTAACTAATTCCATGCCACTTGATCCACCATTCAATACTCTAAATAGACATGTTCTTAAATTACGATTGCTTTCTCGATGCAATTGGGTCGCTTCCTCACCACCAATTCCACTCCTGTTAACCAAAAAGTCCCTAGTTTCGTCCTCATCTGTGGGTAGTTGAGTTTGATTACTGTTTTCCTATTACCATATCTCACAGTTCCACAATCCAGATCGGATCCCATCGGCAACCATCATCGATCAAGAAACCTTTGATTATCCCCATCGGAGACTCCTTGTAACAAAACAGTGATACTAAAATATCGCACCTATCTATAAACAACGTCTTTTCTGTACCATATCCTTTAGTAAAAAACAAAAACCGTGACTGTGACGATATGATTCTCATGCCGCAAGAACTGGTTATTGATGCTAAGAATCCGACAATGAGTGTGTCGATACCTAAAATTGTAAGGCTTATCTCCATATGGTTGCTGGCGGCTAATAAGGTGTGATTCGGAAATTGCAGTAGGTTTGCTTGCTTTGATGAAATGGGTCTTCCTCCCTGTCTTTTGAAGTGGATAAAAGGTCTTTGCCTCTGTATTGGAAAACAGAGCATATGTGGTCTAGGCTACGATATATGAATTATGGATACACAAGAGATGCAAAGTGATGAAGTCTTGTCTCGTTTGATGGATCGGAGGAGGCAGTTTGATTGCTTGGACAAAGATAATATAGACGCTGAGCTTGAACCATAGTTTGTGCTCTGTTCTTTTCCTCTTGGTTGTTTCTCTAAATTATAATTCCCACACTTTAACCCCAATGCGAAGACCGGGTATGATTAAACTCAAGAAAACAATCCCTAAAAAAATTTAAAGCTTATCATATTCTAAATTCCTTCCCCATCTTCCTCGCATCAAGAGGTGCGCGTTCTGTTACATAGCTCATGACAAAATTTACTTTAGATAGAATCATAGAATTGATGCTTTGATTAGTTCCAAAAGGCAGGTTAGTCTGTTCTGGAATTCAATTTCAGCTTTATCCCTATTCTTACACTACCAGATTATTATTTTAAAAGAAAGAGCTCATAGTTCTTTGATTATTTTGAACGAGAACGAAACAAAATCCCATCAATAGGTAAAGGATATCAATTGGAGCTTCTATATCAATACAACAATTTGGATATTCAAAGTTATCATTTGGGGAAAGAAAGAGCTATAATTGATATAGTTTTTACTTGGACGATTGAGTTAAACATAACAAATGGCAACAAAAGTTGTGGGACTATAGCATATAGAGAAATAAATTAATGTGATTGTAACTATAAATTTTATTAATAACTAATAAATAATTAAGTGTGAACATAGGTGTATACCGTACGTTGGGTGTACCCTAGCCTTTTTCCGGAATGACATATATTGTTTAGATATTTATTTTGAGTGTTCATGCACTAAGATGTCATGAACTATTGTTTTTTTTTTTTTTTTTTTGTAAAACTTTATATCCAACGATTTCAAGATTGGATAAACGAGTCATTGTGAGTGTGATGATAAAAAATTTGAAATATTGTAACATGATCATGTTATACATTCAGCCAAAAGTTAATATATCTCAATTCATAGTTAAATGTTTTCACTTATAAACTAACTTATATTGTATCAATATCGTGGGTGTCCCCGAAGGGACTAAATTAGTTTTGGTATATACGTGCCAAATTCTCAAACCATACATTCGGATCATACACAAAGAATAACAATATTTCTTAAACACTATATAAATATTAATTTAAGTATGACAACAAATTATTTAATATAAATATAGTGTATGTATGAGATTAATGAGAGTTACACACTTATAGTAATTAATAATTATTCATCACGTAATGGAAAAAAGCACACTTTTTAGTAACACGCTTTGCGTGGATCAACGATTGGCGCAAGCTAAGCGCCAACTCCATGGATGGACCAAGTTCATCATTAATTTCCGATTTAAGTGAATCAGGAACTTATTTTGGATGTTAATCGATTAAAGAAACTGATACCCAAAGATGCCAGTTAACTGAATATAGATAATACACCCTTATACTTCGACAAAGAAAGATAACAAAAACACAACCCTGTAGCCCTAAATTGCATTTTCCAACCTAATTTCTAGATAAAAAATTTATAATTATATAAGAATTTGCTGGCCACAAACAGGTGAAGAAACAAAATCATCAATATTTAACAATTTTGGGGTGGCCTTGTTTTGTCCAAAAGAGATAATTAAGAACTACTACCAACTGAACAAGGGGGGTTTCCATCTTGGTGATTGAGCAAGGATCATAAATGTAGGAAACGCTGATAATATGCGACATGCACCTAACTTTGCATAATTATCATGAATTACGAGTATATGTAGACTGTAGTTATAAGTGTTTTTTTTCTTATCATAATTACAAATTAATAATAGAAAAGCTAGGCGTAGTACTCATCTATGAGCTCAAGAGATAATAAAAGTACCCCAAAGACTCATCTCCCTAAAAATCAAACTCACTTGATCATCACAATCTTATATTACTTCCATGTTAATGTCACATATAACTGATCCAGTGGCGGATCTAGAAATTCTAAATAGGAGTGTCCTCTCTAAGAAATTTAATTTAATTAAATATTATAACTTAATTAAATAATTATTAAATATGAAAATATTTGACTAGTAAAAGTTACATTAAAAGTTCTAATGTGTTTCTTAAAATGGTAAAATACATTCGGTGTCTATATTACTCAACAAATATCTCTCGACATATCCTACTAAACAAGGGTATCCTGTAATTGGGTTTAATCGTTAGGTTTTGAAAATAATTTGGGATAAGAATAACATTTTACTATTATATTTGGATCTGAAACACAATAACAAATGAGTTGCAGTGTAATTGAAAATATGTTTACTAATATATAGTGAAGTGTCCCAAATTTAAATCACATAGACTACCACTTAAATATTATTTGTACCAATACGCAAACTACTATACTTGAGGTTGGCTAATCCTTTTCCAAATTTTAAGGGTGTCTCGATCACTACCACTTAATTTTTTTTCCTCATACGCAAACTACTATCAAAGGTTGAATAATCGTGTTTCCAAAATTTAGGGGTGTCCCGGAACACCCCTAAACATACATGTATCCGCCACTGAGCTGACCCAATTATAATGACTTAGTACTAGCTCGAGGTTAAATGAACTCATATGCACTTTTAATTGAATAACCAAACTCCTTTCCTTCAATAGCTAACCCTAGCTATATTGTCACCATCATGGCAACGAGTTTAGGCGAGTAAAGAAAGTGGTACGTAGTTTTTCTGAGATTCGGTTTTAGGCAAAGGAATACCAACGGCAAAGGAGAAAGCCCCAAAGAACCTGCTCACCTTCCTCACTCTCTCCCAACTCTCTCAAATATCCAAATATTATTCACTCTCTACTTTCCTATAGCTTCTTGCTTTGTTTCCCTTTTAGGTCTTGTTTAGGCTATCTATATGATCCCTCCCTACACAACAGCTAACCAGCCTTCTGTTTGTTAGCCCAATACCGAAAGCCACCATGTGATGAGCTCTGCAACGCATTTCCAAACATTCAATCTGATGTGGAATTACGTGTCTGTATATATAGCTTTGCTACAAAGTATTGCTCCTCATAACTCTCCATCTCCCTCCTTTTGGAAAAAGAGAGCCTCTTCCTCTCTTTTATTCGACCTTCTTTGGGGATTCATGCTTAGAACCACCCATGATAGTGAGAACATTGTTATGTTCGTCACCAACTTTCCTGGAATCAGACCTCTGAGAGTAGGTACGTATTGGAGGAGAATATGGTTGATAGCCTACCATCGAGTCGCTTATATTTTCGAATATTGTTTGGTAAATATAGGTAAACTACTCTCCTTTCGATAAGTTTTAAGATAGTATTCAATACATTAAAGGTTGACAACGAAGAAAGGAGAAACTTACGAATCCACGAGATTTGGGTTGATCGATCACTTAAGTTCTCGCTAGAGTTCAGTCCGACGAATCATTAGACAATGAAAGTGTATTTAACTCCTAATCTGAATTCATGTATAAAAAAAAAGAAGCTCGTGACGATTTATGATAGCTCAATTACGTTGATTAGGCAGAGCTAGCTCTAGCTCGCTCGCTAGAGAAGGGAATATGCACAAAGTTCAGCCTATATTTATACAATTAACTGACATTACCCACCCTATCTAATTATCAAACTAGCTAGCTTACCAAACTAGTTTAGCCTATATATGTACGTACATGTTTAGAATGTCCACGTGCATGCATAATGCCATTACCATGATAAAAAGAGATCGTTGGGCTGCCGTTGCCCGGGCCTCTGGTAATTTGGGCTCACGTTAAGCTGGTGGGCCGAGTCTGATCCGAAATCCACTTGGATGTTACGCTGACGCCTCTGGATCCGGAATCCTACATAGATAAGAAAACGGATCCCCAAATATATGATCGCACATAAACTAGGGGTCGTTTGGAAGTTGCGAATGTTAAATCGTTGCATTGTAATGAATCATCATAATATAAATGCATGTATTGATACAATATATGCATTTTAACAATACATTGTTTGCTTGTTGAGATTCTACTTTATGCATTGATTTATGCATTGATTTACATAAAGTTACTTTTATGGGAAAATGTCACATTTACCCTCAACTTTTAGAATAAGACAAAAACTATTAGGGATATAAATGGAAAGAAAAGGTTGACACAAATCTAAATCCAACAATCACAACAAGTTGAGATTGTATAATGCATCATTTTTTGTGATTGTTAGTGGGACCTACCTAAAACAATGCATGCATTGTTTTACACTTTGAAACTTCCAAACATTGTATTGTGCACAATACATATATTCAACCACCACAACTCTAACAATCACAACTTCCAAACGAATACTAGATCTCGACTCTATTAAACAGTGGCCAGATTTGATTTGTTGGCCCAGCCATATAACGCAAAGGAAAGAGTAACGGGCCGCGCTGATCCAGTGCGGGAGGGAGCAAGGCCTTCCAAGCCGGGCCCACGATCACATTAGCATCACTAGATCGATTCTTATTCTCATCCGAGTGGGTTGATAAATGGCCTCGTGGTCTATGGCTGAAAATTGTCTGACACGTGCCTGACTCTGTCTGACTCATCTTTAAAGGGTCAAGATGTATAATTATCTGTTCGTGTTTCCTTCCTGACACTGTCTGACACTCAAGGAATGAGACGGGTCGGGATGGGCCGGGTCAGTGGGCAACCCTAATTTGCACACTACTTTTTTTACAAATTACGTTTTTGTACCCAAAATTATTTTTTCTTACAATTTAGTACCTAAAATTTATTATTTTACAAAAAAGTCCTTAAATTTTAGTGGTATAATTACATTTTGGTACTCAAAATTTGTTATTTTTGCAATTTAGTACCTAAACTTTGAAAACTTTTACAAAGAGGTCCAATGTGGTATGGGATATTTATTGTTGCTAAGGGTCACAGGTCAAAAAATGACCCGTCTCTAAGTTGTCCCGACCTGTCCCAACCCTTATAGAGTCAAAAGTTGATCCGTCCTTAAACTGGCCCTATAGACAAACTGACCCGTCCCGACCTTCAGGGACGGGACGGATCAGTGGGTTTTTATGGTCAAACTTACACCCTACATGGTCAAGTCAAGCACTTAACGAATCGAGGTTCGTATCATCGACGAGCAGACACTGCGTACTGCCGACAAGCTTTCTTCAGCTACAAGGACTGAGCAATGATCGATGGTCCGCGACATAAATAAACATTTCTATCGTTGAGCTCATTCCGTGTTTTCCAAGTTTACATTGCTAGGGCAGCGTTATGATTCTGTACCAGTCATTTCTATGTTTGCATTGCCAAGTCTTTACCACCCAGAAGAGTCGTCCCCTGCTAGCAGTTTGTTTAGAGGTCTTTATACCCCAAAAACAAACCACATATGTAAACTAGTTGCGACCAAACTACATTCAACCATCAACAATATACAGAGATGTTTATTTTATTTCTGTTAGCACATCAAAAGGAGAGCTTCCCGCACTCTTCCCAGCAGCCTCAGGACCGTTGCAGCTATATGGTGCCCGCTCAATCCAGCTCGAGCTAGTTGTTCCTCAGGCAGCCCGTTTTCGATGTAGCTGTCGGGTAATACAATTGGCCGCCACTGTAGATTTTGCATAGACATTTAAAATCACGTTTTTTTTATACCTTTTTACCAAAAATGGAAGTTTCTGATGTTCATTATGAGTGAATGTTGCGAGTGACTCACCTTAACGGTTCCATCGAGATGGCCATTGAGAGCTATGAACTGTGCAACATGAGATGCGAATCCTCCGATAGAACCTTCCTCAACTGTGATTAGAAACTTATGGTTCTCACACAACAGGGTGAGAAGCTCTGTGTCGAGTGGTTTGCAGAATCTTGCATCAGCGACTGTTACTTCGATGCCGAGCCTCGAAAGAAGGGCTTGAGCTTTGAGGCAGTTCTGAACCATTGCTCCATATCCTAGCAATGCCACCTCTTTGCCTTCTACAAGCACTCTTCCTTTACCAATCTGGTTCAAAGTGTAATGAAAGCCCAGATCAGAAACAAAGTAGTACACAGGGTTAATGGTGCTTCTAGTCTCTGTACCCATGTCAACAATACATCTGTCGCAGTATCATGACTAGAAAAACACAGCCCAAGAGCCTGAAACAGTTTTGAGTATATGGATACAAAAATTTTACTCACCTCGAGGGGAATTCCAGGATGCATAAAATGGTCTGTCCTGACAATGGCGCCTCTTGGATACCGGAAGCAGACCGGTCGGTCGTCTATCTGGGCAGCGGTAGCCACCATATCCACCAGCTCATCCTCGTCAGATGGAGCCATAACGATCATGTTCGGTAAGCACGACATGAATGTCACATCGAACGCCCCACAGTACACGGGACCGGAGTTCCCCACCAATCCTGCACTTGTGATGACAAATCGCACTGGAATCTTCTGCCGATCTACATCATGGACCACCTGGGGGAAAACCCAATAATAAACAGCTCAGAAGTTGAAAACTTTTATCGCCCTGATATGCTTATATACATAGCAGAGAGGCAGATATACCTGATCATATGCTCTCTGTAGAAAAGTAGAAGGAATAATGCAAAAAGGTCTCAATCCCCCACGAGATAAACCGGCGGAAAATGTGACAGCATGTTGCTCGGCCATTCCCACATCGAAAAACCTGTCAGCGAATGTTTCCTGAAGCACTTGAAAGGAGGGTTCCATTTCCATTCCTGCATGGACCAGAACAATGTCTTTGTGCTTCTCTGCCTCCATTAACAAAGAATCTACTAAGCAATCGCTATATGTCCGAGTCTGCACACTAGAAGAGACCGAGTCATCATAACCTGCAGAAAGAAATTGAAGAGTAGATCATTGCACCATAATCAAAGATATGAAAGAAAGTAGAATTATTGGATTTCAGCTTTAGAGAAAGACTACTAGTGATCATACCTTCCTGTGGGTTGTCAGACTCGATCTTTTCATTACATTCTGCATCTTGATGATTGTCTTCAGTGATCACATGTATCAAGACTGGACCCATGGAGTCCAAAGATGACACTTGTTGCAAAACACAAATGAGGTCTTCTAGATTGTGTCCATCAACAGGGCCAATGTAATAAAGACCAAGCTCCTCAAAAAGAGTCGATCCTTGTGGACCAATCATACCACGTGCATACTCATCAAATTTGGCAGCCAATTCATGCATACCCCTGCCAATCCTTTTGGTAATGCCCTTGAAAAAGGAACATGGAAGGAGCCAAAGAATCAGGATTTGGATCTCAAGAAACTTATCAAAGAGATTCATTCAAACCAGAGTTAAAATCTACATACTGATTGTGTTCCTTTTGAAAGCAACATGCATTACTAAAACTTCAGGCTTATATGTTAAAGAGTGAAAATACCTTTGCAGCTTCTCTGAACTTCCGGAATGATTTACTAGACTGAATCTTGATTAAGGTACTAGATAAGGCAGTAATTGAAGTTTTTGGCTCTTGTTCGATCTTTGGGTGCAAAGAGCGACGGCTATCATTTAAAATCACAATCATATTTGAGTCCAAGTAACCGGCATTACTCATTGCCTCGTATACTTGCCCAGCCAAAGTTGTCGCATTGCTAATGACAGTAACAACTCGATCGCGCTTCCCTTTGATGTCGCGTGCAATGGCCATTCCTGACGGAAGAAACATTTTTCACTTAGTTAGGAGAGTTTAATGCAAAACTAAGAAAAGGACATCTGAACTAAATGCTCGTTCATTTGCATTCAGAAAACTGCAATATCCGATTAGTAGAAGAAAGCAGCAAGACATAAAGAAGGATACTACCAAGACCAGCAGAAACACTATTGCAGCCATGCCCTGTTCCAAAGGAATCATATTCACTCTCAAACCGAGATGTAAAGCCAGAAAGACCATTCTTTTGCCTCATCATGCGCATTAGTGCCCTCCTGCCTGTGAGAATTTTATGCGCATAAGTCTGCCAAAAAGGTACGGAGGATGCATTCATTAGTAATTTTTATGTTTAACCATGAGCAAGTATTCATAATTAACTACTATTTTCGGCAGTTCTCAGTCAGAATCTCACATGTCTCAGCTCAGTCAAAATGATTAACAAGAACTTAACAGGGTCGCTGTTAACTGCTCCACATCTTTCTCTTTCGATTATAAAAGACAGCAATCAAATGGAGGACGTCGGAAAACTTTCGGTAGCTTACTTGTTCACCTACATCCCATAGTATCTTGTCCACTGGAGCATGAAAAACATGATGTATGGCAATGGTGAGTTCTACCACAGCCAAACTGGCCTTCAAAGAATTTGGCTTCTCTGACATTATACATGATAGTTCTGACCGTATTTCACTAGCTAGTCCCTTCAGCTCCTGAACAAATAAGTTCATGAATAAGCACGTCCTTCATCAAGTCAGCCCCAAACAGAAAGCACAAGGAAAATGCACCAAATCTAACTAACCTGGACGGACAAATTCTTGAGGTGAATAGGGTTCTCAACCATATCAAGTAAAGGAGTTGGTACTTTGTCCCAGAACATGTCATCCATATCTGGTACAGCATTTATTCGACGACCGAATTCCTACATCAAACAAAAACATCATCAGCTTACCTACTAACCAGCAAACGATTCTGGAAATCGTTACCTAACATGGCGATATTTTAATTGATCAAGAAAAAGCATCATATTGACATACACAAAAGGATCCAATAGACACACAAAGCACTGAAAATGCTTGGACTCAAAATCTCCAATTGGACACAAGTTCAGCCTCATCATCGACTACCAATCACCAATCTCTTTCCATTTGCCAGCTCGGACACCGGTTTGCTTCATCTAAAAACTTAAAAAATCGACACCCATCCACCCATTTCTGCCTTTCCAGACGATCACACAAAATCTAAGCGAGACAGAAAAGAACAGACAAAACGATCGGATTCAAATAAGGAATCGTCTAGAGAAACATACCGTGGAGTGATCAGAGGAAGAAGCGGCAGAGGAACCTTGATGAAGCAAGCCAAACCGAGCGAAATCCAATTGACATGGAAACTTGGAGCATCGAGAAGAATAACCCAGCTTGTTTTGACCGAGATTTCCGGTGGAATGCGAAGTGATCCCATGTGGGCACTGAGCTACAGCACTACCCATCTGGAAAAAGTTTCGATCTTTGAGCGCGTCGTAACTGAGGATTCAGGAAAAAAAACCCCGACGGCGGCGACGGAGCAAGACGAGGCAAACTCTTGTAATAAGTAAGATTAACAGATAAGAGAAGTGGTTCGGCGGAAGAAAACGCGACGAATCCAAAGTAGAAAAAGACGGCCGGAAGAACGAATTTTTGGATTGGGAACCTGACTGAGTAGCGATTGAAACGAGACAAATGGACAAAGAAAGCATCAGCTGATAATGAGGCTGGTCGTTGGCGGTATCAAACCGGCACTCTCAATTTCTCGACATGGATAGAATAGAAGAATAGTAGAAGAGAGGAGAAATTAAATAAAAGAAAAGAAATTGAAACGCACACAGATTCACTCACTCACAGAGATTACAAAGGATTGGATTGATGAAATTAAACATGAGTATGGTGAGTTTAATTTTGCAGTCGATTTTTCTTGCAATCAAGGTCATTTATTTTTATTTTTGGCACACATGTCTTTGATGTGAGCAATCCCAACCTATATTATTCATATTTTACAATTACATGGATATTAGTACTATGAGTCGGAGTCCAGAGATTAAGGGGTCGTTTGGAAGTTGCGAATGTTAAATCGTTGCATTGTCATGAATCACCATAATATAAATGCATGTATTGATACAATGGATGCAATTTAACAATACATTGTTTGGTTGTTGAGATTCTACTTTATGCATTGATTTACATAAAGTTACATTTATGGGGAAATGTCATATTTACCCTCAACTTTTAGAATAAGACAAAAACTATTGGGGATATAAATGGAAAGAAAAAGTTGACACAAATCTAAAACCAACAATCACAACAATCTCAACTTTTAGTTGAGATTGTATAATGCATCATTTTTTGTGATTGTTGGTGGGACCTACCTAAAACAATGCATGCATTGTTTTACACTTTGGCTCTTCCAAACATTGTATTGTGCACAATACATGTATTCAACAAACACAACTCTAACAATCACAACTTCCAAACGACCCCTAAAGCGATCTACCAAAAAAGATAATAGAGAGGAAAGATTATTAGTACAGATTTGAAGATATGGGCCTGCCACCCCACCTAGAGATTGGGCCAAAGTCCATCTCTTTTCCCAATGTGCCGGCCTTTTATCTTGAATTGGAGACTGGGCTCATTAGCTCTTTGTCCTTTTCTCATTCGGGAGACCTGAGAGCCAGGCCCAGCTCAGTAAGCGAGAATTTCCAATTGTCCTAGTCAAAAGAGCTCATCTCTTCAGTCTAATGTGGTGATTGATAATTATGCCCGTCATAAAAAAAATGGGTAGTTAATTTTTGGAAAAAAGTCCCTAAAATACAGCTAATAATAAATCAAATTTCTAAACTGCACCACTTATAAAACATTTCCCAAAATATCTATGTTTGAAGCGGATCGAGGCCCATGCATACACTCGAACCACACACTGGATCGAGGCTCGTACACTATTGTATTCGCGACGAGTGCCCAACTCTTGCATAAAAAGATTTGAATCGTTGTCCCCGAGTTGGTGGTTGTAGTTTTTTTCTTTGGTTTGCGAAATGTGTTTTTTTTTTGTTTTTTGTTTTTCTTCACCTAATTATAATTTTGGAATTCTAAATTGAACATTTGAATATTGATGTTATATGAGTTTGTTTGAATTTTCACTCTATGTTAGATTCAAGTATGAATTGTTGTTTCGGTTTAATGTTATATGTTATTGCTCATATGTTAGATGAAATTTGATATAAATTATAAATACATGAACAATATAATGACTTTTTTCCCCATACATTCGTGTTAAAGCTATCATATCATTAACTCTCAACCCACTTGCTCAACCGAGCCAACGGGCTAAACCATGTTGACAACCTTGACTAAAATATTTAATTAATCCAATCCATATGTAATCCAAATTCAACTCGAATGTTGGCTTCATTGATTGAATTCATAGATATTTGAAAATCACAGTTTAGTATCTATATTTTTATATTTTGACACCTAAATTGTTTAATATCCTAACGTAAAATACATAGGGAAATTACGGTTTGATAACTAAATTTTTTATTACGAAATTTTAATACCTAAACTTTTTAAAAAAAATTCATATTGATTTAATGTTTAGTTTACATTTAGATTTATGATCCAATCCATTCGACCATAAGTGCACCAATTCAATCCACAACTCTATAAATGCAATTCATTTGTCACGCTACCATCATATTCGATTAATATCTTCTAACCCGCAATATTTGTCACTCAATTTCCTACAATATTTCAATGGTTAATTTTTATCAACAGTATATATAGGTTAGGGCGCAGTTTCGCCACTGCCGCATGCAGATGCTTGACTCGCGGATGCCTCCTTATAATTAACGGCCGGGAGCCGACAAGAAACAGCCCAAAAGGTTTGCCGCTGATCAAATTAATTAGTTGAAGGTTTGACCTGATTTTTGTCAATCGGCACCGCAACTAGCTAGATCCACGGAAGATCGGAAGTCAACAAAACACGTCCAAAATTAATCATAGAACTGATATGATTTACACGTACGTACTTTTCTTCAATTGCATGGATATCATATATCACACGGCGGCTTGTCTGTCATCAGCTGTAATCTGGCTATCAGCCTGTCTTTATATAATTTGGATGGGAAGAAAAAAACAACGGATTTTGTTGACTTTTTCCTTTCTTTCTTCCATAATGTGAAAGTTCTGCATAACTAACTAATAACTAGCAGCTACTAGAAGATGAACCCTTTTTTTTTTCTCTCTTCCTTTCTGGCTTGATAATAGCAAACAACAACAATGTGAATGTACGAAAAACCCGCCGCCAAATGATTACTAATCCCTCCCGCCAAATAAATGGCCCCTCCCCCTTTGGTTTACTTTTCCTTTCTGGAGAATTCAAACCCCTAGCTATTAATTGCGATGAAGATAATTAACCAAAGTCAGACACTGAACCCAAAAGGTTTTGTAGTCAACCAACTATTGTTGCAAATTAAGCTTCTTCATGAACAAACTACTCTTTCACAATCACGAGTAGCTAGAAGCATTTTGTCGGCATCATAGAAAAAAAAAAAACAAAAATAAATTTGTATACGGTCACGGTTCCTTTTTCCAATTTTCTACGTACGTATGGGAACCTTTTTGTCACCAGTCAAAAAAGGCGATAATCCAAAGTAGTTGTGATCAAATTGGGGGGTGCAGATTCTAGAATCTTTTAGATTCTTACGTGTATTAGCCGTATCTCTGACGTCCGTGCGCTGTATAAAAAGGACGCCCAGTACGCGCAAGTCTTAACCTGCATCTGTCGCCAAACAAATCAAATCAACTTATTAGTTCAAAAACAATAAAGAGTACAAGAAGAAGAGATGACATCTCAACATTTCTCCTCCTCCGCCTCCTTCCTCCTCCTCGCCGTCTCTCTATTATCCGCCGCCGCACTCTTCCGCCTCTCCTCCGCCGACATCGGCACCGCTTCCCACTACCGCGCCCCTTACCTACGTAAGTCCATACCCATAACTCTTGTAAATGTAGCCGCTTTCAAATCAGTCTGTTTAAGCTATCCAGTTGGGATTCAAACTCGAAACCTTCAAGTTGAAATTAAGTCGATCATGCACTCCATTTCCTCTAGTTCGTTGGCTCGCTTAGCTAGCAAAGGAGATGCATCGTTCCGCGCATCATTGAAATTTCAGTTAGTTAATTATGAATGCCGCAATAGATTGAAAGCTCTTTTTTACTCTTTTAATCATTTCTTCATCGACACTGACTAGCTAAGTAATAAGTTCGATCGATATAATTTTCGGTGGAAAATCAGCTATCTCTAAAATAAAATAAAAATCCCCCCTTTCTTTTCAGACACTTTTAAGGTGGAACATTAAATCAGCTCTCTCTAAGCTTATTATGTAATCAGTAATTATAATAATGATGATGATGAATGTGCAGCGACGGCGTGCTACGGCAACGAGGCGGCGCAGTTCCCGTCGAGCAACCTGTTCGCGGCGGCGGGGGAAGGGGTGTGGGACAACGGGGCGTCGTGCGGCCGCCAGTACGTGGTCCGCTGCATCAGCGCCGTCGCCCCGCGGACCTGCATTCCCGGTCAGACCATTCGGGTTCGGGTCGTGGACCGGGCCCTGTCGTCCGTCACGCGGCCGTCGAGGGGCGGCACCACCCTCGTGCTCTCCACCTCCGCCTTCGCCGCCATCGCCAACGGCTCTCCCGGCGCCATCAACATCGAGTATCAGCAGTGAGTAGTTAATAATTAATTACTCTAATTAAGCACTTCTGCAACGTGTTCAGCTGATTGATTTGTTTTCTGGTTTTGTGTTTAGGGTGTGAGAGATGGGGGGACGCGCGCGCGACGACTGATGGTTGTGTTTGTTGCTGGAAACGCGGGAGGGATTAATGGGAACAGCTAGGGAGATTAGTCGTCAAGATTGGGGTTTAGTTAGTTAATTATTAGTCAATGGATGCAGGTTGACTTGTGTTCATTAGTGATTTTTGTAGTCATATATATACACGAGTAGATTATATTTTAGTTTCTTAATTTTGTCTTTCTTTCATCATAGAGAGTTTATTAATTATTTATGTAAGCTTCATTGTCTTTGTACGATTTGAGTTTTCGGTGCATAGTACGGTATAATCATTTTTTTGTCATGATGGTACAATGACGGAATTTTTGTAGGTTATATAAATTAGGGTTTGCACTTTGCACATGATTTGCTCCCTTTTGTATTAGCATTGATCAAAAAAATAAAAAAATATTATTGTACCTTTTCTTTCCATGTGGAATATGGATGACAATGGGTCGGGTCGGAGACGAATAGTGCATATCCGTTACCCTACCCAAAGCAGTTCGGGTTTTACCCATACCCATACCCAAATAAGAAACGGAGAGAAAATTCATATTGTGCCCGTACCCGTTCGGATTTCGGGTATCCGTGGTTATCCATGGACCATGGGTAATAGTTTCTCTTTATAACTCCAACCAATATGTTACCATTCACACGTATTCTCACGTTACGTAAGACAAAAAGTACGACAATAATTCATTAGAGTGAAGAAAATTAATTAAAATAACACAATTTCATAAAAATGTTATATTTATATGCTAAATATAAAATATGTTAGAGAAAAATATTAATTATTTCTAGACAAAATATATATGCATGTGTATAATCGGGCGGGTTTGGGTTGGATATGAGAAAACCATGACCACCCATTATCCACAATATTCGGGTTCGGGTTTTACCCGTACCCAATAAAAGTTCTTCGAGTTCGAGTTTTATCCTACCCGATTAAAGCGGATTCGAGTGGATATTTACGGTTACGGATATTTTTACCATCCCTAATGTGAACCCATCTCTTAATGTTTTGGTGGTGGTTAGCTTCTTGTTATTACTTAAAAAAAACCCATCATTCACCATAAAATGGTGTGCCAATAAATTAAGTTGTTGTAAGGATGTTCAAAATAAAAAACTTATATTTGCTCATGTGTTCATGAGTTTTAGTTTTCACAAATAACGAGTTGAATATGATCATCGAATAGACGGATAAAATAATATAGACGGAATGTGTTAAAGTAATTAAAGCTTTTTATTTTAGACTTTTGAAGCCAAGTACGTACATAATCTATAGAAAGAATAGTTTTCATAGCCGAGTATTAATCAATCACACACGAAACAGGGTTAGACCAATGCGGTTACCAAAAATTAAACACAAGTGGAAAAAAAAGCGAAGCATCCATCGAGATGTGGCATATATACAATCAAAGTTCTCGAGCCTACAATCAGACATTAGTTCTAGAAACATTTTTGGGTTGAACTGATGGAAGTTTCGCAACATCAATTCAGAAAACAAGAACCAATATGGCGACTCGGAACAAAATCCATTGCCAACAATCCAACAATTGATCTTCTTACTAGATGTTGCACAGATGAATCGAACCATAATTTTTTAGTTGAAAGATCTAAGTGAACAGGAATATCTTAGGTGTTTAGTATGATAACAGAAGGCATGATTACTTGTATTCCGGATTGTATAAGTATTAATAATGTATTATCTACATAGACTTTCTTAGAGCAAACAATGCTTATTTTCCATAGAAGCCCGTGAACGATAATCATACTTAACTTTATACTCAAATGATACATAAACCGATACATTACTTATATGAAGAACTCGAACACGGTCACTTACCACCTACAAGCTATGAAGTAAACGAGTTACCAATCTTAATAATAATATCAAATTATCAATCAATGATGCAATGTTCCATATGAATTTATCCCAAAAGCTAGAGAAAAAGGAGTGATTATAGTTGCTGATATCTTAATGACAAAAAAACAGTGTCATTACATAGGGATCTAATTGTCCAAAATAATACTTTAGGGGCGTACTGTTAACAACGACGAAAAATGCTACCAACGAAAAAAAAAAAAAAAAAAAAAAAGGAGAGGTAGGACTTAGGAGTTTGGCGGTGGCATAATTTCTCAAGCTATAAATGGTTAGTTTGGCGGCCAGTTTCGTACTTTCCAATCCTTCTCCGCGTCGTCGACTCTTTTTCTCTCTCCCCAGGATCTAACAAACGAAGGAGCCAAAGAAACAACCTTTCCCCGATCGATCTCCTCCTCTCTCTGTCTCTATCGAATTTGATCGCTGCGTGTCGGAAGAAAGAAACATTGTTGTTGGAGAACAACAACATCGAGAAAACGGGATGTCGGGGAAAGGCGCCAAAGGATTGATGGCTGGGAAAGCCGCGGCTCAATCCAAAGACAAAGACAAGAAGAAGCCTACCTCTCGTTCTTCTCGCGCCGGCCTTCAGGTTCTTTTCCCTTCCCCTCTCGCCGATATTTGGGATTCTTGATGCCCGTCTAGGATTTCGAATTGGATGGAGACCTGATTGAATAATGTTAATCGATGTTTCTCTTTTGTCGTCTATATCATTAGCTTTCTCGAGACCCCTGCTCGTGGTTTAGCTGAGTAAGATGGTGTTCTTGTTTCTGTGTTATGATCAGTGTGTGTGATAATGCCAGCTAGTGGACAGGACATTTTCATCCCAACAATGGGGAGACCTTGTAGAAGTTGTTTCAAAGAATTGAACTTTAGATGTTTTTCCTTCGTATTAACATTGTATCAAGTACATTTGTGTGGGCATAGAGCAGAAAGGTTGGCATGACTGGTTCTGTGCTGCTTGGTACTTGTGGTATTTGTCATCATTCGTCTCGTGTCTCGAGCTCATGGAATTCATCTGCTCTTTGATCCTTGGTTCAGCTGGAAGCTGGTTCGCCAATCCTGTAACTTGTGTGATATCAGGGTGATAGATGTTAGACACATACATGCTGATGTTCTGAATCCAAATCCTCGAGCTTTCGTGTTGCTTGCTATTTCCATGGTGTGTCCTGCTGTAGTCTTGAATCCTTGTGCAAGCTAGGGACTAGTACTGAGTTTTCGATTTGTAAATAACTCACTCACTCAAATCATTCAATGTACGTTAGTTCATTAGTACGAGTTTTGGATTTGTAGTGTTCTTCTGACCTCTGTGGATTTCATCGGTTGTAGTTCCCTGTGGGACGAATCCACCGCCTCCTGAAATCAAGGGTCACAGCTCATGGGAGAGTTGGTGCAACAGCGGCAGTCTACTCTGCAGCAATCTTGGAGTACCTGACTGCGGAAGTGCTGGAGCTGGCTGGTAATGCGAGCAAGGATCTGAAAGTTAAACGTATAACGCCTAGGCATTTGCAACTAGCAATCCGTGGAGACGAAGAGCTTGATACCCTCATTAAAGGAACCATAGCTGGAGGTGGTGTCATCCCTCACATTCACAAGTCTCTAATCAACAAGTCTGCCAAGGAATGAATTGAAACCTGAAAAGAAAAGGCCATTCATTTATAGGATTAGTTTATTCGAGTCCATCTGTATTCTAAAGATTCTTCCATTGGTGGGTTCCGGGTTTGGTTTGAGTGTACATTCTGCTTAAAAACTCGGATTGATGATAGTTAATTGATACAAACCTTCCTTTGATCTGATTATTTAGAATGCCGACTTGCTACTTGTCCCAGTACTGTATGATTGGATGTCATTCTTAAAATCACTGAAATACTTCCACTGCTGTTAAACTTATCATCCAAACCGTAAAAGGGCTTCACATTGCATCATTCGACGGAAGATGCCTAAATTTCATCAATGAAACCATCCCTTATTCATTAGCTAACCATATGACAGTCTAGCTGGCTTACAACCTACATTAGATTGGAGAAAGAAACAGGTTACAACAGGAGGAAGAGCACAACAAAGCTTTTCAGCCACGTTAACGGAAAAACTGATTTCTCTATCATCACTGGAACACCCTACAAAAGGGATGAGATAAACTATAGCTTATGTTAAACTTCGATCTCTCTCTCAGTTGAGTGTCGCAACTTTGGGTACATCGACCGGGAACTGATCGATCTCATCCATCCACGGATTCTTCTCCTTTGTCGGGTTTATCGAGCGCAGAGCCTTCCACACCGCGCTATTACACTTGAACCCAGACCCGAAAGCAATTTGCCACATCCTATCTCCTCTCTTCACCCTCCCTTTCCCTTCAGTATAAGCCAACTCATACCACAGCGAACTGCTCGACGTGTTCCCAAACCGGTATAGAGTCATCCTCGACGGCTCCATATGCCAATCCGAGAGGTGCAAGTTCTTCTCTAGCTCATCCAACACAGCTCTCCCACCTGCATGAATGCAGAAATGCTCGAACGCCAGCTTGAAATCCGGTATGTAAGGCTTCACCTTGACCTTAAGCAGCTTCTTCGCCACCAATGTGGCAAAGAAGAGCAGTTGCTCGGACATTGGCAGCACTAGCGGGCCTAAAGTAGTGATGTTGGTCTTCAATGCATCGCCTGCAACTCCCATCAACTCCTTCGACAACGAAACTCCGATTTTGCCTTCCGAATCTTCCCTTTGAGTAACACAAGAGAAGCACTTGTCATCAGACCCCTTGTTGGTCCTCACAGTATGAACCAAACGATACTTGGCACGCCACCTCTCCGACCTCTTATTCGACAGCAGAATTGCAGCACCTCCCATTCGGAACAAGCAATTCGACAGAAGCATCGACTTATCATTTCCAAAGTACCAGTTCAACGTAATGTTCTCCATACTAATCACCAAAGCATACGAATTCGGATGCACCTGAAGCAGATCCTTCGCTAGATCAATCGATATCAAGCCAGCACTACACCCCATCCCACCAAGATTGTAACTTCTCACATTGCCACGAAGCTTGTAGTGGTTAATCACCATGGCAGACAATGACGGTGTAGGGTTAAACAAGCTGCAATTCACTATCAAGATGCCAACATCCTTAGGCTTCACCTTAGTCTTGGCGAACAAGTCATCGATTGCACCGAACATCACAGCTTCCGCTTCCTTCCTAGCCTCGGCCATACAAGGATTAGGAGGGACATTGAGAACAGCTGGTGGGAGGTAAGTTGACTCGCCAAGACCGGACCTTTCGAGGATCTTGCGCTGGAAATCGAGGCTTTGCTCGGTGAAAGTGCCTGTTAAGCCCGATCTGTCCATGAAAATCTGTCTGGTGCATTTCCTGGCGTCGTCAGGCTTGTAACAGGAGAAGTCTACGAGGTAAATTGCACGAGGGCGAGTTAGGAAGTAGAGGGTAAGAAAGAAGACTATCAGGGTTGTGCACAGAATTACTGAAATTAGGTTGGATTGGAGATGGTGATTCCAGAGGTCATGGAGATCTTGAGCTGAGAATGTGGATAGCTGGGCAAAGATTAGAAGGGCTAGTGGGGATAAAAAGAGGTACATCCCATGGGTGATTAGGTGATGGTAACCTAGTTTGACGTATTTGAGCTTCACCGTTTGTTTGAAATCTGGGAGCTTGGAGCGGGATTGGGATGGAGGGATCAACAGGGGATTAGGGTTTGGCTTCGACATTGTTTCTTTTTCTTTTCTGGGTATGTGACTCTGTGATTTGCTTGCTTACTACCACGTAACAAACTGTAATTCCAGCATGCTTGGGATTGGGGGGGAAAAGGTGGAGGGGTTTTCTTGGGAACAAAACAGAGCAACAACCCAGAAAAAGCTCGAAACTTTAGGCAATAGCACACCAATCAGAAGAATGCGGGAAAACGGAAAGGCTTTAACCTTGCTTCCCCTTTATTCCTGCACAAAATGAGGAACAGAATGTTGAGAAATGAAAGCTTAAACAATGGATTTTATCTTAATCACAAAGCCAGATCTGTGAAACATGCTGAACTTTTATCCATTGGAACAGAGGACAATGCAGAGGAACCCAGTAAATAATGAACGAGAGAGAGAGAGAGAGAGGACTGACCTCGTGGAAGAAGATTGAAACAGAGGTAGAGACGGAGGAGCTGGAAATTTGTGCTATTTCTTTGCCAGAAGAGGGAGAGAGGAGGGAGTAATGGTAGTGGTGTGCTCCAAGATGGGGATTTTAAACAAAGGTGGAAGGAGAAGACAGAGTCGTTTGTTGTATTGCGTTTCCTTGATAGTAGGGACTAGGGAGTGAGGCGAAAAAACACCGAACAGAACAACTGGGGAATCTGGTGACAGTGAGGGAAGTGGGGTAAAAATTATTCAAATCAAAAGTACAATAAATTTGTTAAAAGTCCATCGCAATTTATTGTGCAAAGTACTGATTGTCGGATGAACACTTGAAGTCTTGTTGTTGTTGTTCTTGTTCTGGACGAACCGGAGGAGGTCGTTTGCACGGCTCGTCGTTTAAATATAAGGTTACAGGTTTGATTCATGTTTATGAGAATGAAAATTATTCTGTGATAAGTTGTTCATTGCTTTGTAGTACGACTATCTGCAATGAGCGATACATTGTTATTGTTGATGAGTAGACATACACAGCAATGATATTATCAAAGTTTATCAAAGTCATCATAAGCTTCTTCTTTTCATTGGCACTATCATACCATATTTTTTTTTCTTCTAGAAAATAAAAGGCAGATAACCGTGTTTATGTAATATTGCGAATATTACAACTTGATGAACTGCTACGTAAACAAATGGAGGAATTCAGGTACAAACAAGAATTGCATGAATCGCGTTAAAAGTGTATTTTTCTTTTGTTCTTTCTCTTCCTTGACTTGACCTGACCAGCATGCATGTGAATGAATAGATCACATCACATGCAGCAGACCAGCAGAAAATGCAGGCTGCATGACTCTTTTTGTCATATAATTTCCCTACTGTCGGCTAGAAAACGGATTCAGGCCTTAAGAAATTCTAATCGCAACAGTCGATCCAATCCATTCGGTTAGCGTCCTTATGAGATGGTGTAAGAAATAAGAACGTCGAGACAACTTTCTGGATATGAATCGCAAGACTGACAATCCAACAGAGTGTAAGGTTATCCTCCTTGTGCTAACCAACCTCATAGAAGCTCAGCCAGATTCCTCAACAATGGCGGTTCGCCGGTTCCTACTAGCTACTACTATTCCTTCATGGGTTGATAGTCTCTTCTAATAGTAACTATGGCTAAAATAGTCTTCATCTCCACAGTAATTTGGTTCTTCATTAGTTAGGTTACAATCTCTTTCATTTAGCAGTGTGTGTGGAGTGTGGTCACCACCCTCTGCTCTTCTGCTGTGATGTGAAAAATGAACCATCGCATACTTTTTTTGGAATCAAATACCAGAATAACGCATAAGGAGTATTCAGGTCCCCGCCTACAAAGGAACAGACAAAGCTGGACCAGCCATAGGGGTATAATTTCGTAGAGGACCATCAACCACATTTTTAGCAGAGATGTTGTGAGTAAAGAGGTGAATTTCTTCAACCCTTTCTCAGTTCCGGCATTAAAAAGTTGTTAAATTTCACACTGTGAATTAGGGGATCCGACACAAGGAGCTATGCAAGCCTGTATGGCTTCGATCACCGCCGCTTAAACTAGGTGTACACATGATAACACATCACACACACAACAGAACTCGTTGCTACAGAAAATGAACTAGCCATGAACCTAGTATGACACAGAGAATGCGCAAGGCTTCTGCACTCTACCTCAGATTAGCGGATGGAGAATAAAGTAAATCAGGGCAAAGAGTATGAACTCAGAAACATTCCTAAACCTCAAGGCCGAAGACGTTATGTTTGGCCGCCTCCATTCCCAGATGCTTCTTGTGCATGTGATGGTCGGGCGCCTTCTTCTAGGTTGCCAGTCGGAGTGAAGGCCAGTTCAGAAACCAACGCGATATGGTCGCTCCCCCATTTCTGGATAATACGATGCAAGCAAAAGACATGATTGAAGTAAAGTTCACTTCGAAATCAACATATCTGATGCTTCAAACGACTAATTAATGTGCTCATAAGGTTGAGAATCTGTGATCTCAACATGTAGCAGTCAGGTGCACAATCATTGAGCAATTCATGCCTAACAGTGTTCCATTACTTTCAAACAGATTGCCACCCTTGGTTTTCCATTTTATTAAGTTTTTTCCTAGAACAGATATTAATTGAACAATGTCACATACCTTTGTCGGGAACCCAGTTGTCCACTGCATCGCGCGTTTTGGTATCGGAGCAAGTACACCCACAGTCTGCAGACCTTTTGAAAACCTGTAGTTCCGAAAGAAGGTTGCTTTATCTTATTCTTGAAAAATAAAACAAAATAAAAAAGACTATGTTACATGTCCTGTTTATATTTTTATGTCAACTCATCAAGCAAGGCCTAGGGTCATGATTGGGAACTCTACATGCAGCAGTCTGTATGAAGACTTTACCATGGGTAATGCACGAAAGACCAATCTACAAGCTGTCACTGCATTAGGGTATCCATAAGGAAGAGCAAGTTGTCGAAGAAATCATTACCATATGTAGTCAACTGTGCCCAAGAAATGCCTGTTGTAGCTAGTCGCCTCAGGTTCTCCATTAGAGGGATCTCTTGTTCCTGAATGGTTCTGGTCAAAACAAATATACATGGAAACTCTGTTAATCACGCACAAAAACTTCAACTGGTCTACATGAAGTTAAAATCAGAAAGTTAAGTTTACCTCAACTTGGGTATAAGCGCTTCTAAGAGTTAAAGGATGCTGTAAGCAGGTACAGTCTGCGTCACCTGTAGCAGTAGCTATTTCCATTGGTGTCCAGACCGATGGATCATAGATAGAAACCTCATCAACAACTTCCACTAAGTTCTGATTCTCAGAAGAATCATTGGCCAACTCATTGGTTGGCGAATGCACCTTAGACTCATCATTTGGACCCGTTCCAAATTCTCCACTGGATTGATCTAAATCTGAGCTAGCAATTTCAGAGAAGGTATCATTAGTGTCATGCAGTGAAGCTAGAAAACTGCTTTCATCTTCACCAGTTATGGAGAGTTCAGACTGGAACTTGCTGAACACTTGTGTAAATTCGGATTCTAGACTATCTTCTACTTGGTTGACGCTATTAGATCCACTTGCACTGTCGGAAATTGGCTGTAAAGAATGAAATGATCTGCTCCCAGAGCAAGATACTTCATGGGATAATGAGAGATCCTTGAAGTTTCTTCGGGTATCTTCTATAGAATTACTTGACTCGTGACTTTGACCCACAGTCATACTAGATCTAGAATCTGATTCTTCCCTTCTCTGTACAACTTCAACTGAAGTATTGGGGGAGTGAGTCCTGAAAAAGATTTGCAACCTCTATTTTGAAGAACGAGTGTGAAGTAAATTAAGGATAGAACTTTGTAAAATGTTTTGACCTACATCGACTCACCCAGGACTAGAACTATGATTGGGTTTACCACCAGAATAGACTGTCCTTGTAGGAGCTCGAATCTCTGCAGAAGCCTGTCCTGATACCTTATCTCTATCCACTTCAGACAAATCTAACTGCAAATGTCAGCAAATCGAACACCACAGTTACAGTCTCAATCATCAACAAAATGACATTAGATACAGAGAGGAAAAGAAAGTACCTTCTGTTGGGAGATGAAGTTGTACAATGGACTCTGATTCAAGAAACACACATCAAAATTGCACGAAATGTGCTGAAGTAAAATGACATTTAAGACCCTTTAAGGGCATATCACCTTTGGAGTACAATTGAAGTCGCCACAAAGAACAACTGGAGCATCATTCCACAATTTTGACACAGCATGAGCCTTTTCAAGAAGCTTTCTCACCTGATGAAAAGGTGTGTTAATTAAAGAAGAAAGAACCAGAACTATTTATTCAATGGAGAAGCACAATGTTCTATAAGGGCACAGAGGTAGCGAAACAGTTGCATGACTCAAAGCTACACAAAAGACAGGCTCAACATGATGTAATGTGAAGAAGAACATAGTTCGATAAATCAACTGGTAATAGAAAACAAGCAAAGGACTTAAAATACACTAGTTTCCAAGAGTGTTAGTACCTGACCGATCTTTATTTCACCCCTTCTAGGATTGTACAGCACATGAATGTTGCATACAACAACTTTATTAGAACCTGCTGAGCTGTAAACATAGTCCATTAGCTTAGGTAAGGGGAGAAATGAAAGAAACAGGATAGATAGTAAATGTTGGAATTACAAATCAAAGTTAAAGTGGACAAACGTTGGCTGTGCTACTAGCTGGCATCTGTGACTCCGCAGAGAGCACAAATTTCAGTACAACTTGCTAGCGTGAATCATTGCTGACTCCATTATTACCTCAAGAGAATGCGTGTGGGTTCCTCACATACAACTGGTTACTTCCTGCTTTCGTGTGTTATTACCTAGCTGGATTGTAAGAGTTCAACATATTTCATCTGTCCCATCACTGAGAGAACTGTTCAAACATCTAGCTTCGCACCTATCTTTTTCACTTCAACTTCTGTGTCATCTTCTTACTATTTTCGTTTTTTGGCACATATTATTCAGTATTTATCTCATTAACAATCTAGGACACATCTGCATCAAGCTAATTGTGAATGAATGAACACAACGACCAAGACATACTATCGGCCGGCTTGTGGAAGATGTATAATAAATTGTACAAGTGTATAAACCAGAATACTACAGAGTTCTTGAACTGGTACCTTGCAGAGAGAGTTGATGCATTAGAATTCGAACTTTGACTTATTGCCTGTTTTCACAAAAAATGAAAGTAAAAGAAGTTCATGAGCACACAAATGCATAAGTAAAAACAACCAAGCACACATCATAAGTATAGAAGTATGAGGAAAGCTATTGAAATATGTTCAATTTCAGAAGATACATAAGTTTCCAATAGAACGGCATCTACCTCCAGCACACATATCTGAGCAACATTATCCCGCAGTCCAAACTTATTGAAAACAATAGATTCCTCGTGGACCAAGTTGAATCTAAGGAAGGTAACAAATCCACGTGTAAGCCTGAGGGTGAAATCTGAAAATAAGATCACCACCAATGGTGTTGATAAACCTAGTATCTATCTTGAACAGACAGTACTTAGAAAAAGAGCTCAATAGTGCATGGCTAAGCAGAAAAACTATTTGATTAGTACGGGAAAAATAAAAAATGATTACAATATGACATAAACTACCAAAAGTTGTATGCATGATTTAACCACATTGGCCCTAATAATGGCGAAGATTATGGAATTCAAGACCTCTGGAGACTGAAGATGGAAAATTACTTTGATTCTCTCCAAAAGATGGCACAACCATCAGTAGCACTGCCTGTCCGCATCTAAAAATAACAACATGAATGTTAATTCTATGAGTTGGCCCTTAATAGAAAAATCTCAATAGCGGCTTCTTCGGAGGAATAATAAAGTGCCCGGTCAAGATCATCATTTCGGCTAATTTGAAAGCATGCATATTCATCCACACAGTTGAAAACATTCGCCTTCTGCATGTGAAATGCATCTCCTTTGTTTTATGGACAAGTATCAGAGTGTAAATGCATAGGCCTCAAGAGGCAATAAATCATTTTCATCTACTGAATCCCATTCTAACACTATGATAACGGGGGAGAGTTCTATAATTATGAAGCTCTGATCCCTTCAACACAGTAACAATATTTGCAAAACGAACCTGATAGATCCCATTGTACCCTGATCCCTTCAACTCATCTTCCAACTCCTGAAATCTGTCAACTTCCTGTAGTGCAGAGTGCAGCAAAGGCATCAGAGTTCAAAACCCAAGAACATCGAGAAAAGCTTCAGCCTTGTCTATGAATTCTGAAGAGAAGAGTAGAGCAAACAACCTGAAAGCACATTATATCTGCTTTCCACAAGCCAAGCTCAAAAACTATACTTCTCTTTCTCCATTGCCAAGCCAGCATATGCTGAGGTATGTGGAAGTAAAGTTTGCTCCTGTGGTTGACGGCTAGATAGTCGGCCAGTATATTATAAGAAAGAACACTGAATCTCTCTGCGGACGGAAAACCCAAAAGAAAGAATCAAGCTTTGAACAATACTTTCATCTAGCAGAAATCACACTTCAGTACTAAGAGAAGGGACTATCTCTGCCAAAGTACCTGCATTTGGAGGAGGAAAAACATTTGCATACTCCCAATTCCGGAAAAGCAATTCCTTCGGCGGCCTCGGCGGGAGTTGTTGTTGCTGCTGATGGGGGCGGAAACCTTGATTCCGATCAAACGGCGGAGCCTGCCGGAACTGTTGGTAGTTCTGATTTTGAACGAAGAGTGGAGGTGGCCGGAATTGATGCTGGTTTGAGTAGTAACGCGGAGACGGCTGCCGGAACTGTTGGCTTTGGCTCTGTAAGTATGCCGGCGGTGGCCATTGATTCGAAGAACCGTGCCATCCCCCTCTGCCAAGCCCTGAGTAATTAGGGTCTGGTAAGTCTCCGGCAAAGACATGTGAGCCTCTCCCGCCACGGTATTGGCGGTCGGAGAAGCCTCTCCCCGCCGCCCAAGGCTTTCTACCGCCACGGTGCTGCTCCCAAATTTCCAACAGTTAAAAGAGAAACTCACTATGCAAAAACCAGACATTGAAAATTCAATACATTGAAATTACAAATAGAAAGCGTGAGAGAGATGGAGTACTGGAATCGGAGAAGACATGGCGGTGGTTTCAGTAGCTACGACGGCGAGGGATTTCAAAGGCGGAGCCGATCGCTTCATTGAGACATGGCGGAAACTCAAAACAGTTGGGGCTTGACCGCTTGAGTAGAATGCATAAGGGAATAAATAGCTAAATGGTCACTAAACTAGGTAACAACTAGCAAATTAATCACTGGACTTATATATTTACCATCCGACGGCGGTGATCAAATCAACGAGAAAGCCGTCAAAACTCAAACCGTGTCCTCTCAAAACCCCCATTTTCGGCCACTTCTCTGAGACAGACGCGAAGGATTCGATTACTATTTACTACTCTTCTCGGGAAGTAGGAGCGAAGAGCCTCGCCGGAAAAGGAACAATCTTTCAAGTGGGAAAGCCGATGATATTGATGATGATGTCATCGCTGTCTTCTCCATCTTCGTGGTCGGTATCTCCGTTATTCAAATCCAAGCCCTTCACCGGCGATTACAGACCTATAACGCCGGCGGGAGTTCCTTTCTGCCGAGGCGTCAGGGCTTCTTCCGATGTCCCCGATTTCCTCTCCGCCGATTGGTATGGGAAAAACCCTGAAAGCACTCATCCATCTTTTCTGACTATTTTTCTGGGTTCGGGTATTGATCGTTAGAATCAGGAAGAACCACAAGAAAGTGATGACCTTTTTTTATTGTTGTTTGTTTCAGGCTTGAATCACGACGGAAGAAACCAGATGGGCCAAAACTAAATGTAATAATTTTCTAAATCGTTGAGAAATCAGCAGAATTAATTAGGAGGGGAAACTTTTGATCTTACTGTGAAATAGCTGTTTTGTATGTTGTAGTTTAGTGCTGAAGAAGCTGTTGAGTACCAGCTTGATGCATTGAAGCACAATGACCAACCTCACCATGATTATGGAATTGAAGTTATGTACAGGGTAAACATCCAGAGCCCCACAATTGCACATCATTTGGAGGCCACTTTTCTCTCCTAAGTTGCACTTAATGTTGTTACTTGTTTGCTGTTGTTCTGATGGCCATCTGGTGATAGTTTGCTGGATTCGATCCTTTTGAGAGATCGACCTATTTCGGACCCTTCTTCGATCTCGGGCAGGTTAGTGTGTGTTCTGAGAGAGACCTCTTTTACAGCTTTGTTTGGTTGCCTCTTCTAAAGCTAATGCCATGATCATGATGGTTTCAGTTTGAAAGGTTTCGACGGATTTTCCACCACTCGACGTACAGAGTATTGCTTGGTCATAAGGAGAGGAAGGTATTGAGCTGCCTGTTAGTGGAAGAGGTATGGTTCATGCATTTGCCCTATTCCTAAAGGAAATCTGGTTGACAAGTTGCTACCGAGTTCGTATGTTTGCTATCTGATTCTGCAAACTTTAAACAGAATCGGTTTAAGCAACGGGTATGGGTGAGAGGCAATCGTCCAGAAGAGGAAGAGATATTCCAGTTCACCATGGTTCAGGTTTATTCCCCGCCATTTATTTCCCCTTGTAGAATGGACCTCCTTGAAGAAGATTGATTCATTTTCCATTGTTGATAGAGTGAACATAGTTGAGTGAAAGGGGATCTTGTGATTTTGCAGAGAGTTGGTGGTTCTTGGGATGGGTATTGGCTGACAGAGTCTCTCCTTAATGATGGAGATGCCTTTTCTGGTGGATTGGCATATTGAACCAGAAGAAACAAAGGGGCCCTTGATCATGTTTGAAACAGTGAAACTACTACAAGCACCAATCGAATTCGTGTACATGTTATGGCAATGCCGCATAGTTATATTCATCGTTACAAAAATACATCAGTGTAAATTGTGGCTGTACGTATCCGAGTTCTGTAATATATTATATAAGATCAGTGAATTTCTTTAGTAAATCTGCTTGTATAATAACAGTACAAGGCTTTAGTTTCTGCATTTGCTAAAGAAATTGGCAAGTAAAAGTGTGTTCCAATGCTTTAACTGTAATCCAAACAAGCAAAATACCACAATCCTCCTGAAAGCAGTACGGTTGAATAGAAAAATCTCTTTGAATGCCTAAAGTACCAGAAAATCGACAATCAAAATGATCTGAACAACAGAGTTCAATGCCAACCAGCCCCACTTGAACGATACAAAAAATACAAAATTTTCAAAGGGCTTCTTCTAGCACTATAATGACTCGAGTAACAGCTAATAATGAATCTTCAACAATTGCAAACCGATACCAGAACCCCTCAATAACAAGATACAAAACTCAAAAACTATAAATTTACTGCTGAGAGATGCCAACTAGCTATAATCCCATCATCCATGTCATTTCTTTGTCTGAGTAACAAATTTTTTCACAACATAGCAGTCTGGTGGTGTAATGTTTGTGTAGTAATTCTGGATGGTCTCCGTGATCTCGAACCCAAACTTCTTGTAGAAGTTGATAGCATCTTCATTGTTTGTCTGCACATGCAAGTATATCTCTGGAACGTTCTGCTTCGAGCAGAGATCAAGAACGTGATTCAACAGTTTCGTCCCTGCATATATAAGTTCAGAGATTCATTTAAAGAGATGCATATAACAAGATATTGTTTTCTCTATAGCTGACTATATAAGCAGCTAGTCACTACCACTAACAGTAGAAGCAATGCAGCCCAATATGGAATTACAAAAGAAGCAAAACAGGCAAGCTGACTAAATAGTACAAACATCAATTACATGTTCTGGCAAAAAACTAATTGTACGTTTGCCGACTCACCAATGCCTAGCCCACGATATGGAGCTAACACGCCCAAGGTCATAATGTAAACACAGACAGCCCCGCCTTCCTTCTTCTCTAGGCGACATGCGATGGCACCAACGCAGATATCACTGTAATATGCTGAATAAGGAGAAGATACCCCAGAATCGCGTTAGTCAGCGGATAATGGATTAATGCAGGAGGAAACACTATGTGACATAATACTCCATTTTCCCTAACTTCAACCCAGTGTAACAATACAGGCATCATAAATTATAATCAACCAAGTGCTTCTTGACCCTATACAAGCAGTATGGTCTACTACGAGCTAAAACAACCATCTCGCGAGCACACAGCGAAACCATTATTAAACTAAGGGGTTCAAAGATAGGAATGAAAACCATATAAGTTCCAGCAAGGGCTCAAAGTAAGCATTTCACTCTCTCTAACTGCTTTTCATCACTACTAAGACTCGAGCATGAGCATTTGGAAAATCGTAGTTTCAGAAGATTGCCCAAGCATAAGAGCTTTTGTTCTGTACATTGCTAATCCATTTCGCACACAACAGCCGCGAATACCAAATGAACTAACAATCAATGAGCGAACCCACAAGCAGAAGCCAAATCGCAATAAAACAAACCCTACAGTCGCAGAAACAATTTGGGGGGAAAACGGTTCAATACCGAGTTTGGTGAAGTCACCGGAAGCGAGAGCGTCGGAATAGTACTTGTCATTGTAACGGACGGGGAAAAGGACGGTGTTGAGCTTCTTGAGCTGCATCACGTTCTTGTCCCGCACGCCATCTAAGGATATCGACACTTCTCGACCCGCCCCCATTTGGGATTCTCTTCCAGCCGAAATGGTCAAGGAGACGACGACGGCGGCGGCGGAGTAGAAGTCTCTGCTGGCGTATGTTATGTTGAGATTTTGCTCCCGATTTGGGTAAAACCGCGGCGGCTCTGCTCAGCTGCTGCTGGTCAGGATCTGCGTATTCGGGGTGAAAAGAAGAATGAAGAAGAGAAGAGGCGTATCCAGTCAGCTCTCTCGTGGGTGTGGGCCTGATAATTGGCCCTATGGGCCCCCAAATTATGATAAGTAGCCAAAGCCCAGTAGTCCGTTAAACAAAACACCGGCAACTGATTGTAGGGAGGGGGAAAACCAAATGCGGAAGGCAATAATCGTCGGCAGAAGCATCGCCGGAGTATGCTACGCCACTCCCTTGGAGAAGCAATTCTGGGACAATGTGGTGTTGATTGGCGATGCAGCTCACCCTACGACTCCACATCACTTGAGGAGCACAAACTTGTCAATGTTAGACGCATCGGTTTTAGATACGTGTGTGGAGAAGTCGAGTTGAGAATTTGAGTTCGGGTCTGGATGAATATCAGCAGTTTCAGATGCCAGTGATTTCCAGGCAAGTCCTGCATTCACGTCGTGTTGGGAGGATCAAACAACGATTGATTGTTCATGATCGAAAGAAGTTTGACCCCAAGGCTGCTAGTTCGGAGGATTGTGAAGAACTTCAGTATAAAAAAACATGCCCTTCTTAGCTAGGCTTCTCTGTCGCTAAAACTGCTGATGTGACAGTAGTTAAGGCGCGATTCTCTCTATAGCCAAGAAGTTCCAGCGACTGCAGAACTCTCAGTTCATCCCAAGGCACTCCAGGACAGACACTATTATGAAAGAACGAACAGCACTAAACTGCAGCATTACAATGGAAATGGATCAACAACTCCATTGCCCTAGGGTTTATTCAAGTTCGAGGAAACTAATTTACAAAAATGCCTCATTTTCGCACAAGTTCTCACAACAACAGTTAAAAGAATAAGATAAATAGTACATTTTGGGAATAATAAGATACTGAATTCGGCGATAACTTGATTCTTAAATTGTTGCAACGAAAATATATCCTTACACTTTCGTAGGCCATGAAGCTTGGGCAGACATGATTATGCCAACAATTACTCCAAACAGTCCTAGAGCACTACCAAAGATCTCAATCACGAGAATCTTCACAAAAAGTGAGGAGTTTTGGGCATCGGATAATGCACAGCTGCTTCCTATGATTCCCACGCACAGCCTGTTAATGATATGAAGATTAACAATTTGGAAAACGGTAATCCCAGATGCAAAACTTGCCCTAGAAGTTAAGTGGGACTACAGGATGTATTACGTACCCGCAAACAAGGTTAGCAAAGCCAACGATAATCCCAGATGCGAAAATTGCATATCCAGCTCTAAGGGATTCAGGAGCATAGATCTGTGAAGCAGGAACACTCTCCAACTTCGTCTGCAGGATAATTGCCACAATAACACCGTATATGGCAACGGCTTCACAAAAGATTACACTGCAAACAGAACAGCAAATTCAACCAGATCATCCTCCAAAGTAGGGATGGCAATCAAACCCATGGCCGCGGGTATCCGACCGCCCCCGACCCAGTCAACGCGGGGAATCCCCGCATTGACTGGGTATGGGGCGGGTATGGGTAAAACCCGCAAAACGTTTGATGGGTATGGGGCGGGTATGGTTTTAGCCTCCCCCGCCCCATACCCATACCCATACCCGCCCCACTAAGAACATTTCTTCACATATAACAAATATATGAATAAAATTGTGATATATGATGATAGTGAGGGTACCTCAAGAAAATAAATATTAGAAATGCAATTGAGTGAACACCCAAATCAAAACATAATTCCTTTTCGTCAACTCTCCCTTCACTCTTTCACTTTTCCCCTCGTGTTTACTAGATTATGTTAGTTTGTTATTAGTTAGTAGATGTATCAGAGTCAGAGAAGAATGATTTGTATTACATTATATTGTACTCTATCTTATGGATTAATGGATTGTTTAGGATAATATGCTTTGAATCGTATAAAGAATGATAGTCTTTTTGTCAACTTCACGATAGTAGATGCGTTTAATGTTATAATTGAGAATGTACATTTAAAATTTTAGGTATTATAATGTCGGATGTACGGGGCGGATATTACCCATGGGTACCCGAAACCCACGGGTATGGGGATGGGTTTGCAAAACCTTCCCCGCATGGGTATGGGGCGGGTATGGGTATAGATATTTGATAGCGGGTATGGGGATGGTTGAGACAAATCCGCCCCAAACCCGCCCCATTGCCATCCCTACTCCAAAGGGCATTGCAACTGTTTATAGTTTTACATAAACAACTGCTAAGCAACAGAATATGCTATCAACATGAAAATGAAGGCAAAGACTATATTGGCACTGAAACAGAAAACCATAAAACGATATTTCTCATCCAAACCATAGCCAGATCATTATATGCTCAAAGATTCTACCGCACTCATTACACCAACCAAAGTGGTATTGCAGCTGCGCACAAAGTTTCACATGTAGATACTCAGTTACATCCCCCATGGAGAGGAAACAGTTCCTGGTACAAGCTCCATGCTCATTAAGCAAATGGTCACTGGTACACCAATGCCAAATAACTTGAATGAACCTTCTAATGGTGTTAGCAAGTAATTTGCTTTCCAACCATATGGCCATTCAAAAGTTCAGAAGAACGTAAATGCAAGTGACATTCGTCCAAGAGAAAACCAAGTTCCAGAACAAGAAGCAGGCAACTTAATGTGATGATCCTACCATCTAACTCAGTAGCAGCACCTATTCTACAAGTCAGTGATGAAACAACATGAAATCAAGCATTGAGAAAATCAGACAGATAAAGCAGCAAAAAGTACTGGAAGCTCAGAATCGCACATCTAGGGCTACAAAACCGATCCCTGAATCAAGACCAACAACACAATTACAAAAATTCTGGAATTCGGCACCTGATGAGATTCTTAGAGGTGATCCGAGGAGCTTTAATGGCTGCGCCGATCAAGCTACTCCCAGTAATGTAGATTCCCCTGCAAATTCCAATCCAACCAAACCAAATGAAATCGAACGAAAAGCAAGTCATGAAGCACATCCGTCGAGCCAGGAAATCAACACTACATCCGAGAAAAGATGCAGCTGAAGTTAGAAAAAGTATGAGAGGCACGTAAATGAGGGAACAGAGCAGTACCAGGCGGCACCGAGGACAGAGACTCCGATGGAAACGGCGATACCGATGGCGGAGAAGGTGTAAGGAGAGATCCTAACGAGCGCTCGAGCCCAGGAACTCGCATCCCCGACTATCAACGCACTCGACATTTTCCGGCGTCGATTCGATCGAACTTCGAGTGTTCGGGCTGAATTCCGGTGTGAATTTCTTCTCCCTCGTCGAGCGATTGAACGTCTGGGGGAAATCAGAACTGGCGTGGAGGGAGGAAGAGGGGAGAGAGTAAGAGCGTGAGACTAAGGATGAAGAGACATCGCGCGTGCGATTCACTGCTCCACGATCCCGGTTGTCAAACTTCCGTGTCGTTTCGTTGCCTAAAGTTCACTACTGCTGCGTTAGCAAGGGTTGCAACGGCGCCGTATTAGCTCAGTAACACCCCGAACCACATATCTTGGCTGAAAATTATCATACCCCGCCCGAACTATCGATTTTGTTGCAAACCGATCACTTCACTATGATAATTGTACGAAAATTAGTGAATTTGTAGTTGCAATGATATCGATTTCGTCCTACATTATTTTTCTCCTTAAGGCTATTAGGCTAATTACCTTCAAGACCTCTGAAGTTTGTAATAGACTTTGGATTTAGAATGATTGTGAAAAATCAAGAAGAATCCTCCACCTCTAATATTAAGTCAAACCCGGATTATTGTTTTTTTAGCTTTATGTTGATGTGAAGTCATTACTCATTAGTCGAAAGGTGTGAGTCGGAATCAACAATGATATTACAAAGAAAGTTCATCTTAAGAGAGTTTTGGTTATTTTAGTTGAAGGTTTGAAACGATAATTATGTTCATATGCATTATCAAACCAAATCAACATCAATTTGTGATGGCTCTTACGAAACTTTAAATGTGTTCTATGCACTATGAATAATAATTAGGTATGCGAATTTTAAAAGATGGTTGTTGTTTGAATGTAGTAATGTCAAGATCCATGAATGAGTTGTTGTTTGCAAATTATCAAGTTCATGGCAAAAAGTTTGCGGAAACATCTTTTGATATTCTCTTAAACGATAATTGAATTCTCGTGAACTAAGAAAAAGAAATCAGGATGTATAAAATATTATGATTAAAGGATGAGCTAAACTTTAAGTTAAGAAAAGAGAGAGGAAAAGTTATAATACCTTAACAATAAATAGTTGTTATGTTTTGTTGGGTAAATGGCGCTTGAAGTTTGCTGTGGAACGGGATAGTCGGTGGCGCAATCTTTTGGTTCTCAAATACTCGTATGAGCTCTCATCTTGGCATCTTGGTAGAAAGAAGAATGGTTTCAGTAGTTCCGTATGGGCTAATATTTCGAAGACTCATGACTCTTTCTTTGCTTGCTTGTCTCTCGTTTGTTCCTCTGGTTTTGCAGCAGGGGTGGTTCGGCCCACCCAGCTGCTCTTTTGCATCTTTCTTTACTTCTTGTTCTCCTTTTCTTTTGTCCTGTTGTTTGGTTGTGGTTAAGCTCTTGTAAACCCAAGTTGCAGCGCTTTACCTCCTGTTTGAACAATATCCTTTTTCTTATTTATATATTATCACTATTATCAAAAAAATGTTTTGTTCAACTGAATCAAACTAACTCGCAAGAATAAATACATCCTATCAGGAGAACTTCAAAGCATCCACCAAGCAAAAAAAAAAAAAAAAATTATAAGAGTTAAGAGTTTTTATGTTCACTGTAACAATATGGTTATTGAATCGGGAAGACAACCTCAAAACATTCTAAATCGTTGTCCATAAAAAAATAGCAAACGGTAAAGAAAATTACCGTATGATGGCCAACTCTGCTAAGCACGACATGTGGTGCCAATGATTTGGTTCTCATGTCGGCGAGCAAAGAAAGGAGGATGTCGTTTTTGTCATCTGCTTCGATTGTTGCTATTACTCGGCAAAATTCGACTTCCTCGATAAAGTTCAAGTGGATCGGCGAGAATTGACTTTATTCGGTAAATTAGATTTCTTAATGATTCTTTTGAAAGTTACGTGGTTGAGTATTACCATTTTTAAAGCATCCACTAGACATCTCTACATTAGATTTCCAAATGATTTTCTATAAAGAGAACTTTAAGCATCCACTAAGCAAAATATATATATATATATATATGTCAAGAGTTTATCGCTTTTATGTCCACTCTAGACTTATGGTTATTGAAGTCCCGAGAGAGTCTCGACACATTTTAAATAGTTATCCATCAAGAAATATCAAACGGTTAAGACAAGCATCATGTGATGGTCAACTCTACTAAGCAAATGTACGATGCACACAATTAGATTCTGAGCGTTGGGAGCAAAGAAATAAGGATGTTGCTTCTGCGCCTCTCCGATTTCGCAATTACTCGACAAAGTTCAAACACAATGGATTGACAAAATTGACTCAGCTACTGAGCTACATCATATATCCTAATGATTCTTTTGAAAGTTAATCGATTGAGTAGATCCATTATCACTTTTTATGCTACATCTATTCTTTTCAGAAGGTATACAATCATAATGGTTAAATAATCCCTTAAAAAAAGGTCACATAATTGAATAAGTTGTGTTGGATGCTGAATTGCTGATTGCTGACCTTAGATCAATTATTTTGCATACGTTGGTTTCTAGAAATCCCAAAAACAATTAACAGTGGATATTGTTTTCCAGCAATCCTTTATACAATAACAATTTTCCAAATTGTCTTGCTTTTTTTTTTTGTTGTTGTTGTATTCCACATATATATTGTACTGTTAGCATTACAAGTTGTCTCTGTCGATTAATCTTGTGCAGCCACGAACTAACTGTGTTCGAATCCCCGTTGACCGTGTTCGAATCCCCGCGAGTCTCTATTCTAAGAACTAACAATGCATTTTTAAACTTAATGTATGATGGACAAATACAAATTTCAAGTAAATGAATGCAACATGTGAAATATTGAGTATAAAATTCATACTCAAATTTCTCTTAAACAAATCGAGTTAAGTAGTATGACCGCAATCGTATAATCTTGCAAACCTCGAGTAAAACAACACTGTCAACACCATGTGCTATCTTTCTGGCCAAATGTTCTTAATCACCAAGTAGCAGCAACAGTTATAATATATATACTAAATTACTGCAAATGAGCTATCCCATTACAGTCAAGCTCGCGATTAAGACGACCTTTTCAGCCGCCCCCCAAGTAAAATATCATTCCTATTATACATCAACAGTCACAATTTATGTACCCAAACCAACTCTCCCTATAATAACACCTCCAAATTCAAATCTTTCCATCCATGGAAACTTGCCAGATATTCCTTTTCTGTCCTAGTCTTTCCCCAACGCAAAAACAACCAACCTGAAGGAGACCCTTTACCTGCTACTTAACTGGGCCATACCCATCCCAAGTTGATCCCTTTTTTTACAGTTTAACCTTCCTCCACCTCTATAAAAGAAGCCACCGCCTTTTTCTTTACCATTCAGCCTGAGAAAGCTCAGGAAAAACCCAGTTATGGCTACTTCAGGGAGAATCAGCACTAGTGGCAGGATAAGCAGCTCGGACGTATGGAGGAGGAGCAGCAGCACAGGGGACAGAGTGTTCTCGAGGTCAGGAAGAGCCAACGACGACGACGTTGAAGACGACGAGGAAGCACTGAAATGGGCTGCTCTGGAGAAGCTCCCCACTTACCTGAGGATCAGGAGAGGGCTTCTGAACGAAGACGAAGGGAATTCGCGCGAGGTGGAGATCACTGACTTGGGGTTCTTGGAGAAAAGGAACTTGCTGGACAGGCTTGTCAGGATTGCTGATGACGACAATGAGAAGTTCCTGCTCAAGCTCAAGAGTCGCATTGATAGGTAAGAAAAAAAAATGTCGTCCGTGTAATGTGACGGTACTAAAATTAAAAGTACGTTTTGGATGACTCGCAGAGTCGGGCTGGAAATGCCGACGATTGAAGTGAGGTTCGAGCATTTGAACGTCGAGGCAGAGGCTCATGTTGGAGGCAGGGCATTGCCTACTGTGTTCAACTTCTCTGTCAACATGTTTGAGGTAAATTTTTTACTGAATTTACCACTGCGAGAATATAATTTTGTACATTATAGTATGGTAATGAAGAGCAAGAGAGATCATGTTAACCCTAAAATGTCTTTAATTTGAAGGAAATCTTGAACTCTCTTCACATTCTGCCAAGCAGAAAGAAGCCATTGCCGATTCTTCATGATGTTAGTGGAATCATCAAGCCAGGAAGGTTAGTAGAAACCAAATTGTCTCGTTACAGTTAATAAATATATCAGATCTAAAAAGGTTTTCTTCTTTTTATTTTCATTTGTTTTGTTAAGTCAACGATATTTTTAATCTATGTACTATGCTAGCTCCTTGAACAAGCAAATAGTTGTACTATGGATTTTAACAAACAAGTTGCTTTAGTTTACTACTCGTATTTCTAACGTAACAGACTAATTCGAGTCCTCTGAGTTGAATACTACTAGTAGTAGTATAATCCGCTAAACCAAGGCTTTATTCATTCTTTTATGAATATTAACATATAACAATAAAAATACTGTCAATATTTGTTACGAGAAGAGATGCTTCCATGATTAGTAAACAAATTCTTGATAACTCACATATCATATAGACTTGAAATCTAAATGATAGATGATTCATAAAGCAATCTAAGATTTGAGACATAAGAGTCGTACTCACGAGTTTGAGTCATCAAGGTTTCCTTACAAAACATCGAGTTGATACTAACTTCAACTTATAATGGAGTGACCGAAAGCGGAAAAATAATATAATACAAGGATATGTTTGTTAAAAATAATAGTATAAAGATGTGTTTGTTAAAAAGGAATACTGTAGAGACTGCAGATACTAGTTCTTTATTCTGATCTCAATTTTGCCCGCCAACTTCCAAATTTTGCAGAATGACACTGCTTTTAGGCCCTCCTGCCTCTGGAAAGACTACCTTACTGCTTGCCTTAGCAGGAAAACTTAGTAAAGATCTTAAGGTAACTCATGCTTGCCTCCAACCCTAGTAGTAAGTTGTAACCTTCCTTGTGATGAATTGACGCTTTTTTTTCCTTTGGGTAGTTTTCAGGAAAAGTTACATATAATGGTCATGAAATGGATGAGTTTGTACCTCAGAGAACTTCAGCTTACATCAGTCAGTATGACCTTCATATTGGAGAAATGACTGTCAGAGAAACCCTAGCTTTCTCGGCAAGATGTCAGGGAGTTGGACCTCAAAACGGTCAGTTAGTTAATTCGTCGCATACTTATACAACAATCTACCTAGTGTCATTTCTCTTTAGTTTGAGTGTAGTCCAGCTTAATGGCTCTGTAACACTACCTGGTAATGCCTACAGATATTCTGATCGAACTATCTAGAAGAGAGAAAACAGCAAAGATTAAGCCAGATCCAGATATTGATCTCTTCATGAAGGTGAGAAAGCAAAACTGAATCAAAATACTTTGGCTAGTTGATTAGTTCTTGCAGCTGTGAACTAACAAGCTAGAGTTCTTGGTCGAATCATGCAGGCGGCAGCACTGGAAGGCCAAGAAGCCAATGTGGTTACTGACTACATTCTCAAAGTATGCATGACAAACATAATTCAAATACCATGGTAAAAAAATGTGTGTTTATGTCAGGTTTAACCATCTTTCTATTTTCTCCCACAGATCTTAGGGCTTGAAGTATGTGCTGATACATTGGTAGGGGACGAAATGGTTCGAGGCATCTCAGGCGGGCAAAAGAAGCGAGTTACAACTGGTAAAAACGGTTGACACCACCATTATTAAGACTAGTGCTCAAGTTTCAATCGTTTTACCCTCATAATTTATCTTAATGATGCAGGGGAGATGATGGTTGGACCGTCAAGAGCGCTATTCATGGATGAAATATCTACTGGTTTGGATAGCTCAACAACCTTCCAAATAGTCAATTCACTAAGACAATCCATCCACATTCTCGAGGGAACTGCCCTTATCTCTCTTCTGCAGCCTGCACCAGAAACCTATGATCTCTTTGATGATATTGTTCTTCTCTCCGACGGCTACATAGTCTACCAGGGCCCTCGAGAAAATGTGCTCGAGTTCTTCGAGCACATGGGATTCATATGCCCGGAGAGGAAAGGAGTAGCGGATTTCTTGCAAGAAGTAACATCAAGAAAGGATCAGGAGCAGTACTGGCTGAGAAGAGACGAGCCTTACAACTTTATCACTTCGATGGAGTTTGCAGAAGCATTTCAGTCGTTCCACATTAGCAGGAAGCAAGGAGACGAGCTGGCAACTCCATTCGACAAGTCGAAAAGCCACCCTGCTGCACTAACGACCGATAAATTCGGTGTCAACAAGAAGGAACTTCTGAAAGCTTGCATTGCGAGGGAGTATTTGCTCATGAAGAGGAACTCGTTTATCTACATTTTCAAGATAACTCAGATTGTGATTCTGGCTTTCCTGACAACGACAGTTTTCTTAAGGACCAATATGCATCACGAGACGGTGAACGATGGAGGAACTTACATGGGAGCTATCTTCTACGGGGTTATTGTCATGATTTTCAATGGGTTCTCAGAGATGGCAATGACTATCCACAAGCTTCCGGTGTTCTACAAGCAAAGAGACCTTCTCTTCTTCCCAGCATGGGCATATGCTCTTCCTGCTTGGGTGCTCAAGATCCCCATCGCGTTTGTAGAGGTTGCAATATGGGTCATCCTCACTTACTATCCTATTGGCTTTGATCCAAACATTGGAAGGTAAAGCAATCGCTAACGAATTTTATAGAATAATTATGCGCTTAAAAAATGATGCGCTTACGAGTTTACTTAACTCAAATATGGACTGATTTTGTTCTAAAGCTATTTGAATTCTATGCAGAGTCTATATTTTGACTACCTTGCACAAACAAGTTGATGAAATTATATAGAAAAATACTGATGGCAGGTTTTTGAAGCAGTACCTGTTATTCGTTCTTGCAAACCAGATGGCTTCCGGGTTGTTACGACTCATAGGAGCAGTAGGAAGGAACATGATCGTTGCTAATACAATCGGATCATTCGGTATAATTAATCTCCTAGTGCTGGGCGGCTTCATCATCTCAAGAGGTGTGTAGAGTAGTAGTGGTAGTAGCAATAGAAGTCACCATTGATGTATACTGAATCTTCTTCGAGTTGAACCAGTGCTAACACTGTTACTTTATTTCAGTAAATGTGAAGAAATGGTGGCTCTGGGGTTACTGGATCTCACCATTGATGTATGTGCAGAATGGTCTCACTGTCAATGAATTTCTCAGCCACAGTTGGAGTCATGTGCCTCCCAACTCAACTGAGTCGCTTGGGGTTCAGATCCTCAAGACTCGTGGACTTTTTCCATATGCATACTGGTTTTGGATTGGAGTTGGAGCACTAACTGGATCCATCCTTCTCTTCAATCTCCTCTTCTTTTTCGCTCTCAAGTATCTAGACCGTGAGCATCTATATCCCACAACCCACAAATGAACCCATTTGCAACCTCTATTATCTACCGAGTTTCCTCATGTTTTTCTGGTGTTCATGTTGTTGTGCTTGCAGCATTTGGCAAACCACAGGCGATCACACCAAAAGAAGACTCGGAAGAGAAGACTACTTCACCTACAGCCACTATCAACCTGTCAGAAAGAGGTAATGACGAAACCAGGATAAGTATTTCATCCAGAACCCCATCAGCAAGAGTTGGCAACTTAAATCAAGTCAAGAGAAGAGGAATGGTACTTCCATTCCTTCCACTCTCCATCACCTTCGGAGACATCAGGTATTCCATAGACATGCCACAGGAGATGAGAGCTCAGGGGATCCTGGAGGATCGTCTGGAGCTTCTAAAGGGGGTCAGTGGAGCATTTAGACCAGGTGTCCTGACAGCACTGATGGGAGTTAGTGGAGCTGGGAAAACTACTCTAATGGATGTTCTTGCTGGAAGGAAAACCGGTGGATATATTGAAGGAAGTATTAAGATTTCAGGGTACCCGAAAAGGCAAGAAACTTTTGCTAGAATTGCAGGTTATTGTGAGCAGACTGATATCCATTCCCCTCATATTACAGTGTATGAGTCGTTGATCTTCTCCGCATGGCTCAGGCTTTCTCCAGAATCAAACTCCGATACACGAAAGGTCAGCACACTGAATTATGTTTATCAGTTCGTGGATAAAAGTTTTCCAAGTTTCAAGATATTCAAAATATTCTTGTGGTTCTGCAGATGTTTGTTGAGGAGGTGATGGAGCTAGTGGAACTGACTCCGCTGAGAGATGCACTCGTGGGGTTGCCCGGCGTGAATGGTTTATCGACTGAGCAGAGGAAGAGGTTGACCATTGCAGTTGAGCTTGTGGCCAATCCTTCCATAATCTTCATGGATGAACCAACTTCTGGGCTTGATGCAAGAGCAGCAGCCATTGTAATGAGAACCGTGAGGAACACAGTTGATACTGGGAGAACCGTGGTATGCACTATTCATCAGCCCAGCATTGACATATTCGATTCCTTCGATGAGGTACGTACTAAGAATCAAGCATTGTCTAGCTTTCACAACTAAGAAGTTTTTCTTACTTATCTCAATTGCACACAGTTACTCCTACTGAAGAGAGGAGGGGAGGAAATCTTTGTCGGTCCAATTGGTCGCCATGCTTGCTATCTCATCAAGTACTTTGAGGCAGTAGATGGAGTTCCAAAGATGAAAGAAGGATACAATCCAGCAACGTGGATGCTAGAGGTAACTACTGCAGCGCAAGAAGATGCTCTTGGGGTCAACTTCATGGACATATATAAGAACTCAGAATTGTACAAGAGGAACAAGGATTTGATCAAGGAGCTAAGTTCACCACTACCTGGTTCAAACGATCTCTTCTTCCAGAGGCAATACGCTCAAACATTCTTTACTCAATGCATGGCTTGCTTGAAAAAGCAGCACTGGTCATACTGGCGAAACCCTCCTTATAATGCTGTGAGATTCCTCTTCACAACATTCATAGCTCTCATGTTCGGAACAATATTCTGGAATCTAGGCTCCAAAAGGTATGTGATACAAGGAAGTAAAAAAGGGGGTTAATACCTTATTTTGGCTCGAACTATGACCATATAATCAACTTTGGCCCGTGGTTTCAGAAATTAACATCTTGGCCTCAACTATGCAGCATATAGACTCAATTGGCCCGACACATAGTTTGACCGTCAATTTGGACGGTCAACTCCGTTAACCGTTAGTCAACATGCCATGTCATTGCCTAGTCAACCTAAATATTATTAAAAAAATTTAAATTCAAATTATTTTCCTAATTTCTATTATTTATCATTTTACAATTAACCAAAAAATAAAATTCTAAAAATATAAAATAATTTTTTTGTGATATTTGAAAATGATAAATTTTATAAATTAACCAAAAATTATCAAATTAAATTTTATAAATTTAAAATTTATGATATAAATTATATTTTGGTGGGAAGTTTTAAAAATATAAAATAATTTGATAATTTTTGGTTAATTTATAAAATTTATCATTTTTCAAATTATCCAAAAAATAAAAAATCAAATTTATTTTATGTTTTTTATAATTTATTTTTGGTTAATTTAATAATAAATAAGAAAAATTAGAAAAATAATTTGAAATTTGCATTTTTTTAATGATTTTTAGGCTGACTAGGCAATGACATGGCGTGTTGAATTGACGGTCAAACTATGTGTCGGGCCAATTGAGTCTATATGCTGCATAGTTGAGGCCAGGATGTTAATTTCTTAGACCACGGGCCAAAGTTGATTATATGGTCATAGTTCGGGCCAAAATAAGGTATTAACCCTAAAAAAGGAAACACTTCTTCAATCTGATCTTTCCCCATCCCCTACAGATCTAAGGAATGAAACTTTCCTTCTGGTTTTTTTTTTTTTTTTTGCAGAGGAAAGCAACAGGATATTCTAAACTCAATGGGTTCCATGTATGCAGCAGTTCTTTTCATAGGATTCCAGAACAATACAGCAGTCCAACCAATCGTATCCGTCGAGAGAACAGTTTTCTACAGAGAAAGAGCAGCTGGGATGTACTCAGAATTGCCATACGCCTTTGGACAGGTGGTCATTGAAATACCATACGTTCTAATCCAAGCTCTCGTCTATGGATTCATAGTCTACGCCATGATGGGTTTTGAGTGGACGACAGTCAAGATCTTCTGGTACATGTTCTACATGTACTTCTCATTGATGTACTTCACTCTCTTTGGGATGATGTCGGTTGCCATCACTCCAAACCACAACATTGCTGCCATAATTTCAACTGCCATCTTTGGGTTATGGAACCTTTTCTCAGGCTTTATTGTGCCTCGCCCGGTAAGCCACCTTCTCACTTGCTCACAAACCCTCTCTACTGCTTTGAGTGGTTTCTGACTGACTAAAGTTAACATGCAGATGATACCAATCTGGTGGAGATGGTACTATTGGGCATGCCCAGTTGCTTGGACATTGTATGGACTGGTGGCTTCACAATATGGTGACATTAAGGAAACCTTGGATGGTAGCAATGAAACTGTGGAGGAGTTCATCCGAGACTATTTCGGGTTCAGACATGATTTCGTTGGGGTAGTTGCCCTAGTTCTTGTGGGAATTTCAGTCTTTTTTGGCTTCATGTTTGCAGTCTCCATCAAGGCCTTCAATTTCCAGAAGAGATGAGACAAGTTTCTAAACATCTGTGTACTGTAAGCAACTGCCTATATTTTGAGGTACATAATGCATAATTACCTAATTAGCCAATTTTGTATCTTCGATCTCCCTTCTCCTTTTTGATTGTCCTGCAAGTTAACTGTAGTTTTACCAAAGAACATGATAATCAAGATCTCATCTGAAAGAGCCCTTGAACTGAAAAGGGTTACATCCAAACATAAATATACCAACTCTATCTCTTGAAAATCAAGAAATCAAACAACCGAACAAACAACTCAGTATTAATATATGAAAGAACCCTATTACCTGAAAAGAGAGCATAGAAATAAAAAAGGCTTCAAAAAACAAAGTCTACCTAAATAGCATTTACTATTGGCAGATAGTGCCAAATCATTCAACTTGTTCAACACGACATTCTACTTCTGTGGTCACGATATTCTAGAGCCCCTTCAAACACTAAAGGACCACTAAGAACCAAGGTGTATGATGCATTACTAGGGGGCATGATATATCTAAGCCCTACATTATATAAGTACAAGTTGCAAAAAAAGTCTCCAAAGAAGTCGTGTAAAGTTCAAAGAGGTGCTTCATTCTTACAGATACTTAAGTGATCAATCATAAAACCATCCACACACTTGAGTTATTAACTGCACATATAGTTGCGAGATAAAAAAATCTGCTAACCTATTCATAACAAGAGCTACCACTGCAGTGGTGCCAGAAGCAAGACCAAAATCAAGTAAACATGCCTCTGCAAAAGCACTATCAGTTTGCTGAAAATCAAATGCAATGACCCTTTCTAAGATCTCTTGGGAAGTCTACATCCTCAATGATGAATCTCGGCAAATGGTGGCATGCAAAATCAGCAGCATGTTTCCCTCCATGCCCATCATGTCACCAACATCAAACTTTGGCACAACATTATAATGAAATATCCAGTATTTGCAGAATAATCATTAGTGAAGACCGGATACAATACTGCACAAAATCAATGATGACAAACATGTCAATTCTTTTGACACACAGACAACGGCAAGAAGAAAAACTCTGAAGTTGCCACAATCATGCTAACCAAGCTAACATCACAGCCTATCCGATATTCATCAATTTTGTCATGAGAAGACTGACATATGGTGATTAAATTATCAAGAACCTAATCATTCACAAAATGGAGTGGGAGATCGCAATTGAGAGACCAAAGAGACGTACCCCATAGAAGGCATTAGGCCCATTAGTATCATGTCCGAGACCATAATCAGTTGTGAAATCAGCAATACAAGTATAGACATCATCCATTCTGGGGGGCGAAAGCCAATATCTGAAAAGATCCTGACCGGACAATGTGAATGTACTCAGGACCATGAGTTCCTATACTCACTTTCAGATTCCAGTGATTTAAAAGGAAGATGTCTTCACCTGTATAAATATGCTAATAAGAATCCCAAACGAAATGCACAAACAATACGAAGTAGAAGAAACTGCAACACTGACAAAATTGGGTTAAACATGTCAAATTGCTTTATTTCAGACTAAGACGAACATACTGAAAAGTGAAAAAAGAGACATCTTAGAATATATTAAAACGGTTTGAGAAAAACACCCACTCCACGTCAACCTTCATCACCGAAACCCCTAAGTTGGAAAAGCTTACGCCTTCAATCCAAGTGAGACTAACAGTTACATCCTTTACAGGGAAACACTAACTCAACTATTTCAATATCAACATCAAGGCCCACAAAAATGCTCGACATTTTCCGGCGTCGACTCGGTCGAACTTAAAGTATTCGGACTGAACTCCGGCGTGAATTTCTTCTCCCTCGTCGAGCGATTGAACATACGGGGAAAATCGGAATGGCGTGGAGGGAGCAAGGCAGGAGAGAGTAAAAAAGCGTGAGACTGAGGATGGAGAAAAGCGTGAGACTGAGGATGGAGAGACATCACACGTGCGATTCACTGCTCCACTATCTCGGTTCTCGAACCTCCGTTGTCGTTCCATTGCCTAAGTTTGTTACTGCTGCATAAGCAAGGGTTACAACGGCGTCGTACTATTGAGAATCGAATTGACTGGAAAAGTATCATACCACTACCCGAACTATCGATTTTGTTGCAAACAGATCACTCTACTATCTATCTAAAAAATATAATAAGGGGGCTCCCAAAAAAGGCTTCTCAAATTCAAATTTCTCCTTCCCTGGCGCATCCACGTCAGCACAGCCATTACCCAATCAAATTATTTCAACAAGAAAATTCAACCAACAAAAAATATCTATCCCTCGGTGAATGCTTCTTACATTTTCAGATTTTTTTTCCTTTTGCAATTTTAGTTTGGGTGTGCCTATGGTGACATGCATGTCACGGTGACTTGCACTTTCCGGTCGACCTCAGTTAGGATTAGGTCGACCTCATTTAGAATTCGGTCGACCTCACATAGGATCTGGTCGACCTCATTTAGGATTCGGTCGACCTCATATAGGATCAGGTCGACCTCATTTAGGATTCGGTCGACCTCATATAGGATCAGGTCGACCTAATCTGTTGTTTCAGTGTAAAAACAGTTCATGGTGCCTACTTTGGAGATCATATCATACAATTGGCTAGATGGAAATTGAAGACTAATGACTTGTTTTGAAGCTGGAGTGTCCCTCTACATATTGAAGTGATTGAGAGCTCGATAGGAAGTCCAGAAGACCATTTTTGAACCTCATCAAAAGGCTATGCCAAAACTGGGAAACTGCCTGGAAATGGCTAAGTCTGGAAACGTGTTTGTGAAGCCTATTTTGGAGCTCAATTTGAGAAGCATGAATGCGAGTCGAGTCCAGGAGCCTCTACCACGTTAAATTAGGTAAGTTTTTATAAAAATTCAAGGCATTGAATAAAAGATTGGATATCTGTAAGGCTTCAAACAAAAGGGTAGAAGTTGCTACGAAGGTTGTTTTTCTGGCAGACTTCGAGCACAAGCAAGTTGCCAAAAAACAGCCTTTGTAGCAACTTCGAGCCTTTTGTTTGAAGCCTTAAAGATATTCAATCTTTCATCCAATGCCTTGCCTTTGTATAAAAAAATACGTAATTTAACGTGGTAGAGGCCCCTGGACTTGACTCGCATCCATGCTTCTCAAATTGAGCTCCAAAGTAGGCTTGACAAACACGTTGCCAGACTTAGCCATTTTCAGGCAGTTTCCCAGTTTTGGCATAGCCTTTTAGTCAGGTTCAAAAATGGTCTTCTGGACTTTCTATTGAGCTCCCAAGTACTTTAATGTGTAGAAAGACACTTCAGCTTTAAAACAAGCCTTTAATCTCCAATTTCCATCTAGCCAATTGTAAGATATGAATCTCTAAAGTAGGCACCATGAAACTGTTTTTACACTGAAACAACAGATTAGGTCGACCTGATCCTATATGAGGTCGACCGGAAAGTGCATGTCACCGTGACATGCATGTCACCATAGCAAAGTCCTTTTAGTTTACTTTTACGTTTTTTTCCTTTACATATGTTATCCTTAAATAAAATATTTATACCTTTTAGATATAATTATATTCCTTACCATCTAAAAATATTACTACCATATATTATATATTTAAACTATATATAAGTTTGTCACCGTGTTTATAATAATAAAAAATTTATATTTCATATGCACTAGCAAGTAGTGTATATTGCATAGCATAATAATTTGATTATGTTGGGTGAGGTTCAGTCCCAATATTTTAAACATTAATTGTACGTTATTTGAAATTTCAAAAATTATGGAATGAAATGTATTGTTTAGATATTTATTTTTAGTGTTTCATGTACCGAGATTTTATGAACCACCATTTGCAAATAAAATGGTTTTAAAAACTTTATTTCCACCTGCTTCAAGATTGGATAAATGAACTATTATGAGTTTGATTATAAAAAATTGAAATATTATAACATGATCATTTTATACATTTAGCCAAAAGTTAATATATCTCAATTAAGAGTTGTATGTTTTCACTTATAAATTAACTTATATCGTATCAATATCGTGAGTGTCCCTGGAGGGACTAAATTAGCTATGTATATTTACGAGTCATACATTCGGGTCATACACAAAGAATAACAAATTTTTAATAATATATGAAAATTGATTCAAGTATGACAACAAATTATTTGATATAAATGTAGTGTATGCACGAGATTAACGAGAGTTTCAAGAATATGAACAAAAAATTTCAAAATTAATTTTGATGTTTAAATGAAACTCACTCGGCCAATGACCGGGATCAAAGCTATTGATAATTGTAAAAAAAATTAGTGAATTTGTAAAGCCATTAGTCGAAGGACGTGCGTCAAAACTCAATATCAACGAGGATATTGCAAAGAAAGTCTTTCCTAAAGGAGTTTGGTTGTTTTGGTTGAAGTTTTGGAAAGATAATTATGTTCATATGCATTATCAAATCAAAATTATAAAGATAAAATCAACTTGTGATGGCTCTTATGGAACCTTAAATGTATTATATCTATATGCACAAATTTGAGAATTATGTATGTGAATTAATAATTTAATATTATCATTTGAATGTAGTCTGCCAAGATCCATGCACGAGTTCTTTGCAAACTATCAAGTTCATAACCAAAAGTTCCTGCAAAGATTTTCTGATATTTTTTTGAACGATAATTGAGATGTCAGTGACCTAAGAAAAAGAAATCAATATGTATAACTGTCATGATGAAAACATTTGCTGAACTTTTTTTTTTTATGAAAACATTTGTTGAACTTTAAGTTAAGGAAAGATTAAAAAAAGTTATCAGAAACCCCTTTACTATATTTTAGTATAGATTAAAAGGTATTGTTGGATCCGCTCTTAGATCAATTACTTTGCATCTTATACTCTCTCTTTTTTTTTTTTTTTTTGCTGAAACCTTATATGTTGTTTTCTATATATCCTAAAAATAATCAACACTAGACTCTATATCTCTTCTCTTATGAGGACATTATGAAATATTATTTATTTTCAAGTAATTCTTAATTGAAGAATAATGTCAA